GCCAGACAGTCACTCACACAAAAACAAAAGAAAGAAAGCAGATATATCGGTATAAGGTCGTTGCCAACATAAGAAACGTAATCAGTAGTCACTGGCTCCGCTAACTATCAGAGACAGAGAGGACGGATTCAACCACCCTAAAACCAACCGCCTGTCACTGAGAGCAAAGCCTCGTACTTAAACCATTCACACAGCAATCTTAAGGTAAACATATTTCATGCAAAAGCAATTGCGAAATTTTTTATTTTAGAAAAAAAAATAACAGAACAAAATCGAAGAAAATGAAGAGCGAGAGATCGTAGAGGATGGAGGCTCAGATTCACCTTTAATCAGACAAGAAAAGGAACAAAGGGACTGCGGCTGCATAAATGGAGCACTCTATTTGAGAAAAGAAAAATGCCATTGTCGAATAAAATCTTCATACTGCCCCGCCAACCATCAACCTATTCCTTAACGTCTTTCTTTTGCACTCTAAAACCCAAAAATCGTCAAACGTCTTTCTTTTGCACTCTAAAACCCAAAAATCGTCACAGCCTCTTTACAAGAAAGAAAGAAAGCCCGAAAGAGAAGAGAATGATGATGATAATGATCTATCTATCTATATATACACACACAGACAAACCGCGGCTATTACACAAACGACGGAGAAATCATCGGCTCCGCAGTCGTTCAGGGAGCGGAGCAACCGCTTCTCTGCAGCCTCTCTGAGAGCAAAGCCTCATTATCAAGAGTGCGTACAATGGGCGCATCTTGCATTTTATGGTAACTTCGCGTTTTAATTTTATTTTATTCCGCGATTGCCCTTTTGAGTGTGCGACGTTGGGCGGTGGAGCACAACGGTAACTTGGTCATTAAAATTTTAAAATTTTATGATGGATATAGATAAAACTGGGAGAGCAATAAGTTAAGGATAATTTGGTAAATAAAACCATACGTAACTTTGGTCATTTAAAATATTTAAAATTTTAACGGTAACTTGGTCATTAAAATTTTAAAATTTTATGATGGATATAGATAAAACTGGGAGAGCAATAAGTTAAGGATAATTTGGTAAATAAAACCATACGAGCGTTTTGAATAAATAGCTTCTCATTCAATTCCCTAGTAAAACAAATAAATAGATAAATAAATAAATAAAAGTTTTGAATCAAGAAATAGTTACACAATCCATTTCATTCAAAATCAAAATCCTTTATTCATTCCTATGGCTTCACATCCAGACAGCAAACTGTTCTGTTACAACTAATGCAAGTTCAACCAATTGAACCAGAACAACTTAATTAGCACCAATTGCAAACCAGTAAACCAAACTTTAAATTAGGGGCCCTAATCCTGCACTATTAAACTAATGCAAGCTGCCAAACAGGTTGAAACCAGAAACAACTTTATTTAGCCCTATCCTGTGATTGGAAATTTCACCGAGATATCTGCAGGGATCAAAGCATATCTTACCAAAGTCATTCCTTTCTAGGGAAACCTCGGACGGTAGTCGCAAAATACATAACAGCATTCCTCAATCTCAATTGGCAAATGCGGTTGCCAAACAAAACAATCCCCTCCCTTCTTTGGGTATGCTCGGCAATAATATATTTCGAGCCAATTTTTTACCCCTTCATCATCTTATTTTGCGACACAGAAGGCTCAATCATAAAACCACAATTCGTGCGGTCAATGGCCAGTAGTCTTGGCAAAGTCGCAGCCTCTTCCGTTGGCCAATATTGGGACAGCATTCTTGCCTTCTCTTTTTGCCAATCTTTTCCAAGGCCCCATCAAAACTCAATTACAGGGCATAGGAATTTCCCTCTTGCCTTTGTCCTTCAGGAATCTCAAACCACTGAAACATTTCGTTAAGGGACAGCTTAAACTTTTCTTTCGAGGCAATCTTTCAAGGGATAGCCAAAATATAGTTAAAGCTGTAGTATTTGGTGGGAGGAAAACTCCGATTCTATCCAGTTTCATGACCGTTTCCAGAGGAATTCTTGAACCTGCCAGGGAAGGCTTTAAGAGAAAAGAAAAATCCAGGGCGCAGCATACAAAAGAAGGTGGTCTTGCTTGCAGCCATTTGTTACTTGGTTAGAACAAGTTGCCCCTTCCATCATGAACAGAAATAACGTTTACATGTCGGACAAAAAAGATTTGTTGGGGGCATTTCTCATGCAGGAGTACATTGTCAAGGGAAGGGACTCCGAGGGAAAGGGCTGGGCTTTCCGAAAGAGACATCAAGCTTTAAAAAATAAAAAAGGAGTTTTTGCGGGTACTTAAAAAGGAGTTTTGGTACTTCCAATTTTGCAGAGACTTTCACTGTTTAGAATCTGAAGATGATGCTAGGAGCCAAGCCTACCAATCCTCTAAAATAATATCTTGCAGAACAACACTTAACCCAGCAATAACTTTAATACGAGTGGGGGAAAATAAAGAAATCTGGCATCATATACAACGAAAGCAAATCATTAGTTTGAACGTGGACTGGAAAAGGGGGACAACTAAAAGGAGATCACTGCGCAAAATAATAAAGTTCAAAATAGTAAGGAAAATGTGTTATATAATGAAACCAGCTAGTCAATATTCTGAAAATAGATTTCATTTGAACGAAAGAAGGAAGATTGATTGTAGGTGGTTACTTCGCAAAATGATATTATGCAAATCAACTAAACAAATTAGCAAAATCCAAGAGAGCAAACTGAATTGAACTTTGTACATATAAATGAAAACTGAACATGACAAAACTGAATTGAACTTTTGTACATAATTTTAAATGAAAAACTTGAAACATGAAACTAAGAGGCAAACAAAACAGAGACACAGAGCTTTAACAATTCTGGCTTTTGGATCTATTAAGCAAGATGAGAAATTTAAGCTTACCAAATCCCATTTTTAAAAAAAGATCAGAAACCAAGAAAGATGCAAAAAATATTTTGAAAGATTGACAATAGTCAATCATATTCTCCAATGATAGCTTTGTATAAAAGTTTTAAGATGAAAAAAAACAACTAATTTCTTCATTTAGGAGAAGTCGTTTCCCCATAAAGAAAAAATGAAAAAAACAAACTTCCATTTCTTTTATTAGGATAATGTACTGCCAAAATTGGTTTAACAGCATGCTTCAACCACTTTACTAAATAACTTTTGATTAACATCCAAAGATATAATTCATAATAAAAGGAAAACCTTTGGCCTTTAGGAAGCAGACCTCAAAGTTATTTATTATTCTGACACTTGCAAGTTTTGCATCCCCCTAATATATTTCTATATGCAAAAGTAAGATATAGGAATTCGAAGTAAAGCCTAAATTAAATTAATTTAGAATAATTTTATAGGGCTTTTTCAAAATTTGAAATTGTGATGGAAATAATTTATTACTAAATCAATTTAAAAAATCCATCTCTAATGATTGACCAAGTACTGAAAAAACCCTCCTTTCAAGGCATCAATCAAAATGATTCTTCAGAAATTTTTCCAATTGCATTTGCATATGGTTCACTATATCACTAAAATTTCAATATCAAAGGGTAAAAAAAATAGGGACAATTTCAAAAAAATTAAAACACAGTTTTTAACTAAATCAATATCAAAGGGCTAATAAAATAGGACAATTTCAAAAATTAAAACAGTAAAATTTGTATGTGCCATACTCTGACAGATAAAATGGGCATTCAGATTTTTATAATGTCCAAGATAGAATCTAGTTATTGTAGTCAACAAACAAGTGAAAAATTAAAACAGTAAAACAGTTTTACCATTTTGCAATTCGTCTAAATTTTTCATGCCAAGAAAACCAACTCAAACTTTCCATTTGGATGTGCCATAAACCATCATTGAAAACACAAATTATCAAAATTGGTTTGCTTCAAGATGAACTTCAAGATGAAATAGTTGCAGCACGGAGGAATGAAATGAGTCATGATACTTATGGAGATGCAGGATGCAATGTTTTAAAATTTGCAGAGCAAAACGATTATCATATTTTCCGCGGCCCACATAAACAAATTTTTTTCCTCAATTCCAATGTGAATTGGGTAATGCAGCACGGAGAATGAAATGAGTCATGAAACTTATGGAGATGCAGATGCAATGTTAAAATTTGCAGAGCAAACGATATTCATATTCGCGGCCATAACATTTTTTCCTCAATTCCAAATGAATTGGGTAAAAAATCTTCCTCCTGACCAATTAGGAGTAGCTGCAGAGAAAAGAATAAGGTCTGTAGTTTCAGGATATAAAGGGAGATTTAACACCCAACCAAATACAGGAAATTAATCACATGAAAATGCATGAAAATCCAAAAAAGAAGAGAGACCCATACAAAATTTGAAACCCACTCATAGAGCATTAATCTCGTCACCAACCAAAAGAAAAGATTAAAAAATATATATATTAAGAGAAGCTTACCTCAAAGAGAATCGAGTGAGCTAAGAGGAAAGAAGATCAAACACTGGTCTTGTTGAGTTGTGAATTGCGAGAGAGAGAATCGAGAAACCAACAGCTGAAGAAGAGACTCGATTGGAGACTAGTCACAGCAGAGAAACAGAGAAAAGCGAGACTGATGCAAAAACGATTTGCGAAGCAGAAGCACCAACATTAAACATCCGAGAGTGCTAAGATTGAATGCATGAGCACGTGAGATTGTCAAAAGAGGATCAAAGAGCTCTTGGGCTTAGTGCTTCAGATGCGTTTGGGTTTCATTGATTCTAGCCTGAGAAAGATGTTTTTGTTGGGGAGGCGCTAAGTTGAGAGAACGAAAAGAGAGAGAGATTTAATAAATCAGGCCGGGATAACCAAACAGAATCACTTTCCACTTTCCCATGTAATTAATTAATCAAAAACCAATTGGTATTGGCTACCATTTTGCGTGCTTTCTCACATGCAAGCTAAAACTGTATCAGGAGATAGAGAGAGATGACAGTTAAAAATTTTTCATTTTTAATCAATCGCTGTATTGGCTACCATTTTGCGTGCTTTCTCACATGCAAGCTAAAACTGTATCAGGAGATAGAGAGAGATGACAGTTAAAAATTTTTCATTTTTAATCAATCGCTGACTGTAACTCATTCATGAAATACAGGATCTTCTACGTGTGTTTCCAACTTCTTGCTCAAATAAAAACTATGCGGAAAAAAGGGACATACAGATACTATATAGACTCACTAGTCCTCATCTACAGATACAGAAAATTTTTCTGTTTCTCCCTTTCCTTTCAACCTCAATTTCATCTCAACTTGCAGACCCTGGCATCTTCATGCGTCTTCATGCGATCCAGATTCTGTTTCCACCTACGGCCATTCGACAGGTCTTGCAATTCTAGTCCTCCGCTCCCTTCACATGTCAATCTTAGTACAAATTTGAATCGACACTAAAAAGCAATTCTGAGCCACCACAAGATGGCAAGTTCAATGTTACATCTGTTAGTATGTACACAGCATTTAAATAAGTATGGGTTACAATATTATATAATAACTACAGCTGAGGTACATGGCCATTCCTGCAAGCCTACAGATATTATGATCATCCAAAAATGGCATGATCTTCAAAAGATCATCCAAAAATGGCATGATCTTCAAAAGAATTGGATTGGGCCAAGCACGGATTTCCTCGCTGACAAAAGCAATGCACCTTAAATAGAGATTGCTGATTTTAATTTTTAGTTACTAATCCACCTTCGTTTCCGAGCTGGCCGCTCTGGCTTGACCTCTGAGTCCACAGGGGCGTCGGTTTTGACAGAAGGCAACGCTTCATTTCCTGATCTTTGTTCATGGTGATATGATAGCAACCTAAATTACATATTTACCCTTCGACGTGCATCCCGTTTGGATACAGAAGATGAGGGGGTATTATAATAATTTAAGCATAATTCACCGTTCACAAAATAACCCTCCACAAAAATAACCCCTCCCGGGCGGGACCGCAGTCTTAATTATCAAGCAATGTTATTATTTATAGTTATTGCTTTAATTCGATTAACCCAATAAACCGGAGCCATTTTGAATAAAAAAAAATTTTGTTTTGGGAAAAAACAGATAATAAACTATAAAAAATGAATTAAAAAACCAATTGGGATTTTGGCTTGTTAATTTTAATTTTTTTAATCTATTATAATTTTTTTAACCCATAAACCGAGCATTGAATAAAAAAATTTGTTGAAAACAGATAATAAACTATTAAAATGAATAAAACCAATTGGATTTGTAATTTAATTTTTTAATCTATATAATTTTTTTATTTTTTTATTTAATTAATTTTTAAAAAAAATTTAGATAAGAATAAGGGAAATAAATTTGAGAACCTCACGGTATTTACACATTTATCTAAATCAATATATAAATAAAAACTTACATTTTAAATTAACAAGAAAGTAGTTATAACATGATCTAACCATTCAATTTGCTAAATCTATATAACTTCTGATTTCTGTATACATAATAGTTCTTTAAAAATTACTCTTACTATTGTTCTCTCTTTTCAAATCTACTTTTTTCTCTTCAGAAAAAATAACATACACATTATTAGCTTGAAGAGTGAGACTCTATCTAAAGAGTAAGACTCTCTAAAATTTGACCATTTGGTATTAACTTGGTTAGGAAAAATTGAAGAACTTGTGGAAAAACCCGTCTCCCTTACCTCACTGATTTCAGGATATTAAACATAATACCTAAACATAATACCTCTTTAAAAATTATTCTCTAATTTTGACCTTTAGCTTTTAAACAAAAAATAACTTTTGTTATTCTCATATAATTTTTTATAGTTTTTACGCAGACTGCTCTTCATAACTCTTGATATTCTCTCTAATTTATGAGTTCTATGACCTTCAAACACAATAACTTTTAATGTTCTTTCTTGTTATATTTAAAAAGACTTTAAAAATAATGGCTTTCAACATTTTTTTTTATGAATTTTAAGGACTCTTGAATATTTATTGTTCATATTCTTATTATTGTTCTCTTTTCGGATTTATTCTCTTGAAAAAAAAACCTACACAGTCTTGCAAAGCACTCAAGACCTCAAAGTCTAGTAGATTTTTGAAGTCCAACCTTGAATCGGTATCGACTACGGAATATCCGATAATAATGACAATACGAATAAGGTTGATTACAAAGAAATTGTTGAAGTTAACATAGTATTTCTATCTAGTATGAAAGTCCAATTCTGCCTAGTATCACCTAATATAATTTGATTCAGACAAAACAAAGTGCTGGTTCATTCTTAGAATACTGGCTTTTTTTATGACGGGTGTTGCACGCACACTCATTTTTTGTACTCTTTTAATTTTTTTATCTATATAATATTAAAGCATAATTTTTTTATTTAAATTAAAATAAATACAATTCTTTTTAATTTTTTATCTATTATAATATTAAAGCATTAATTTTTTATTTAAAATTAAAATAAATACAATTTGATTTAATTTTTGTATGAACTTTGTTGTCCAAGCTATTAATATAATAATATTACTTTTTTATGTACTTTAATTCTATTTTATATAATGGAAAAAATGGTCATGAAAATTAAAAAGTTTCAATCCAATTTCCTAGAATCTAATATTTCAATCCCTAATTTATAAATTAAGATTTTTAATGCCAAGAAAAAAAAGTCATAACCTCAAATCTTCAACCCTCTTATCCCTCAATTTTCTAAATTCAATATTTTAATGATACTATAGTTAGAAAAAATGGTCTGAAAATAAAAAGTTCAATCCAATTTCTAGATCTAATATTTCAATCCCTAATTTATAAATAAAGATTTTTAATGCCAAGAAAAAAAAAGTCATAACTCAATCTTCAACCTCTATCCTCAATTCTAAATCAATATTTATATGATACTATAGTGAAAAATAAAAATAAATTTTTTTTTTCTACGTAAGAAAAAAAAGAAATGAGAAGATATTTGAATTAATAATGATATTCACTTTAGCTATAGTGATAATACCATTTATCCAGTACATTAGAAAAAAAAAAATATGCACATAATAAATTCTTATTCAATTTAGCTATAGTGATAATACCACTTATCCAGTACATTAGAGAAAAAAATATGCACATAATTCTTAACACCCTAAAAGGTAACTCAAAACAAAAATATAGTTCTTTTATTTTTTTAAATGCATAAATAATATTTTCATTCAAGTCAAACAGATTTAGAATATAAGAGAAAAAATATTTAAAAAATTAACATATTTAATCATCTATTTATTGAAATAGATATGTAAGAATAAGGGAAATAAATTTGAGAACCTCACAGTATTTACACATTTATCTAAATCATTATATGAATAAAAACTTACATTTTAAATTAACAAGAATGCAGTTATAACATTATCTAACCATTCAATTTGCTAAATCCATATAACTTTTGATTTATGTATATTGAAACATAATAGTTTTTTAAAAATTACTTTCTAATTTATCGCTTTTCTAGCTTTTAAATATAATGGCTCTCAATGTTCTCTTATAGTTTTTATGATTTTAAACATAATAATTCTTTAATTCTGACTTTTGGTGTTCTCCTATTCTGATATATAACTTTTATAACTTTATGAATTTTATGACTTTTATAACTTTAAAAAATTATGACTTTAAAAATAATGGCTAGTATTTTTTTTTTTTATGAGTTCTTTAACTCTTGAATATTGATGTTTATGCTATTACTATTGTTCTCTCTTCTCAAATCTATTTTTTTCTCTTCAGAAAAAATAACATACACATTATTAGCTTGAAGAGTGAGACTCTATGAGTGAAACTCTCTAAAATTTAAGCATTTGGTATTGACTTGTTAGGAAAAATTGAAGAACTTGTAGAAAAATCCGTCTCCCATACCTCTCTGATTTCTGGATATTAAACATAATACCTCTTTAAAAATTATTCTCTAATTTTGACCTTTATAGCTTTTAAACAAAAAATAACTTGATATTCTCTTATATTTTTTATAGTTTTTACGCAGACTGCTCTTTCATAACTCTTGATATTCTCTCTAATTTATGAGTTCTATGACCTTCAAACACAATAACTTTTAATGTTCTTTCTTGTTCATGTTTTTATTATTGTTCTCTTTTCAGATGTATTCTCTTGAAAAAAAAAACCTACACAGTCTTACAAAGCACCGAAGACCTCAAAGTCTAGTAGATTTTTGAAGTCCAACCTTGAATCGGTACCAACTACCGAATATCCGATAACAATAACAATGACAATTAGAATAAGGTTGATGACAAAGAAATTGTTGAAGTTAACCTCCGCCACAGGAGAAAGAAAAAAAAAAAAAAAAAAAAAAAAAAAAAAAAAAATGAGAGAGAAAACCTACACAAGTCTTACAAAGCACCGAAGACTCCAAAAGTACTAGTAAGATTTTTGAAGAGTCCAACCTTTTGAATCCGGAGTTACCAACTACCGGAATATCCCGATAACATCCTTGAATCGGTACCAACTACCGAATATCCGATAACAATAACAATGACAATTAGAATAAGGTTGATGACAAAGAAATTGTTGAAGTTAACCTAATATTTCTATCTAGTATGAAAGTCCAATTCTGCCTAGTATCATCTAACATAATTTGATTCAGACAAAACAAAGTGCTCGTTCATTCTTAGAATACTGGTCTTTTTTATTAGGGGTGTTGCACGTACACTCATTTTTTGTACTCTTTTAATTTTTTTTATCTATATAATATTAAAGCATAAATTTTTTATTTAAATTAAAATAAATACAATTGATTAATTTGATTTTGTATGGAAACTTTCGGTTGGTCCAAGCATTTACTTATATTTAATTGTTTACTTTTTTCACATTACTTTTAATTCTATTCTAGTATTAATGAAAATTGATCTGGAAAAAATAAAACAAGTTCAATCCAAAATTTCTAGATCTAATATATAGTTCAATCCAATTTCTAGATCTAATATTTTAATCCCTAATTTATAAATAAAGATTTTTAATGCCAAGAAAAAAAAATCAAGTCATGACTCAATCAGCCTCTATCCTCAACTGTAAATCAATATTTATATAATACTATAGTGAAAAATAAAAATAAATTATTTTTTTCTGCTAGGTAAGAAAGAAAAGAAATGAAAAGATATCTAAATTAATAATGATGTTCACTTTAGCTATAGTGATAATACCACTTATCCAGTACATTAGAAGAAAAAAAAATATATGCACACAATAAATTCTTAACAACCTAAAAGGTAACTCAAAACTGAAATATAGTTCTTTTTTTGTTTTAGATGCATAAATACTATTTTCTTTCAAGTGAAACAAATTTAAAATATAAGTGAAAAAATATTTAAAAAATTAAAAACACTTAATCATCTATTTATTGCAATAGATATATAAATCTCTTAATAAAATTAAAATGATAACAATTACAAATTAATTCAATAATAAAAAATTTATTTATATATATTTATTTAAAAAATAATATAATAATTTTTTTAAAAAATGATAACAATTACAAAATTAATTCAATAATAAAAAATTTTATTTATATATATTTATTTTCAAAAAAAGTAATATTTATTTAAAAAATAATTTTTATAAATTTTATCTAATCAATTAATAAAATGTAATTTTCTAATTAGACTAAAATATTCCAAATTTCATTAAATGCCCTATTGAAATTCTCATTGTTCCTTATTTACACATTTATATATAATATAGATATATTTATCAAGAGCAAAATGCTCGGCCACTTTGCCGTCAACATGATACCATGAAAATAAAAACATTAAAATCATCATAAAAACTTCATAATTTAAAAGGGAGAGATTAAAGTGTTAATGGAATCATAATAAAAACTTAATATTTTAGAAATCAATTTCTTAAAAAGGACAATGAAAATAGACAATTTTCTTTAGATTTGATATTGAGGAAAGAATCAAAGTATTGATAAAATAATAAATTAAAAATCTCATTATTAAATTAATACAAAGATCCACATATAGGAACCTCATATAATAAGAAGCTCAAAGTTAATTTGAATTTTTCTCTAATAGCTATTTTGTAAATGGCTGAAAAATAAATATAAAAGCTATTATTTCAATAGTTGCATGAACTTTATCAAATCAACATTTCTATTTTATATATAAAAACTCAAAAACTCTAAAAATGGTTATTATTAATTTTAATCTGAAATGGTGTAATGTTCTCAAATTTAATTCAAAAAATATATATATATATATATATATTATATATATATATATATATATATATATATATATTATTGTTACATGTTGAAGCAGAATCCATTTGAGGAAAATTTTGAAATGATGGAACATATATAAAAGAAAAGACGCTTCTTACCCTTATATAAAAGAAAACGCTAATGATAGATAGTAGGGCAGTTCGTAGGTCGATTTAACTCGATTTGAACATAACAATCGAATCAAACTTAAAATACCGGTTTGAAAAAACTTAAAACCAAACCAAACCAAATCATCAAAAATTTCAATACAATCCAAATTTTTAGCGGCAGTTTAATTTGATTTGATTTGATTTTGCTGTTTAGGCGATTTGAAAAAAAGAAATTAACATTCCACATTTATCTAGTAAACAAGGAAAAAAAATAACATCATGCAAAATATGAAAAACAAATTCAGAAAAATTATACCATAAAATACATATGACTTCGAATAGCTATTAAATTAATTTTTGAATATGTATTTTTTTGGAATTATGTTATTTTTCGGTATATAAACAAAGTGAAAAATATTAATTGATAAATTTAAATTTTGATTTAATTTACATCGTATTACTAAATTAAAAAAATCTATAATTTAGTCGCATATAGTTTTGTACATGTTAATATCTATCTAAGTCTCTACGATTTGAAGAAACCCCTCTAAGTCGCATATAGTTTGTACATGTATATCTAATCTAAGTCTCTACGTTTAAGAAGACCCTCTAACATTGCAAATTAACTAAGCTCATAAACTAAGCAGAAGACTATCTAAAATTACTAACTATAGTTGACTTATTAAGCTCATAAACTCCCAAGTACACTATTAACTATTATTAATAATAGGCATTAAGTACATAGAGACCCTCTAACATTGCAAATTAACTAAGCTCATAAACTAAGCAGACTACTAATTAGGTCTCCAAGATTAAGAAGACTGCGTAAAATTACTAAATAATTAGTTTACTTAAATATAATTAATTATACTATTTACTGTAGTAACTATAGTTACTTTACTAAGTATAAACTAAGTTGACTATCGAAATTATAATATAACTACAGTTAATTTTATTAACTCATTTTGTCGAATACCGTCACTCTCCCTTCACATTGCATACAGAAAGTTGCTCTCTAAGGCCTTACCTATACGCTTCTCTCTGGAAAAATCATATCTTCTTTTTAATGATTTTTTTTTTTTTTAAGTGCTCAATCAACTCAAGGACAATGATAATTTATGCCATTTCTTACCTCTGCCCTTGACGAGGAAAAAAATTACAAAAACTACCCAATAACCTACGACACAAATCTGCATAGTTTATCACTCATGAGTCATTTGGGTCCCAACAAAAATTTAAAAAAATTCCCCCGAAAGACGGTTCTCTTCGAATAATAAATATATCACGGCTAGAAAGAAAAATTTCACTTCCATCGACATAATGGAACATCTCACGTGCAATTTGGCCAAAAGTGACATCTTTCAATAAAGAGATGTGTATAAGAGTGAAAAAAAAAAAAAAAAATCAAAGCTGACCAATCAAAGCTGACCAATGTTGTCTTAACTGCAGTTAATTCAAAATACTTGACCATGTGGTTGCGTCAAGGTAGATCACCACCGAGTTTAAGAAAAAAGTTTATCTTTACCGGTATCATTTTCTATGATACTTGGTACAGAGCATAATTCCCTCGTATTTTTTTAATTGTCTTTTCATCTCTCTAAAACTTGAATTGATAGTTCTTGAACCAGACTAAAATTGACAAATGCTACCGACAATATTCAACGAATGTAAAATTAAAGTGAACCTTGAATATTCAGAAGCTCACGAATCACCCACCAAAGTTCGCCAGTGTTTATTCAATTGTCTAATTTTCACTTAAAAATAATAGGATCATCTCAGCCATGCAAAGACACGCAAGAGAGAGAAAGAGAAGATAGAAAGATGATATGCATACCAGCTGTTGGTGAGTCCTTTGTTTTGTTTTCATTTTGACCTTTCTCAACTTTGTCCAACAATGCCTCTTGATTGGAGAAAAATGCATATAATCTCATAAACCTCATTTTAGAATGCATCAAATTTTTTGCACATACTTTAACATAATGCTTTGACATTAAGACCCTAAGCCATGAGTAGCATTTTTTCTTAGTTTTGACTAAAAGATATAATTAAAAAGCAGCTTTCTCAATTACTTCTCAATCTCAAAATTTGTACTTTTGGGATCACCACTACCACACAATACAATAAAATGCATCCTATTCACTTGACAGTCGATTGATACATTAAAAGCATCAAAGAACGATACCTGCTACAGCAATTCTCATTACTTGACCGCATAAATGCCTTGGATTTTTTTTTTTTTTTTTTTTTTTTTTTTTTCACATACCAACAATGTTCACAAAATGTAAAACTAAAGTGACCTTGATATAAGCATATTAAAGGAGGCTCAGATTCGCCTTTTTCAAGCAAGCAGAAAAGTGAACATACAACCATGGCTGCAACAAAAGAGCTCAAAATCAGAAGCTCCTGAGTCACCCACCCAAAGTTGCTAGTGTTCATCCAATTGTCCGATTTTCATTAAAAAAAAAAATAAACATACCAACAATGTTCACAAAAATGTAAAAACTAAAGTGACCTTGATATAAGCATATTAAAGGAGGCTCAGATTCCCTTTCAAGCCAAGAAAAGTAACATGACAACCATGGCTGCAACAAAGAGCTCAAAATCAGAAGCTATCCTGAGTCACCCCCACCCAAAGTTGCTAGTGTTCATCACAAAATTTTCCGATTTTCATTAAAAAAAATAACAGATTATCACAGCATGGCAAGGACCACAAGACAAAGAAGAAATGATAGAAAAAGATAAGGTATAAGATATGTGACAAACAAGGGTCAGCTCTGCCATCAATCAGAGTAGCTCAGAGTAGCTCTCCAAGAGCTAAGCCTCACTTTTCACTTGAAATATCTCCCCGAAACAAACAGAACCTAAACAAAGATATTTGGAGAAATGGAGGCTCAGATCAGATAGCCCTAGTATCAAAAAAGAAAGAAACACCACCACATCATGATGGCTGCAGCCAATAGCTACCAGGAAAATAGGGTGAAACCCATATTTAAGGACTGCCAAAGGCTGTCTAAGTTCAGGAACCACGAGTGGAGTTAAGCCGCTGCTTCAAAAGCCTACCCCGCCAGAGTATGGGTGTTTCTTTTCTAATCTGATTTTAGGTCACTGATAATATCATCATAGCCTCGTTAAGTTACTAAAACTTCCAATCATTCCATCCAAACAAAGGGTAGAAGTGCAAAGTTGAGGGTATATTTATGCATTTGGCCTCTCTGTATGCACAGGGAGAAGGAGCTGTTGGCAAATAAGAAGATAAATCACAGGCTCCACTTTTTATCAGAGAGACGAAGTCAACCGCCCTAAAACCTTCAATCTCACTGAGAACAAAACCTCATTCTCAAACTAATGAGCTAAAATTTCCACTGTACAAAAATCAGAGAAAGAAAGAGATGAAGTGAGGCTGAGATTCGCCTTTAATCAAACAACAAAAGGAACAAAGCGAATCTGGCTCCAATGATGGATCTATCTGCAAGAGATTGAAAATATTCACATTGCCCCGCCAAACAATAAGCTCAAAATCATCCAGCCAATGGTCGCATCTATTCCCTACAATCAAAGTCACCCAGCAAATGGTATCATCACAACCTCAAATACACATGCACATACACAAACAAATGATATGATTTAAATTAATTTAGACCAAACAAACAAAGGATAGAAACATCACATCCACGGCTCAGGCAAAGAGCTATTTGTCAAAAAGGCCAACAGCTATTTGTCAAACAGACAAAGCAAAATCAGAAGCTCAAGCTCATCAAGCCAACAGTCGAATCTATTCCCCACACTCAAAGACACACAGCAAATGGTATCATCACAGCCTCAAATACACATGCACATACACAGACTGAGAGATACTGCTGAATAAAGGGACACTTCGGTTTTATAATTTTTAGAAAAATATTTTCCAAGAAAAGGCCCAAACGGAAGCAGAGAAATCTGTAGAAAGAGAAGGCTCAGATAATATATGCTTTCAGATCGGACAGGACAGAAACACCACAACACCAGGGCTGCAACAACAAAAGGTTGCCTCGCCAAGAAATTGAGTATTTCTCCTCGAGTCTAACTTTTCAGGCTCACTGAAGATATCATTATAGCCTCGCCAGTCCAAGACAGCTACTCACACACACAAGAAAGAAAGCAGACATATTGGTATAAGGGCTGTTGCCAACATAAGAAACGCAATCAGTAATCACTGGCTCCGCTACCTATAAGCTCAAAGTCATCAGCCAATGTCGCATCTATTCCCTACAATCAGACACATGTCAGCCCCAGTAAATGGTATCCCACGCTCAAATAACATGCACATACACAAAACCAAATCATAGATTTAAATTAAGTTACAACTAAAGGTAGTAAACTCACATCCACGCTGAAGCCAAGAGCTATTTGTTTCAACACATGACAAAAGCAGAATCAGAGAGCCCAAAATTCATCCAGCCAATGGTCCGCATTCTATTCCCTACAATCAAAGTCACCCACGCAAATGGTATTCATCACAGCCTCAAAATACACACTGCACACTACACAAACAAATGATATGATTTAAATTAATTTTAGACCAGAACAAACAAAGGATAGAAACATCACACACGGCTCAGGAAAAGAAGCATATTTGTCCAAACAGACAAACGCCAGACAAAGCAAAATCAGAAGCTCAAAGTCAATCCAGCCAATGGTCGCATCTATTCCCTACAATCAAGCCACCCAGCATATGGTATCATCACAGCCTCAAATACACATGTACATACACAAACAATTGATATGATTTAAATTAATTTACAAATAAAGGATAGTAACATCACATCCACGGCAAAGGCCAAGAGATATTTGTCAAACAGACAAAGCAAAATCAGAAGCTCAAAATCATCCAGCCAATGGTTGCATCTAGTCCCTACAATCAAAGTCACCCAGCAAATGGTATCATCACAGCCTCAAATAATAAGCCTAAATACAACATGCACATACACCAAACAAATGATATTGATTTAAATTAATTTAGACCAAACAAACAAAAGGATAGTACGATCACATCCACGGCTAAGGCCAACAGCTATGGCCAACAGCTATTTGTCAAACAGATAAATCAAAATCAGAAGCTCAAAGTCATCCAGCCAATGGTCGCATCTATTCCCTACAATCAGAGTCACCCAGCAAATGGTATTATCCTCACAGCCTCAAATACACATGCACATACACAGGCAAATGATATCATTTAAATTAATTTAGACCAAACAAACAAAGGATAGTAACATCACATCCACGGCTAAGGCCAAGAGCTATTTGTCAAACAGACAAAGCAAAATCAGAAGCAAAAAATCATCCAGGCAATGGTCGCATCTATTCCCTACAATCAAAGTTACCCATCAAATGGTACCATCACAGCCTCAAATACACATGCACATACACAAACAAATGATATGATAATTAATTTAGGACAAACAAACAAAGGATAAAAACATCAACATCCACAGCTAAGGCCAAGAGCTATTTGTGTAAAGCAGGACAAAGCAAATCAGAAGCTGCAAAGTCATCCAGCCAACGTCGCATCTATTCCCTACGAATTCAAAAGGACGACCACAGCGAAATGGTATCATCACAGCCTCAAAATACACATGCACATACACAGACCGAGAGATACAAGTGAAAAAACAGGGACACTTCGGTTTATAATTTTTTCAGAAAAAGATTTTCAAAGAAAAGGCCAAAGCAGAAGAGAGAATTGTAGAAGAGAAGGCTCAGATCAGATATGCTTTCAAATTCGCGACAGACACAAACACCACAACACCAGGGCTGCAACAACAAAAGGTTGCCTCGCCAAGAAATCAGTATTTCTCCTTGAGTCTGACTTTTCAAGCTTCACTGGATTATTATATCATAAGGCCTCGCCAAGTCCCAGACAGCCGCTCACACACACAAGACAAAGAAAGCAGACATGATTTGGTATAAGGGCTGTTGTTGCCAACATAAGAAACGTAATCAGTACTCACTGGCTCCGCTACCTACCAAAGAGGACAGAGTCAACCACCCTGAAACCAACCGCCTCTCACTGAGAGCAAAGCCTCGTACTTAAATCATTCACCCGCAATCTTAACAAAATTCATGCAAAACCAATCGCAAATGTTTTTTTAGAAAAATGTTCAAAATCAAGTGCGAGCAAGAAGAGGAACTGAAGTTGAAGTACCTGTTATGTTAACCTTTTTTTATGGCTAGCCACATACTAGCCATCAAGAAAACAGGAAAAATACAAGAGTAAACAGGCAGCCATTAGTTGTCAAAATATAAGTTGGTGGATATAGGCCAGAACACTATCGAGGAAGTTACAATTGATTAAGAGTATACAAGTTCACAATCAAAGTGTAACTACTAAGTGGAGATTCACTAGAACAGCAGCAAATCATAACAGCAGCAAATCAGATTCACTAGAACAGCAGCAAATCATATTTCACTGTATTGTGTGACAAATGAGGAGCTGTAAAACGTCATAGATGACTCAGACTCATAGGATTGCGAAGCAAATGCATAAGAAGATTCTAACAAAAAGCTGATTATGATACATTGCCTGCCATTTGTGCATGTACTATAGATAAAAACAGATATGATAAACAAGCATCCTACTTAATTGATATATCAAAAGCATCAAGAAGGATGCCTACCACGACAATCTTCATAAATTGACAGCATTGATAATAACTTCATTCTCATTTTCATGGTTGGCTTTCTACTCTCACCCATAGACCAAAATTGACAAGCTTAGTGCAAAATATTGAAAAACAGTTCAACGAGAAAAAATATAAAAATAATATTGAAAAACAGTTCAACGAGAAAAAATATAAAAATGAACTCCACACAATTGATTTTTTAATTTTGAATTTTCATGTTCGGTATCAACTGTAATGTAAATTAACATCACTAAATCAAATGATATGCTTTAAATTCATTTACAACAAATAAACAACGGATAGGAACATCACATCCACGGCTAAGACAAAGAGCTACGTGTCAAACAGACAAAGCAAAATCAGAAGCTCAAAGTCACTGAGCCGAAGGTTGGATCTACTCCCCTACAATCAAATTCACCCAGCAAACGGTATCATCACAGCCTCAAATAAACATGCACATACACAGACAGAGAGATACTGCTGAATACAGGGACACCAAACAACTGTAATGTAAATTAACATGACTAAATTAAATGATATGCTTTAAATTCATTTACACCAAACAAACATGATATGCTTTAAATTCATTTACACCAAACAAACAAAGGATAGGAACATCACATCCACGGCTAAGACGAAGAGCTATTTGTCAAACAGACAAAGCAAAATCAGAAGCTCAAACTCACCGAGCCAAATGTCCGATCAATTCCCTACAATCAAATTCACCCAGCAAATGGTATACCATCACAGCCTCAAATACACATGCACATACACAGACAGATATACTGCTGAATTTAGGGAAACTTTAATTTTATATTTTTTAGAAAAATATTTTCCAAGAAAACAAACAAGGCGCAAACAGAAACAGAGAAATCTATAGAAAGAGAAGGCTCAGATCAGATATGCCTTCAAATCAGACAGGACAGAAACACCACAACACCATGGCTGCAACAACGAAAAGTTGCCTCGCCAAGAAATTGAGTATTGAGTATTTCTCCTGGAGTCTGACTTTTCAGGCTCACTGAATATTATATCATAGCCTCGCCAGTCCCAGACAGCCACTCACACACACAAGAAAGAAAGCAGCCATATTGGTATAAGGGCTGTTGCCAACATAAGAAACGTAATCAGTAATCACTGGCTCCGCTACCTATCAGAGAGGACAGAGTCAACCACCCTGAAACTGAAACGCAACCGCCCTCTCACTGAAGAGCAAAGCCTGCGACTTAAACCATTCACACAGCAATCTTAAGTAAACATTTTTAATATCAAAGCATTGGGATTTTTTATTTAGAAAAATTTTAGAAAAAAAATAACAGAACAAAAATCGAAGAAAATGAAGAGCGAGAGATCGTAGAGGATGGAGGCTCAGATTCACCTTTAATCAGACAAGAAAAGGAACAAGGTGACCATTGCTGCAGAAATGGAGCTTTCTATTTGAGAAAATAAAAGAGCCATTCTAGAATAAAGTCTCCATACTGCCCCGCCAACGATCAAACTATTCCTTAACGTCTTTCTTTTGCACTCTAAAACCCAAAAATCGTCACCGCCTCTTTATAAGGAAGAAAGAAAGAAACAAATGCCGAAAAAGAAGAGTATGATGATGATGTGTGACAGACAAACGGCGACTATTACACAAGCAACGGAGAAATCATCGGCTCCGCAGTCGTTCAGAGAGGCGGAGCAACCGCCTTCTCTGCCGCCTTTCTGAGAGCAAAGCCTCATTCTCAAGAGTGCTTGATTCGTACAATGGAATGGAACATCTTGCATTTTATGGTAGCTTCGTGTTTTCGTTTAGTCCATCATTACCCTTCTGAGAAACACCACAACACCAGGGCTGCAACAACAAAAGGAACAACAAAAGGTTGCCTCGCCGAGAAATTGAGCATTTCTCTTCGAGTCTGACTTTTCAGGGTCACTGAATACATAGTCATAGCCTCGCCAGTCGCCAGACAGTCACTCACACAAAAACAAAAGAAAGAAAGCAGATATATCGGTATAAGGTCGTTGCCAACATAAGAAACGTAATCAGTAGTCACTGGCTCCGCTAACTATCAGAGACAGAGAGGACGGATTCAACCACCCTAAAACCAACCGCCTGTCACTGAGAGCAAAGCCTCGTACTTAAACCATTCACACAGCAATCTTAAGGTAAACATATTTCATGCAAAAGCAATTGCGAAATTTTTTATTTTAGAAAAAAAAATAACAGAACAAAATCGAAGAAAATGAAGAGCGAGAGATCGTAGAGGATGGAGGCTCAGATTCACCTTTAATCAGACAAGAAAAGGAACAAAGGGACTGCGGCTGCATAAATGGAGCACTCTATTTGAGAAAAGAAAAATGCCATTGTCGAATAAAATCTTCATACTGCCCCGCCAACCATCAACCTATTCCTTAACGTCTTTCTTTTGCACTCTAAAACCCAAAAATCGTCATATAAACCCAAAAATCGGTCCACAGCCTCTTTACAAAGAAAGAAAAGAAAGCCCGAAAGAGAAAGAGAATGATGATGAATATGATCTATGCTATCTATCATATATAGACACAGAGCAACCGCGGGCTATTACACAACGACGGAGAAAATCAATGCGGCTCCGCAGTCGTTCAGGGAGGCGGAGCAAACCGCCGTCTCTGGCAAGCCTCTCTGAGACAAAGCCTCATATCAAGAGTGCGTACAATGGCCGCAATCTTGCATGCGTACAATGGGCGCATCTTGCATTTTATGGTAACTTCGTGTTTTAATTTTGTTTTATTCCGTGATTGCCCTTTTGAGTGTGCGACGTTGGGCGGTGGAGCATAACGGTAACTTGGTCATTAAAATTTTAAAATTTTATGATGGATATAGATAAAACTGGGAGAGCAATAAGTTAAGGATAATTTGGTAAATAAGACCATACGCGCTTAAAATTCACTTCTCCTCCTAAACAGAACAATGCCAAGTTTTGAATAAATAGCTTCTCATTCAATTCCCTGGTAAAACAAATAAATAGATAAATAAATAAATAAAAGTTTTGAATCAAGAAATAGTTACACAATCCATTTCATTCAGAATCAAAATCCTTTCTTAATCCTTTATTCATTCCTATGGCTTCACATCCAGGCAGCAATCGGTTCTGCTACAACTAATGCAAGCTCAAACAGTTGAACCAGAACAACTTAATTAGCCTATCCTGCAGTGATGGAATTTCACGAGATATCGGCACGATCAAGCATATCTACCAAAGTCATCCTTCTAGGGAACCTCGGAGGCAGTCTCAAATACATAGCATCCTCAATCTCAATTGGTCAATTGGCAAATGCGTTGCAAACGTCGTATAAACACATGTGAGTATTCCTCCCTTCTTTCATATGGCTCTGCATAATATATTCGAGCAATTTTAACCCCTTCATCATCTAAATGCGACAGAAGGCTCATCCAGTACGCAAATTGTCGGTCAACAATGGCAGTAGTTCTTGCAAGTTGCAGCTCTTCCGTGGCCCATTGACAGCATTTCTGCTTCTCTTATTGCCATGCTTCCAAGCCCCATCGAACTCAGATAGGCAGGTCCATAGAATTCCCGTGCTTGCCTTACAGAAGCTCAACCACTGAACATTGTCAAGGACAGGTAAACTTTTCCTTTGATGGCATCTTTCAAAGGATAGCCAATTAAGTTGAAGCTTATATTGGTGGAAGAAACTCCAGATTCTGTCACGTCATGACCGTTCCAGAGATCTGACTGCAAGAAAGGCTTAGAACAAATCGCAGCCAGCATATCGTAAGTAAGGTGTCTTGCCTGAGCCTATTGCTACCGTGTTAGAAAAAGTGCCCCTCCACTCATAACAGATACGTTAACATGTCGCAAAGATTTGTTTGGGCATTTCTCCTGCAGGAAGACAATTGTCAAGAAGGATCGCGAGGAAGAAGTGGTGGCTTTCGAAGAGACATCAAGTTTTAAAAATAAAAAGGAGTTTTGGTACTTCCAATTTTGCAGAGACTTTCGCTGTTTAGAATCTGAAGATGATGCTAGGAGCCAAGCCTACCAATCCTCTAAAATAATATAATGCAGAACAACACTTAACCCAGCAATAACTTTGATGCGAGTGGGGGAAAACAAAAGAAACCTGGCATCATATACAATGAAAGCAAATTATTACTTTGAAGGTGGACTGGAAAAGGGGGACAACTAAAAGTAGATCACTGCGCAGAATAAAGTTCAAAATAGTAAGGGAAATGTGTTATATAATGAAACCAGCTGCTAGTCAATATTCTGAAAATAGATTTCATTTGAACCAAAGAACGAAGATTGATTGTAGGTGGTTACTTCGCAAAATGACATTATGCAAATCAACTAAACAAATTAGCAAAATTAGCAAAATCCAAGAGAGCAAACTGGAATTGAAACTTTGTACGCATATAAATGAAAACTGACCCATGAACTAAAGCAAACAAAGAGACACAGAGTTTAACAATTTGCTTTGGATCCTATTAGCAATGAGAATTAAGCTACCAAATCCCATTTAAAAGTAATCAGAAGAGATCAAAAAATATTGAAAGATTGACAACAGTCGATCATATTCTCAAGATAGCTTTGTATAAAGATGAAAAACAACTAATTTCTCATTAGAGAGCGGTTTCTCCATAAAGAAAAACGAAAAACAACTCCATTCTTTATTAGGATAATGTACTGCAAAATTGGTTACCAGCATGCTTCAACCACTTCTAAATGCTTTGATTAACATCCAAAGATAATAATTCATAAATAAAAGGACCTTTGGCCTTAGAGACCTCAAGTATTATTATTCTTGACACTTGCAAGTTGCATCCCCCTAATATATTTCTATATGCATATATTTCCTACCTATGCAAAAGTAGAAAATTCGAAGTAAGCTATAAATATGGAAATAATTTTATAGGCTTTCAAAATGAAATGTGAAGGAAACTGATGAATAATTATACTAAATCAATAAAAAATCGATCTCTAATGATGACAAGTACTGAAAACCCTCCATTCAAGTGCATTCAATCAAATGATTCTCAGAATTTTTCCAATTGCTTGCATACGTCACTAATCACTAAATCAATATCAAAGGGCTACTAAAATAGGACAATTTCAAAAATTAAAATAGTAAAATTTGTATGTGCCATACTCTGACAGATAAAATGGGCATTCAGATTTTTATAATGTCCAAGATAGAACCTAGTTATTGTAGTCAACCAACTCAAACTTTCCATTTGGATGTGCCATAAACCATCATTGAAAACACAAATTATCAAAATTGGTTTGAAATAACACAAATTATCAAATTGTTTGCTTCAAGATGAAATGGTGCAGCACGGAGAATAAATGAGTTGCAGCACGGAGAATGAAATGAGTCATGAAACTTATGGAGATGCAGATGCAATGTTAAAATTTGCAGAGCAAACGATATTCATATTCGCGGCCATAACATTTTTTCCTCAATTCCAAATGAATTGGGTAAAAAATCTTCCTCCTGACCAATTAGGAGTAGCTGCAGAGAAAAGAATAAGGTCTGTAGTTTCAGGATATAAAGGGAGATTTAACACCCAACCAAATACAGGAAATTAATCACATGAAAATGCATGAAAATCCAAAAAAGAAGAGAGACCCATACAAAATTTGAAACCCACTCATAGAGCATTAATCTCGTCACCAACCAAAAGAAAAGATTAAAAAATATATATATTAAGAGAAGCTTACCTCAAAGAGAATCGAGTGAGCTAAGAGGAAAGAAGATCAAACACTGGTCTTGTTGAGTTGTGAATTGCGAGAGAGAGAATCGAGAAACCAACAGCTGAAGAAGAGACTCGATTGGAGACTAGTCACAGCAGAGAAACAGAGAAAAGCGAGACTGATGCAAAAACGATTTGCGAAGCAGAAGCACCAACATTAAACATCCGAGAGTGCTAAGATTGAATGCATGAGCACGTGAGATTGTCAAAAGAGGATCAAAGAGCTCTTGGGCTTAGTGCTTCAGATGCGTTTGGGTTTCATTGATTCTAGCCTGAGAAAGATGTTTTTGTTGGGGAGGCGCTAAGTTGAGAGAACGAAAAGAGAGAGAGATTTAATAAATCAGGCCGGGATAACCAAACAGAATCACTTTCCACTTTCCCATGTAATTAATTAATCAAAAACCAATTGGTATTGGCTACCATTTTGCGTGCTTTCTCACATGCAAGCTAAAACTGTATCAGGAGATAGAGAGAGATGACAGTTAAAAATTTTTCATTTTTAATCAATCGCTGAATTTTTCATTTTTAATCAATCGCTGACTGTAACTCATTCATGAAATACAGGATCTTCTACGTGTGTTTCCAACTTCTTGCTCAAATAAAAACTATGCGGAAAAAAGGGACATACAGATACTATATAGACTCACTAGTCCTCATCTACAGATACAGAAAATTTTTCTGTTTCTCCCTTTCCTTTCAACCTCAATTTCATCTCAACTTGCAGACCCTGGCATCTTCATGCGGCATCTTCATGCGATCCAGATTCTGTTTCCACCTACGGCCATTCGACAGGTCTTGCAATTCTAGTCCTCCGCTCCCTTCACATGTCAATCTTAGTACAAATTTGAATCGACACTAAAAAGCAATTCTGAGCCACCACAAGATGGCAAGTTCAATGTTACATCTGTTAGTATGTACACAGCATTTAAATAAGTATGGGTTACAATATTATATAATAACTACAGCTGAGGTACATGGCCATTCCTGCAAGCCTACAGATATTATGATCATCCAAAAATGGCATGATCTTCAAAAGAAAAATGGCATGATCTTCAAAAGAATTGGATTGGGCCAAGCACGGATTTCCTCGCTGACAAAAGCAATGCACCTTAAATAGAGATTGCTGATTTTAATTTTTAGTTACTAATCCACCTTCGTTTCCGAGCTGGCCGCTCTGGCTTGACCTCTGAGTCCACAGGGGCGTCGGTTTTGACAGAAGGCAACGCTTCATTCTCCAATTTCTTTATTGTCAAGGGGTCCTTTTCGCTAGGCATTGGAAGCTTGAATCGCTCACTTCGTTTCTTCAACTTCTCTACTGTGTCTAGGTGCCGATCCTCCAATGGTTTTGTATCAGTATCCTTATTCTCCACATCACCAATCTCTTTATCTTCTGTCAAAGGATACTTCTCAACTCTCTTGAGAACATCAGGAAGTTTGCTGGCTTCAGAAGTTACGATATTGTTATTCCTTTCTATCTCTTTAAACTTCATGGAGGCTGATGGCTTATTGCTTATGCTAAAATCTCGCTCCTTATGGCTTGTCCAACGTTCTAACTTTGAGCGTCCTCTCCTTGAATCTTGCTGTTCATCATCTGAGGATGCTTCTTCCTTGTGTCTTTTGGAGGAGTTATGTTGCATCTCATTTTCAGCATTTCCTTGCCCAGTGGCACCCTTCAGACCCTGAGAGAGGCAGAAAAAAAAAAAAAAAAAAAATTTCAAGAACAGAAAACCTAGACTTCAAGAAACTTTCTGCATTAATGAGGAAAGGGTCAAGTGGACAACCTTAACTGCAGTTACTAAGAAACAAGGCACGTGCATCAAATTAAGACTTAATGATCTCATTAAATGAAAATAGCTTCCATAAAAAGAAATGGAAACAAAATTGTGCACAATATTTATTTGTTAACTACCCAAATGGCTAGGATGCCAAATCAGGATTCTAAAGATTTTCCTTGGTGCTAGACGAAGCACCTGAATCTCCAATTTACCTGTCATCGATAAGAGGTTGAGATTTCACGCTGAATCAAATGTGCAACATAAGAACCATGTGTAGAGACATCTCTAGAAGGAAATAGTCACCTTTGAAATCAAGTTATCACCAACTATCATATTGAAAAATATCAGATATAAGGGGAAAAATAAAGGAAGTGGGAGGGAGAGAGAAAAGAAGCTAAATTCAACAGAAACCAAGCATGAATATAACATCAAAGTTGACAAAATGGATAATGCTTCAGCATGCTGGGCCGTCCATGATTCACCTCACTTGCCCCAGAAACACACCATCCACCCCCACCCCCCCCAAACACCACAAAAAAAAAAAAAAAAAAAAAAAAAAAAAAAAAAAAAAAAAAAAAAAAAAAAAAAAAAAAAATCCTCGCTTTTTTGGCTGGCTCTTATGGATCACAGTCCGGTACTCAAAGAACTCAGTAGCAATTTATGTAATAAGAGAGAGGTGACCCACTTCCACTGTCCAAACACCAAAAAACAACAGAACTCGGGGAACCTATCGAGTTAGAACTCAATCAACTTTGCTTTAATCCAGTTACTCTTGTTGCCATATTTCTACATCAGTTTATAATCTGTGCTAAACCAATTAAATATTTGAAATATATTATCAATAAATCCTATACCAATCAAATAAAACCAGCAATGTGTATTTGATTGGTATAGAACATCGATATTTTCTTCTTTTAATCTTTTGTTCTTATGGGAAGATTTCAATCAAATAAAACCAGCAATGGGGATAATTAAAAATATGCATCAGACTATCAAAGTAATTTATGAATCACAAAATGCATAACCTACTCGAGAATTTTAACTTGTAAAATATAAGAAGTCTTTTATCCAAAAATACTGTCATAATCACTTGCAACATAGCAGTCATCTAGCCTGGCTCCTACATGTCAAAGAAAGGAAATCACATCTTCACTGCGAAGAGAAGAACAATAGGTTTTCTTAATAGGAGGCACATAGAACTGGCCGTTCACCAAACATAACAAAAAACATGGCTTAGGCAAGATAGATGCTGGTGATCCCATCAAGGGATAAAATAATCACTACTAGCTTCTCTTTTAATAAGCATTACCACATATTAGGACACAGTTGAAATCAAGGCTTAGTTATTATTGTTGTAAGCATTAATGTGTATTGTTTAAGGATTCGGCTCCACAAGAATTTAATAAATATTGCTCACATTAAAGGACATGGTGTAACATTGCCATTTGTTAGCGCAAACCAGTAACATCGCTTCCTCCAAAAGAAAAATAGTGCTAAAATTCCATAATTATCCAGACATGAAAACAAACCAACTTTCCAAAACTTAGACACGTGTTATAATTATATATAGTGTCAGAAAAACGTGTTTAACCAGATTGTGATGCATGGTTAGGGTATTTCAAGTAATTAATTTCCATCATTACAGGTTTACAATTGCATCAAATTTCATTTAAAAACTTAATTTTTATTATGACAATCATTGGTCAATAACTGAACTTATGAGAGGATATCCTTTCAATAAGCAGTTTATGTTATTCTGCTAGATGTAGAACATACCATCTCATCGGTGTGATCATCTTGATTTCTTCTGGAAGAACCCAATGTGTTGTGATCTCCACCCTCTGATTCTTTATTCTTCCTTGTGTTATCTTTATGCTTTCTGTCATGCATCCTTTGATTATCAGGAGTATCAACAGCACGATCAATACGATTGCTAGACCTTTCTTGCCTAGATCTTCTCTCCTCAGTGCTAAGTTGATTACCTCGTGCATAAACATCATCACGTCTCCTATGATGCGAGTAATTTTCATCCTCCATTCTATCCCTTCTCTTCTGTTGTTCACTGTTCCGGACAGAATCTTTTAGTTGGTATTCTTTGTCAGAAACCCTGTATTCATCCTTCATCCTAGCATGGCCAATCCATGATTTATCATCTACACCACGTCCAGTCCGCATAGAACCTCGTGCATCTTCTTTATCCCTCTTGGATAAACTTTCTTCATGGGATTGTTTTAGCCTATACAACTCCTCCCTCTCCCTTGGCCTTTCACCCCTGTCCCTCTGGAGCCAGACCTCATCTTTTTGCCTAACAGAGTGATAATCATCAAGATTGTCTCTAATTCTTTGCTGATCCTCTCTCTTCCGGGGATCTAAAACATCATCCCTTTCTCGCCTTCGACGACTTGTGGTTTCTCTGTGGGCAAGTAAGATTTCCTCCTTGTCATTGTGCTCCCTCCTCAAATATTCCTCATCTTTTCTCCTTTTGCTATGGTAATCATCCACCATGTCATACCTACCCTTCAAATTTTCCTTTCTTTCCCTATGCTGTGAGCTGCTATCCTTATCATAATGCATCCTGTAGCTGCCATTGTCCAACTGCTTTCTTGAATGAAGATGTTCCTCTTTGTCAGTCCTTTCACTTTCTCGTACCTTACTTCTGTGCCTGGATCCCATTTCATCTCCCCGTTCTCTCTTCCTTGTGTCTTCGGTTCTACTTTTCCTGCTGTGAGGATCCTCCTCTCTTCGTTGCCAAGCTCCATCAAGATTTTCTCGCTCCTTTCGCCTATCATAACCCTCACTCCTCATATGCAAATGATGCACTAAGCCAGGGTCAAAATCTCTCTGAGGATAAGAACCCTCCCTACCTTTTATCACCACGTGATTTCTTTCCATCTCTTGTCTGGCATCACGTTCTTTTCTTCGGAAATTCTGTTCATTTTCACCAAGGTGCCCCTTGACGCTCCCCGTGCGCCTAGCACGCCCACCTTGAACAACTTCCTCCTCAACACCATCCTGCCATTTCTGACAATCTTTACTGCTTCCTGATCTTGCTTTGCTGTTTTCACTGCTCCTTGCAGCCTTCGAGTCCCCTCCATCATCAAGTTCTTGTGTTGCAGACAGTTCAACACGAGAACTTAATTTTTGTTTCTTTGTGGAACGGTGTACATTCTCATCTTTAGTACTATCATTTGTAGTTACTTCATTCTCAGTCATCTCACCCTTTTCCATTCCAGAACTTCCTTCAGCTAATACACGCTCATCATGTACAGTAACATCTTTGTCCTCCTCTATACTCAGTCCTGTTCCATCCATAACTGCAGCAGGAGATGCTACCAATGGACTATTTTTACCATCCATGCTTTCATTCGATTCTTCCTCAGCATTATCAAGATATCTTTTGTCCCTTTTATTCTGATTGGGCGTAAAATGAGGGGATCTGTCACGTGTTCTTCCCTGTACACGCCTGTGATAAATAGGAGAGAGTCAAAGACTGCATTAGATCTGGTACAAAGCTACCAAGTTGAAACTAATCAAAATCAAAACCAATATGCAAATAGCTAAGAATTCAAATCGATGACCCATGCCATCACTAGCATAGCTAGGCAATAAGTGCAAATACAATCTAGGCGTAGACCTAGGTTCAAATCCACCTTACCCATTTCTTATAAAAAATGCCCCTTAAATTCATGAATATGCAAGAACCCTTAATGCACAAATGGATATAGCAATTTGCACCTTTCCTTTTTCCATGTAAATATCACAAACCAAGTAAAGGTTAATTTTTATTGTTGCTCTATTTTTAGAAGGCTTCAATCATTTTTATATGTGCACAAGCAGAGCAGCTAAATTCTGCACTCACCCAATGAATCATGAAAAGACATTGAATCTACGTAATAACCAACCCTTAGAGTGCATGCACCCCACCTATCATTTATCTCTACATAATCATTATTTTCTTAACTCTTTGTTTGGATGAGGGAAAATAATTGAGGAGAAAAATAAATGGAAGAAAATAGGAAGGGAATTTGATTTTCTTCCAAAATTTTCTCTCCTAATTGAAGGAAATTTGAAAAAGCTTTAAAAAAGTTTCAATTTTAGGAGCTAAAATAATGTTATTTTCCACACATCAAAACATAGGGAGGAAAATAACTTGTTCTTAAAATTTTCTTTCCCCTTTATTTCTTTCCTTATTCCCATTGTCTCTCGTTTATTTTCCCAAAACAAACTGCAAAGTTAAATAAATAAATGCAGAGAAAAAGAGCATTCATTGGAAAATGTGTCACATTTAAGCTTATAAATATTGCACGAGCTGGGAAAGGAGGGGCCAAGTAGGGAAAATAACCACTACATGCAGAATATTAAGATGAGATTAAATCCAGAACTCCATTCTCAGGATCCTACTTCAAAAGGACGATATAATGCAGTTATGGAAAAGGTATACCACCTCCAATTTATATGCAGTTTAGAGTATAATGGTTCATAAAGTTGAGATTTGAGTCTATAAGTTATTCATGTGAAACAGTTTATTTTTGTTCTTCTCCCTTTCTAATCAGCTGGTCCATCGCAGTTCCAGCTACACCAGCACAAACCCCAAACCCACATTTTTCCAATTGTTCTACTAATAAAACCACTCAAAGAAACCTAAATCTTAATATTAGGTGGTCCTAAAACTTGCTTTATTTCTTTCAGTTCCTCATTTTTCCACCAAACTTGATCACTCCCCTTATCACATTTGAACTCTAAACCACCCTGTTGTGCATCAATTTAAACCCCTAAAATTTTAAATTTAAAAAAGCCCTCACCCATTAGAAAAAACATAAAAGAGCAACCTGCATTATCGCATACCTTTCCTCATGAGAGGGCTCAATATCCCCACCAGATAGCATAGGTGACCCCCTAGAACTAGGACGATATTGAGATGGTGCTTCAGGACGGAAAGACAGAATCCCATCTCCCTCAGGTACATTAGCGCGACCAGAATCAACAAATGGTGCTCTCCTCCCACCCTTTCGATTATCATAACCCTGTGGGAAATCATCATAATATTCTGTTTCCATCTGTGCCGTGCCATCTTCAGGTACATGGGTTCCTCTGGGATCATCTCTTGGTGCATCATTGTTTGCTACATCCAAACCACCATGTCCTGTGGAGGAGTCATCATCAAGAGAGTCCTGCAAGACGATCTGTTTACCCATACCTTGAGTTAATTTATCGCACCACAAGTATCAGTAGGATAAATGCAATTGAACACAGGAAAGACAGACAGTTCACCTCAATGATTGCATCAGAATCACGAATTCGAGGTGGTCGAGTATCAATAGAAGGAAGACGTTCACCATAACCTCCTTCAACTTGTATTGCCCGTCCAGTTGGCTGGTAGAAAATAAATTAAACCTCTGAGTATTCAAGCAGCTGTGGCAAATAAATATGACAGATCTAGAGCATCTGCATATTAGAAGACTTAAAAAACCATACAAAATCAATGTGATGGAGAGATAGTGAGTGGAACAGATAGAGAGAGAGGATCACACTCCTAGACAAACAACAAGATCAAGTGATTAACTGATAGATCAAAAAGGAAATTCACAAGAAAATAATTGTCCTTTTTTTCACAAAGTAGAAGTGTGGTGGTGGTGGTGGTGGCGGCGGCGGCAGTGAAGCTTCAATGCAAAGTATGTAGAAGAAGAAAAGTTAAAAGGAAGAAGCATACTAGTGGTGGCCGCACACGAGAAGGTCCTTTCATTATGTCACTTTGTCCAACCTCTGACTTGCCAAGACTTGAATTGTCAACTGGAATATCATGAATGCCAGCTGCTGCTGCTAATTCTGGTGGCATATCTGGATCATATTCCTAAAATGACAGCAATAGTAAAATTTTATTAAAAAAAATACTCTTTAAAAACTTTAAGAATTAAAAAAAAAGGGTTGTTGGAGCCACATATTTATGTGTATCTGCTTAGTTAATTTCGATATGGCCATGCATGTACGTAATGTGTGTGTCCTATTACCTGTTCCGCCCGCCCACTCTCATATACACGAATTTTGCTTTGCATAGTAGTCTCCAGCCGGTGTTGTTCCTGAGTAACATAATAGACCCTTTTTAAGCATTTGTTTGATTGGTACAGAATATCATTAAGGATCAATAGTTACCAGCTGTTTGCAATAGTCTTTCCAGCTCTCCTCATTCAAACCAAAGTTGAAAAAATCCGAAATATCCACACCAGGATATTTCCATGGCTTTTCCTCAAAGCTATCAATATCCACATCAAAGACAGTCCTGAACATATCACAAAATTAGTAAGCATCCAGCAGATAAACAAACTCTAAAAGTTAACTGATTAACACAAAATGCTTCCACACTCAAATCTACAAAGAAAAAGTTCAATTAAAAACCATATTAAACATAGGATGAAAGAAAACTACAACAATATGATAGCCTCTTCTTTCAGCTTCCGCCATGTCAGAATAAACAGACTTGAAATAGGAATATAGGACTAAGAATTTTAACACAACCAATAAACAAGCAACCCATTATTATGACAAACCAGAATTACAAATACAAGACCAAATTGAAAATTTCACCTGAGGAAATATGAAAAACCTGAATTAGAATCAGCAAAAGACATCTCTTTAGCTAAAACCTAGCATGAAAGTATGCGTACTATTTGTGGCATATTAAACAGACCAATACTGCAGACAATCATTGACAGCTAAAACCTCAAGGATCCCTTGGGAAATTCAAAATCAATACTTCTAGATGGTTGATGTCTCCTCCTTTTAGTATTTCTCAATAAACAAAATGGTCTCTAGCCATAAAGACTAAGAAATCTAACCAGACTCTTCATTACTTTCATATTTTAAGAAAGCTTCAATCAGACGAGGTTGATAACTGAAATTGGTAAATCAGTCATGCTATGAACATAAGATGTTTTTTCCCTTTTCCCCCCTCAAAGAAGTTCAATTAGAATTTATCAACATTCAGAGAGAGAGAGACTGTTTCTATTCAAAGTTGCTTTATTCTGATATGCAATGTCAGCCAATGTTCTCTTATGTTAAGAAATTTCAGTGAATAAAAATCAAAGGAAATCATAGTCGCATTCTTGTGAAGACCAAGGACAAGAATAAGCAACTGAAACTCAAAAACTGATGTCATCTGGTGCACACAAGGGCCTCCAAAATCAAAGATATTGCTAAATAAATAGAGCGACATCCTGATTTTGCAGACCCAGAAAGTACATATACAAGTGGGTGTCAGTCATCCTGTTAGTGCAATTTATACTCTGGCAAAATTAATTAATTGTTGAAGCATATAAGATGCAGCATTTCCAAGTGGCATTAGAACTTCAGTTGTTGAGCAAGTTTGGCATTCAAACTCACGGGCAAGTTTGAATGAAAAGTCTCCAGGTTTTGCCATTTTAGCATTCTAAGTAAAGGGCCAATTGGGTCAATTTCAGGTACTCAAAGCCTTCAACCTCTAGACATCTACCCAAATAACTTATTTAACAGTATTATGAAGACAACCAGCACTCAGACTGCAAGAATCATGCAAATGGTGAAAACATGAAACAATCAAATCAACACAAGAATGACAATGTTATGAAAAATAAATAAATAAATAAAACCCAGCTTATTCAGTAAAGCAAATTTACTTGTGTGAAGGAAGGGTGAACTCTAGTCCACCACCAAAGCCCCGCCCTGCCATATTATTGCCCCAAACAGGCATTCCAAAACCAGGATGGTGACCCTTTTGCATTGAAGGAGCACTTTTAATTCCTACAGGTCGCCAATCACCCCTACCACGCCCAGCTATAGGAGCCATGTTGATAGGAGGACGAATTTGACCTGGGACTCCTCCAGGACCAATGGTAGTAGCTCCAGGCATCGGCGCCGCACCAGGTCTCACATACTGCATAACAGCAGAAAATAAGCCATGAAGTTAACATGAAAACACAGGAAAATAAATTAAAGCCCGCAAAATGAAATAAAGACTTAATCATTAACGCAGAAGAATTTGAAAGTACACCAGACTTTCAGTTGAGTTAAGCTTAGCAGCACATCAAATCATCAACACTCCAACTACTTTCTAGTTAAAGGAACCACACAACCATGTCAATCAGCTTCCAGAGAAAGTATCCAGTCACAAACTAAATTCGCCTCTGGTATAAAGTTAGCAAAAATAAAAAACACAGCAGACCAAAAGGCAAGCATTGAAAATAAAAAAGTATCGAGCACCATAAGTCTAACCTTTTCTACAGCTTGCCATATACTACTCATCAAGAAAAGGAGAAGTGTAAGGGCAGGAGGCAACTACACACAGTTAATTAGGTGCCAAAATACAAGCTGGTGGCAACAGCCAGAATGATATCAAGGAAGTCATAATAGTTTTTGCATATAATGCGTTCAATTATAAATGAAAGGACTTGCTAAAACATAAAAGGATGATACTGCTGCTCAAAGTGTAGAAAGCACCAATTATGGGCAGGAACAAAAAGTGAACAAAGAAAATTGATACTCAGATAGTTTTTTTGCAACATAAAAGGAGGACATTGCAAATCAAATTGACCAACAGCCATCGACGGATTTCATATTCACAATAGAAAAAAAAAATTGATAAGTGGAGATTCACTTGTATGTTAAGCCCCAAAAGATAAAAAATCCAAATCATATCACCCAAAAATGCATAAGATAGAGTTGACAAATAGTAAATTTCAGTTTTAATCTGTAAGGTGATTATGAAATTGAAGTGAAGTGCATCTCAATGACTCAGAAGTGCTTAGTGTCGAGTCAATACAGAAATTGAGAAGAAGTAATTCCTTTGCTCAAGGAGGATCATATATTTTGGCATATATTTTAACAGAACACAGTGCCATTACAACAACAAGCTGCAAATGATACACTTCATACCAATCATTTGCAAAATTATCTGTATGTTTTCTTGGTCATTAGTTACAGAGGCAACAATTTACTTCCCACTCTCAGTGCGATACCTGTTAGGACCCATGTACAACAGATTGAACCAGAGACATAAAAATATGTATCCTATTCACCTACTCGATACATTTAAAGCATCAACAGTGATGCCCTGCAACAGCAATTCTTCATGAGTTGACATTATAGATATGCCCAATGTCATTATTGTCCCTCTACTTCACTATAAACATAAAACGGTTGTTCTTGTCGCCCACAAACCAATTAGATAATAACAGCGCACAGTTCCAAAAAAAAAGACCTTCAACTTAATATCTCACAGACAATAATGATATAGAAGCAAATTTGGTTCACATCCCAACAATTTTCATAGGATGTAATAACCTCTGGGTGGGTGTCATCGCTAGTTGCTTTGTTGTCACTTTTGTATCTGCTTTGCAGCACTGATACCAAGGCAACAGCATCCAAGAATTAGCACTTCAGATGTTGTTTAGTTAGTTTACAATTGAGAAGCACATAAACTTTCCAAATTTCAACAATTCTTTTAGCACACAAGGCCCTGACACCAAAACTCAGGTAATCGGGTTGAAAGAACATGAACCAGGTGCAGATTAATTAAGCACTCAATGGCTTGCGATGTTAAGAGAATTTTAAACCCTTCGTTTCCAACTGCAATTATCCATACTTACTACTTGCTAAGTAAAGATACAATTCATGAAAATCAAGAAAGATTTACCATTTCTCATTCAACTTCTTCAAGTAAACATACATTAACAAAAATAAAGATGAAAGGACCTGTCACATATGTACAAAAATTACAATCTTTCATTCTCATCAGAAGAGGGGAAAACACAAAATCCCCCGCTTAAAGAATAAAGCCACTATATTTCTTTCCTTTTCTTTTTTTTTTTTTTTTTTAAAGTGCTAAGGTAAAGATACCAATTCATGAATAATCCAAGAAAGACTTACCATTTCTCATTCAACGTTCTTCAAGTAAACATACACTTAACAAAATATAAAGGACGAGAAGGAACCTGTCACATATGTACAAAAATACATATCTTCGATCTCATCATAGACGGGGAAAACACAAAATCCCCCGCTTAAGAGATTTATAAGCCTACGTATATTTCTTTCTGTTTCTTTTTTTCTTTTTTTTAAAAAGCTCAAACACATTAGCAAACAAAACAACAACACTTGACCTTGAACTGAGAATGAAACGGATGATGATTTTTTTTTTTTTTTTTTTAAAGCTCAACACATAGCAACAACAACAACACTGACCTTGAACTGAGAATGAAACGGATGATGATACCCATGGTTGCTATACCCAACCTTCGGCCCTGCTACTGCACTTCCTTTCCCAGCTGCTTCGCTGCCCTCTTTCCTCTCCCCTTCTGCCCCTACTGTTGCCGCAGCATCCTCTCCCACACCCCAATCTTGTTCCTCCATCGGCTGGTTTGGGTCCCCATCAGCCACAATCACGAGTGGATCCCCATCTTCGTCGTCATCGTCGTCATCAGCGTCACCCATCATTCCTCGTTCCATCCCCATAGGCCCATGATTGTTATCATTCAACACTATTTGTAAATCATCTTCGCTATCACTATCTTCCTCCCAATCTTCATCCCCTCCACCGCCACCACCAGGCCCGCCGCCGCCTCCGCCAAGGTCGGCTTCATTCCTCTTCGAATCCTCGGCATCCACACTGAGTCCCGGAATCATCGGACCTGAACCTTCAACAATTCCAGTAGTATCCTCCTCGATATCAAAAGTAACCTCTTTCTCCTGCTTATCAGATTGAAAATCAGAACAATCAACAGTATTCGAAGCACTATTCAGTAATTTCACATCATGAGAGCTCAAAACCCTAGGTCCACCAGCTGAATTATTATTAGCTGCAACCGAAATTGATAGGGCTTGATCAGAAGGAGCACGATGGTTGCGACTGGATGCTCCGTATAGGATCTCATCGTCCTCGAGGTCGTTGCTGTCGTTGTGAAGGTTGAGATCGATCGGACGGTGTATCGATGAAGGTGCAGGAGAAGGCTGTTGGGGCTGCGGAGCAGCCGATGAAGATGACGAGAAAGGCTGCAAGACGTCCGTGTAAAGATCTCCAAATTCATCGTCGTCTTCCATTAGAGATAGAAACTAAGTTGAGAGAGCGAGTAACTGTTAGAGCGAGAGAAAGAAAACAACGAAACCGATGTTAAGAGAGAAAGGGTTTTGAGGCTTGGCAGCGAGGGCGTGCAATAAGAGGAGGAAGCGACTTTAATGTCTTTAAACAAATAATAAATACTAATTAATTTTAATTTGGATTAATAATAGCAATAATGTTACTTTGTTTTGATTAATTTTGACAATACTTTATAATTTGATTTTATTTATAACTTAATCCTAAATTGATAAACTAAAATATTAAATAAAAAATTAATAATCAGTTTATATATCTTGATAGATTTTATAAATTAATTCCTCTGTATTATAATAAGCTTATTTTCTATTTTCAAAAAAAAAAAAGCTTATTTTCTTTTTCTATTTGTTCCAACCCAAATTATAAGCTAATTGCCTTTTTTAAAAATAAAATTAATTTCTTAAATTTTTTATATATTTATTTAATATAAATTTTTATCAATTTTGCATCTAACCCTTTGATGAAAATAATATTTAATATCAATATAGGAATATTGATTAATCTATCTTTACAAATGTGATTAGAAGTTATTTCAAATTAAGGGTCGAATGATTTAACTCGATTTCACTAATTTAAAATATAGTTAATTTAAAATTCATGAATATGATAATGCTATTGTTTTACTTAATAGTTTCTTATTTTTAGGGTTTTAATAATTTTTAGCTACAGTATAATATTTAAGTATCCAATTTTGACCTATGAATTCATGTCCAACGCAATCTCTAATCCATTTTTACTTTGTAGATTCATGTATTCAATTAGTTGGATTGAGCAAAATATTAACTTATTAATTCATCCACAAATATGAAAATCGAAAGTGCAACACATATGCAGCCGTATTTGAAATAATGAACATTTAAAAAAAAAAAGAGTGTTCTAAGTTCACTTTTCTTTTATTGTCAATATCGCATGTCTTTTCATAAAAAAGAAAGAATAATTCATGTAATTAAGTAGAATTTGTGAATCTAAATATTTATTTTTTTAATTGTTTATATCATTAATGCGTGATGATGGTTGCCCATAGCCGATGGTTGACGGCTAATAAATAATTAATATATAAAATGATCATTAAAAAATAATTATTTTTATATATTATGGTGTATAAATGATCATTTAAAAAATTAATTATTTTTATAGTGAGTGTTATGGTGTATATATATATATATATATATCATTTAAAAATTCATGGTTAAAACATAATTATTTTTATATATTATGGTGTATATATATATATATATATATTAAAATTCATGGTGAAATATTTGTTATTTTTAATGTATCATGAAAATAAAAATATTAATTAATTTTTTAAAATAATATTTAATGAAAAAGCTTTGTAAATATAAATAGCCTCCAGACACCAAACATATATAATTTTTATAAAGTCTATTTATTTTCGAGGAAATAACTTACTTAAAAATGACTTAGGCATTTTTCATTTATAACATTGATTTATCTTTAAAAATATTATTCAAATAATTATTCTATTAATCTGTAGTTATAATATTATAAATTAATTAAAAATAATAAAATCTATAAAAACGATATTTATTATTATAAAAGCTTAATCTTTTAAAAATTATTATTAAATATGAAAAAAATTATTTTTTATAGGTAAATTAGCTTTTTATTCGATTAGAAAAATAATACTTTATTAATTAATTTTCTTAAGCACTCCGCATTAGAAAATTCAGAAAAAATAAAAAAAATATAAATATTGACTAAAATTATTATTATACATCTATAAATCAGCGTTTATAACTATTACTGATCACTAATGATTAACACATACTTATTATTGATGAAGCCGAAATTAAAAATTAGGGGTAAAAAAAATTTAAAATTCAGGAAAAAAATTAGAGCTCATTATTTTAGTGGTAAAATTTAAAATTTTAATTAAAATTATAATAAACTTTTGGGTAACTATTTTTACTATTGTTGGTCAGTAACTATTATTGTTTATTATTTATCACTACTGTAAGTCCATTGGCTGCCACTATAAATCAATGACTACTGAAATTTATTATATTTTCCCTTATATAAGCAAAAGTTTCCAAGAAAATAAACTTATAAAATTTTTATGACTATTTTTTACTTCCATTAACTAAAAATCTTAATATTTTTGAATATTACACAAAAGAAAAGTAATTTGAAAGATATTTCCAGAAAAAAAGTAAAATTATTTTCCAAAGTAAAATAAATTTAGTCGTCAGCAGTATAGCGTAACACGAGCGAGAACCGCCGGTTTAGTGCGGTTCAAAAGTCATCAAGCCGGACAGACGGTACAGCACCGAAGTTAAATACTAATATTTCTATTTCTTTCTTTTCTTTCCCTTTTTTTTTTTGGTGGAATTTCTCAGCTGCCAAGCAGACAATTGCAGAATTCCACTCACTGCTAAAAATTTCCTCCGATTTGATCTAAAGCTCTTTCAAAGAAAAATTAAACGCGACAACTTTAGGAGCTAAACATGATCGGAGTGGGCAAGATCAAGCAGTACTCTAACGTCCTGGACAAACCGCTCAGCAAGGGGAAACAAGAGGTATCTATCTTCCTCTCTATTTCTCATATCTAATCCCCGTCGCTCCCTGTTTGGTTTCTGAGAAAATTTCCGGGAAAGATAAGAAGTTGACAGACATGAATTTTGTGATTTGCTTTCAAGAAATTACGGTCTCAGCTTTTCGTTTCTTAGGTCTGATATTCTAATTGTTTAGCGATCCATTTTCGCTTTTTGGTCTGCTGCATTTTCCAAATACCAAACAGAATTTCCAGATCTTTACCGCATTTTGGTCTTCTACTGTAATTAGGTTTCATAGCTACTCATATTTTTACTAGTTATGTATTTAATGCGAATAAGTGAGGTTTCAGATTTTTCTCTTTGGTCAGTTCTGGTATTATTTGGATTGCTTATTGATAAGTAATGCATTTTTTACTGCTTGAGGATAGTAATTTTCTACTTCATGCTAAGGATTGGGGAAATGAGAAAATTGAATTTTCAGTTAGGTTTTTGACAATTTGAGCCGGGAGCATCTAAAACATACATTAAACTGCACTTGATTCTTCATCTACTTGGTTGGAAAGAAATAAACTTTATGCAACTAAAGACCATATGAAAATGTTAGATCACAAGATAACTTTCTCATAAACTTGCTTCATGGTAATTGTGACTGAGTTTTTGTTCTTTAATTTGGACTTGGTAGTTGAAATTTTCTAATTGACTTATTGGTATTTACTTTTCGCAGGTCAGTTTGAGTGCATTTGCATTTTTGTTTTCGGAGCTTGTTCAGTACAACCAGACACAAGTTGACAACATTGCTGAATTAGAACGAAGGTAAGCTTTCATTTTTCATAACTTTAAAGTTTATTGACCATGCATCATTTGATTGCTCTATATCATTGTATTCACCTAGTCGATTAGAAATTGAGGGACAATAATTAAGTTGTCTCCAATTCCACCTGGGTCCATAAGTTCACAATGCTTATGAGTTATTTGTCACTGAGCAATGAGGTTGGGTAATATATATAGAAGTTTCATATTGATTCTTTGAAAAATAATTTTTTTAACCTGGCCGAACATATTTTACGGAATGTGGAGATAAAGAGATAGGACATGAAAGGGTAAAAAAGAGAAGGACATAACGAGATGTTCTTTGAAATTGATATACTTAGAACTTTTGATCCCAGGCTTGTGCAACCATACATGGTTTTCTATTTTATTTTTGATACTGGTGTCATCATTAACAACGCCTATGGGAATGGCAGGCTGGAGGATGCAGGCTATGCAGTTGGGGCTCGAGTTCTTGAACTTCTCTGCCACAGAGAAAAGGTATGCCATGTTGCTAGAGTTCTGCTCAGCAAACTACACCAGGCAAAAGCAACCAGTTTAACAACTAGCCAGGGTTCCAATTTCTGATGTTGGAACTGTTGGAATAATTATATTGGTTGGCTTTTTCTGTGAAATTAGCATAGATATGATATTTATTTGTATATGTGCTTTATGATCTGGTAGAGGTAGATTATATTAATGTTTATGGAACTCTTTTCACTTCATTCTTTTGGTTGCATTTGGCAATAAGATTTTATAAATTAATATAATCAAAAGCAATGGTATTTCTTTTATTCAATTTGGTAATTATATTCTTTTGACATTTTCACTCTGCAGCACAAATATTAGTATTATGTATCTATACCTCCAAGTAATCTTAACTCGAGGGCATGTTATTGGTTGGCTTCTTAATGTTCCTATTTAACTTGTGAGTTAGTTGCAAATAATGAAGGTTCTGAGTATAGAAATATCATATCTTATGTCCTGAAAACATGCTTAGCTCGTTGAAAATGAAAATAATTTTGGTCTTTTTTACTCCGTTGGACATTTGATGCCTTGGGTTTCTCAGTTTGTGCTAAGTGAATGCTCCAGGTTTCAGGTCGCCGTCAGAATGGTTGGAAAATTTTATGATGAATAGATTACTCTTCTGATGCCTCTTTCCCCAACAACTGCATTTCTTTGTGGGCTAATACTTTTCTATAATCATTGAATTGAAATCTTCCATGCCTTTTTTTTTTTTTTTTTTTAAAAATTTTATGATGAATAGATTAACTCCTTCTGATTGCCTTTCTTTCCCACACAACTGCAATTTCTGTGGCGGCTAATACTTTTCTATTAATCATGATTGAAAATCTTCCATGCCTTTTTTTTTTTTTTTTTTTTTAAAAAATACAGAGCCAAGATTGTGTTTAATTTTTTTTTTTTTTTTTTTTAAAAATACAGTAGCAAGATTGTGTTTAAGTTTTCTGGGATGTTCTTTTGAGAAGGAAGTTTCTTTTTCGATTTCATCAAATAAGCATGATACTTTATAGAGACGTATATACATCTTTGTGCCATCATCATGCTATTGGCATGATTTGGCTTTTTTGGCGAATAGACCAATTGGTTTCACTTTCATTAAAATTTATTATGAATTTTGGTTTGGTAGAAATGCTATATTCATTCTTATTTTGATGGTACAGGGAAACCGAAGGGAAACTCGGTTGTTGGGTATTTTGTCTTTTGTGCACAGCACCGTGTGGAAGGTGTTATTTGGAAAGGTAAGTTTATTTTCATCAGTTTCAATGACTTCTTTAACTGCCATTTGTCTGTATATAGAATTTTGTATCATGTGTACAAAGCCTTGTGGACAGAGTGAGGGTGTGGCTATGAATAGAGCAAAATGGAAACAAAGGATTCATATAGTTGATCCCAGCTACTTTGGATTAAGGCTTGGTTGTTATTATTGTATGTAAAAAGCCTTCTTGTTATCTTCCTCGGATGTGAACTCTGCTTGCAAACCCTTTTTCCTTCCTGATCAGGACTTTTTCCTGTTCTGTTACAAGTACTATGAAAATTTGCTAGTTTTGTCTAAGAAAATGTTACAAATGATGTACATATCTTGCTTTGCGAAAATGGATCTCTATTTACATGCATCTTGATCTGGTTACATATCGAATAATTTTAAGAAACTGTTTTTTAATCTGCATTTGCACTTGTGGAATGTTTACAGAAAACTTTCTAACTCTGTATGATAATGCAGATAACATATCCAATGGAAATATAAGATTGGGAACACTTTGAATGTTACATATAATAATCGTGCTTCTTCAGTTTTATTCAGTGAAACTTGACAACGTAAAGTTGAAGCCATTTATATGTATACTGAAAATAAAATGTGTGGGATGGATACAGGCTTGTGTAATATTGAGTTCGAGTGTGTAACCAGCTCTCTGTGTTATTACATTAGGTGGCTGATTCCCTCGAGAAAGGCACTGAACATGAAGATGAATACATGATCAGTGAGAAGGAGCTTCTCGTGAACAGGTGACAATTGTCTCTTTGCTCATTGTTCATAATAAGGTGCTGTCACAATTAGCTGGGTTTGTGGGTTTAGGTCATTGTACAGGTATCAGTTGCCCTCCCTTATTTTTTTATTTTTTTGTAGATTCATTTCCATTCCAAAGGACATGGGAACGTTTAATTGTGGAGCATTTGTTGCTGGAATAGTGAGGGTAGGTGCTACATTGAATTTGTAAATTTTGAGTGATCTTCTGGTCCATGAAAGGGCTGACGGGCGTTTTTCCTATTTCCTTTTGAAGGGTGTTTTGGATAGTGCAGGTTTTCCAGCAGTAGTAACAGCTCATTTTGTACCTATGGAGGGTCAGCAACGACCTCGCACAACCATTTTGATAAAATTTGCTGAAGAGGTAAATGTCGGCTTTCGTTATATCTGCTTTATCATGGATTTTTTTGGTTAAAGACATTTAGGATTTTTTGAAGTCAAGCTCTTTTATCTACGGTTGACCAAATGTATATTAATCCAGATAATGTGATGCTCCACTTTCATCCTCTTCTGCTAAAATCCTTATCACGTGAATCATCCCTAGAACATAGTGGTTCTCAATATTTTCTGTTTGCAACTTGTTATGATGGATACTAATGGATTAGAGTGGTCAGGTTTACTTATTTTGAAATGAAGGTATCTCTTGTAAAAGAGTGTCTATCACGCACCATTGCTGCACGAGTGTATATTAGGAATATGGTAGAATTTTGCTTGTTAGAGGATATCAAGCATGGTTGTCAGGTTCTCCTGAGGCTCTACCTGGTCTAAGGGTCCATAGTCCTTGTGTCCTCCTAACTAACCTTAAAAAATGTGTGGCTTGTTGGTGATTCATCTAATTTTTCTTAATCTTTTGTTTATGCACTTCAGCATTCAGATCTGCTATGTGCTTCAATGAATCTTATTTCTGCCAAGTTTTGAGTAAATTCATCTAAGTAATTCCAATAACTTGTAGCTTGAGAGATAATATGATGTGATAATCTAGCTTTTAGATAATTGCACCATATTTGTTAAATCATCATCAAGAGGTCGTGAATGCATTTTTTGGCAGTGAACATGTGCTTTCTTTCTCCTATTTGGACTGTAGCAAAGCCTATGCCTAGTCTGTCTGCTTGAGCCTTGCATCCACCACTCATGCATTTTAGATCTAAAAGAATCATGCCACTCACTCATATATTTCCGTTGTCCAATCCAGGATGACATAATACTTGCTTTGCATAATTTAAATTGGTTTCTGCACCTGTATTCTTCATTAAAATGCTTTCTGCTTGTTCTTATCAATTTTGTTTGACATGGGACATGGATACTTGCTGCCAGTTTAATGTTAACCTTGGTAATTGCAAAATTTTTCATTTTATTATGGTTGTTTTCCATCGTATATTTCTGAACCAGGTACTAAGAAGAGAAGCAAGATTAGGTTAACGCTTGTGCCCAAATACCCTGATGTAATTTTCCGGCAGCAAGAAAGCGAGGAATGGTGAACTTTTCATTTTACTAATCAAACTGATAAGAATTATCACTTGCCAATTCTATCACAGATACACATGGCTTCGTCGGATTCCTGTTTACTTTTTATGTATGCTATTCTTCAGGGCATGGTTATTTTATTGATCTAGCTAGTATTGCCACTGCAATTGATGTAAAGTATGTGTTATATTCGAAAAAAGAGAAAAAACCGAACTGAACTGTTTTTGTTTTGTGTGAATTGTACTTAAAAGAGGAACAATATTGGATCTTTCTCGTGCCTACCCATTCTTATTTGAGTTAATTACTCCTTCCTCATTTTATAAGGATCGATCTCATTCGCTTTATGGTTATAGTTAAATTAAAAAATTTCTTATTTGAGGCTGAATGATTAAAAAAATCCTAAGCCTCGACGTAGAAACAGGTTGTTTGGATCGTTTGGATGGGCTTAGGCCTTTGAATTTGGATGGATTGGATCCTGAGGAGTGAGGACAGGACTAGTTTTGTTAGTAGATTTTCCAATCAAAGTCGACGTGTCATGTGTAAGGGTTTACGCAGTTGGTTTCAACTGTCACTTCAATTGAATTCGAATGGCAATCATATGAAAGCCATAAAAAATTGTTGTGAAAAATAAAATAAAAAGTCGTATTAATCAATAAAATTAAACGAATTAATCAAAGATGTTTGAAGTTGAGGATTTGTTTTTGGTCATTTAGGCTTTCTGTATTACTTAATTCTTTTATTATTTGTTTTTCATTAAGGATACAAACTGAGAATAAGTAAATTTTTTTTTCAAAAAAATAAAGTCAAAAAGTGGTAAAAGATCCTATTGAAATTAAAGGAAAAGGATAAGAAAGTGAAGAGAAAAGAATAAAAGTGTAGACTAACAAAAACTTGTGTATGTTTATTTTCATATTATGAATTGTATTGTAGCCTTTCTATCAATGAGTATATTCTGTCAACTTACATATCACAGGCCAAACAAAACTCCGGCATAGTTATCCAGTGAGCCATTAAAGAATGTCCCTATCTATCAATGAGCATACTGTCAATTTTCACCAATGCCGTGCACCTTTCCGGCATGTTGCACCGGCAGTGAGCCACCAAAGTATTTCCCTATGAATGCCCAGAATGTACGACAAGTAAGCAAACTATCTGAACCGGCCTGATGAGCAGTACCAACCCTCTCCACATCAAGCGACGTTGCCAGATTTCCCAACCCACTATGAATGCTGCATATTTTTGCCAAATACTTAATATCATAAATCACCGGAAAATACTTCTTCATCAACTCTAAGAACTCTGCTCGGGATTCGGGTAGATTACTCTTGCCAGAAAGCAACTTACACAAATACGCAAAATCATATGCACCCTGAAATACAACCCATTTAAAACTAGGATTCGACATAACACCTGAAGTCATTAGCAAGCTACGGAATCTCTCAGCATCAACACCCAATTCAAGATTCCTTCCAAAATCGATTCCACTCTCAGTTAACAATTCAATAGACTCCTTACTATGCGGATCGTTATGAATGTCAAACTCGCGAAAAGTGAATTGCCATGAACAGATCTTTCCTGTTCCACAAGTGGCTAAGTTTCCGCTGACATCAGAAAATGTAAGTCCTAATTGAATCAATTTTAAGTGATCAACATTTTTCTTAAGTATCTGGTAACGCGCGTCAGGATCAAGATTATTGAGGTTTTGATTTCGACCGACAACCAGCCCAGGAAACTCAGTATCCATAGCTACATACTTCTGTTCATGATTATGATCGATTATGTTACTAATGAGTTTGAACTCCTCTTCAAGATTTTCATTCCATACTTCTCTGATAGTTATTGAATCACTCGACATTTTTGCAATGTGAAACACAAAAGGTAAGAGTAACAGACGAAGAAAAACCCAGCTCCACGACCAAGAACCTAAAATTTGCACGCAAGAATGAATAAAAACCCCAAATCAATACAAGAAACGAGAACCCAAATGAATAAAACCCTAACTGAAACAAATGGACAGAAATTAAAGGTGCAGGAGAAAGAAAGATCATACCTTTGGATGTGAAAGTGATTCTCTCGTGTTCTTGGAACAAGAAAGAAGATTATTTTAAGGGAAAAAGAATAATTTTCTAGAGCTTTCTTGGGATAAAGTAGCAAGGATTTTACTTGAATTAGTGGAGGGGCGGAGGTTCTTCTTATATAGAGAAGCAAATGAAGAAAAAACAGTTTCCAGATAACAGACTGTGAAATGTGAAACGGCCTACAGTGTAACAGACCAACAGCTATGACTATGCCAACCAGCAGTGAGGTTTTGAAGAGAAAAAAACTTGTAAAATTTTATTAAAAATAATAATTAAATTCTATTCTTTATCCTATATGGTATAATATAGCTATTTAAAATTAAAATTATTATTATTTTTCAATTAATAAAATTAAAATCTTTAAACATATTATATTTTTATCATATATATATATATGATATAATTTTTTTAATTTTTTAAATAGAATTTATCCTATATGGTATAATATAGCTATTTAAAATAAAAATTATTATTATTTTCAATTAATAAAAATTAAAATCTTTAACATAATTATATTTTATCAAATATATAATATATGATATAATTTTTTTATTTTTTAAATAGAAATTTAGAATTTAAATAGAAAATTAATATAAATCAATTAAATTAATTTACATTACCAAATAAATTCAAAACTTAAAATAATTATATTCCCTTATCATTTTTAATATAATATCTTTATATATATAATATAATTTTTTATACTGTCTAATACAATTTAAATTTAAATAAAAATTAAGTTAATACGACCAATTAAAATTAAATTACTTTTAACTTCAACCAATAAAATTTAAAGCTCTTATTAATATTTTTATTAATCCATAAATTTAGCAGGCATGTTTAAATTTTTGTTATATGTTAAATAATACTAATTTTTGAATTTTATAAATCAATACTTTTTTAATAATTTAAAATAGTATTAGAATATGTAAAACTCTCTTAATGATCATTTCTTAATATTTTCAAATAGCTGGAAAGTTTCGAGTTCGAATTTTTTGGACCATCAATTTAACAAGCCAAAAATGTTATCATGTTATAGCCGCAGAGTTATTTCAGTCTTTAGGCCTAACCAATCAATAGAAAAAAAAATCATTTCCTAATATTGCTTTCTCAACAATTTTAGTGATAGAAAAAAAAATCATTTCCTAATATTGCTTTCTCAACAATTTTAGTGATAGAAAAAAAAATCATTTCCTAATATTGCTTTCTCAACAATTTTAGTGATAGAAAAAAAAATCATTTCCTAATATTGCTTTCTCAACAATTTTAGTGATTATAAACGACTTAACCTACAAAAACACCTCGAAATTTGTGACTTGTTGCAAAAACACCCTAACCTAACCTTTGTTTCTCCTAACACCCCAATTTAAAAACTTTAAAATATTATTATCCTAAAATCAAATTTAGCTAGGATTTTAAATAAAATTACAATCAAAATGTATCCTACCAAACTAGCTTGGGTTAGTAATGGAAACTATCAAAACTCCCCGTTTTGATGCCACGAAAGACCAAGGATACGGCCTAGGTTTACCTACCAGCAGCTTCACCAGCAAATGGCAAATAACTAATAAGGAGTCTTACCCAAAATAGAACCCACCAATCCATACACAGAGCAGAAACAACTAAACAGAAACACTGCATTATGACCCCAAATCAACAGCTTCAACCTTAATCCGCTCTGATGCGGGTTGAAGATTCGGGCCTAAAGCAAAGGCAACAACAACAAGAGCACATCTAAAGTGACAGCTTGCATTGAATTGAACCTCACATACTGGCTAAAGCTCAGATTTCTAACAACACCCAAATAAAGAGCAAAGAAGGCGACAAAACTAGCATATGGCATTGACCTGTAAAGGTTTAAAAGAGGAATTAGGGGTTCAAAGAGGAGCCCCATTTGTGGGTATTGAGCGAAAAGGAATCGTCCATATTGAAGAGAGTTGAGGAAAGGAAGAGTGTAAAACGGGGAGTTTTGACAGTTTCGAGAAGCTTGGGTTAACCAAACTAGTTTGGTGAGACTTATTTTAATAGTATTTTATTTAAAATCCTGGCTAAGTGTGTTTTTGCAACAAATCCCAAATCTCCGATTTTTTTTGTAACTTAAGCGAATAGAAATAGCATATTGACAAGCAAAACTGCAATAAGAACTCAATAATCCTATTGAAAAGGAAAAGGAAGGGGAAGATAAAGAGAGGGAAGAGAAAAGTGTAAGAATAATGTAGACTAACAAAAACTTCTGTATTTTTTTGTTTTTATTTCATATTATGTAGCCTTTCTGTCGATGAGTATATTCTGTCAAGTTACAGCATCACAGGCCAAACAAAACTCCGGCATAGTTATCCGGTGAGCCAATAAAGAATGTCCCCATATATCAATGAGTATACTGTAAATTTTCAACATCAAATGCCAATCACAAATCCGGCAGAGTCCTCTGGCGGTGAGCCATTAAAGCGTTCCCTTATCAATGTGAAGAATGTACGACAAGTGAGCAAACTATCTGAACCGGCCTGATGAGAAGTACCAATCCTCTCCACCCTTAACGTCGCTGCCACCTTTTCCAACCCACCAGAAAGGCCCTGGCAGAATCTTATTAAATACTTAACATCATGAAGCACCGGAAAAAACATACTGATCAACTCATAGAACTCTTCTTTGGAATCGGGTAGGTTCTTGTTAGTAAGCAACTTAAGCAAATACCCAAAATCATATGCACCCTGAAATACAATCCAGTGAACACTATCATTTAACACAGCGCCCGAAGACATTAGCAACTCACCGAAAGCCTCAGCATGAACACCCATTTCACAATTCTTTTGAAAATCTATTCCACTTTCTTTTAACAACTTAATAGACTTCTCAACTTTGCAATGTAAATTGGGGTCAAACTCGCGAAAGTTGAATTGCCATACACAATATTTAGTACTATCTGTTTCACAAGTAGGTAAATTTCCTCTTTCATCAGAAAATGTAAGTCCTAATTGAATCAAACGACAAAGATTAACATTGTTCTGAACTATCATGTAATCGGAAGTAGTACTGTCGACGTTTTGATTTCTTTGCAACAAAAAACCAGGAAACTCAGTGTCCAAGGCTATATAAGGAAAATCTTCAACGATAGCTCGAATGCGTACAAACTCCTCTTCAAGATTATGTTCCCATACTTCTTTGATGGTAATTGAATCACTCGACATTTTTGCTATGTGAAACACAAAATATACGAGTAACAGCTGAAGAAAAACCCAGCTCCACGACCAAGAACTTAAATTTGCAGACAAGAATGAAGAAAAAACCCCAAATCAATACAAGTAACGAAAACCCAGATGAATTAAACCGTAAATTAAACAATTGACTGGAATTAAACACTGTAGGAGAAAGAAAGATCTTACCTTTGGATGTGAAAGTGATTCTCTGGGGTTCTTGGAACAAGAAAGCAGACCTTTTTTTTAAGGGAAAAAGAAGAATTTTCTAGAGCATTCTTGGGATAAAGAAGCAAGGGTTTTACTTGAATTAGTGGAGTGGTGGAGTTTCTTCTTATATAGAGAAGCAAATGAAGAAACAACAGTTTCCAGATAGCAGAACTGTGAAATGTGAAAAGGCCTGCATTGTAACAGCTATGACTATGAGACTTCTTCATGCTCATTCCAAAGTTCGGAGTACCATTTGTATAAATAAGAATCCCTTCGTTACATGATTTCTTCCTCGTATAGATGGATAAAGGATCGATAGGGTAATTACTTAGAAATACATTTTGTGCGACGATCTTTCTTATTTGATAAAAAAGGATTCCATGATTCTGAACCGATCTTGCCTGGGATACCAAATTCCAAGTTTGTCTATGAAAACCGGATTTAATTATATTAATGAGACTTCTTCATGCTCATTCCAAAGTTCGGAGTACCATTTGTATAAATAAGAATCCCTTCGTTACATGATTTCTTCCTCGTATAGATGGATAAAGGATCGATAGGGTAATTACTTAGAAATACATTTTGTGCGACGATCTTTCTTATTTGATAAAAAAGGATTCCATGATTCTGAACCGATCTTGCCTGGGATACCAAATTCCAAGTTTGTCTATGAAAACCGGATTTAATTATATTAGCGTCTAGAATTGATTTCTTCTGTGTAAAACTAATCAATAGAGCCTCATTGATAAGTACTACAAGATCTCATATATTGGAACCCATACTTATGGACCAGCATCCATTAATATGAAGCATTTTCTTTTCCAAGTGAAATCTCTGGGTATTTGACAAAGTAAAAAAAGTGCTTTCATTATTGTGGAATAGGAAGTCTTCGTATCTTAATGTATGTATTTAATTTATTCAGAACTATTAGAGTGAGATCCACTTTTTGGGAAATACGAGTCGAATTACTTATCCGTCGGTCTATTAGTGAACTATTTCTCCAGGGATTGTGAGATATGTTATACTAAAAATATTCACAGCAGTGAGATTTTGAAAAGAAAAAGGCCTGGAAATATGCTACAGTTCTTTGTATATACAACCACAAAAATGTTAATTCTTTTTAAATTATAATATTTAACAAAAATTTATTCTTGAATTTTTTTTTTTTTTTTTTAAATTGTAAGGCTTAGAAATCTGCGACAGTTTTCATCGTTAAGAGGGCATTGAAGGAATTCTTCAAATTCATGAGATATTTTGCTGCTGCCTATGGCTTCTGAAAGATCTTTTATTGCAACAATAAGCGGTACCTGCAGCCGTTTTAGTTAATCCATTCTTTTTGCACTTTCTTTCTTTCTCGCTCGATTGAAATAATAGTTTGAAGATGATGAATGAATGGAGATATATATATTAATATTAGCAACAAGTTTTTTTCTTGATCTAAGTCTTTTCGTAAACAAGTCAAGTATTTTCCAAATCCTAATAACATATAATTAAGAGACCAAACATTTTGATAATGACATTTCCAAAATTGAGTTATGGCTCTGTCTATGGATAAAATAAATGAAAGATACATATTTTTTGAAATGAGAGTGTTTTTTACCATTAATTTATCATTATTTTTATGTAGGTGGAGCTATAATCTGAATTTAAATAAAATTTATCGTTATTTTTTATTTTACCTGTAAAATCAAGGCAAGCAATGTGCAAGTAACCTAGTTAGAGATGTGTAAAATGTGAAAGTTCATGATAAATTAAAGAATTCGCTAGCTTCAGGTAGAGTTAATGGTTCTTATAGATGCATCAAGTGCAGCTTTTCGATACCTATCATCTTCCATCTTCTTAAGGACGTTCCTTAGAACTTTAAAGTCCAATAACCTAGTCAACGCTGATGTCATCTAAGTGTCCTTTTCTCTGATTAACTAATATAGAAATTTTTCTTTTCACCTTTGCCGTGAGCTTTCATAGCTCAGTTGGTTAGAGCACCCGTTTAGTAAGCGGGAGGTCTTGAGTTCGACTCTCAATGAAAGCATTTATTTTTTCTCTTCATAAATTATTGCACACGCCATACCTAAAAAAGGCAAATAGTTACTGGATTATTTGGAATTTTGGTTTTTTTTTCTTAAAATTCTATAATATAATCATAAAATACAACAATACTAATATAATGATTCTGAAGTTATATATATATAAAAAAAAATATTTAACCTCCATGCCACACAGTTCTAACTAATCATGAGAAAACTATAATAACAAAAGCCAAACAAGTGAAAGCTATTACAATAAAACTGGAGAAGGATGAGGATCCACAAACTATAAATAAATTAATACATTCAATTAGTGTATACCGAATTTAATTTAACTAATGTTCTGAAGGGAAGAAGAAAGGATATTACTAAATACAGAATACATAAGCATCATGCATGAAAGAAGTTACGTGATCGAAGGGGATTACGGGTTCAGGCGGCAGCGGATACATTTAGTCCCTAGCAACGCCATTCAAGCATGAAGAAAAAACGATGAAGAAAAAAGCTACCAACATTTAAAGGTTATCCAGCAAGTTATATATGTGATCCAACAGGATTACGGGTTGAATTCCCACTGAAAATAACTTGGACCGAAGAGACAGAATATTGGCTCATCTGATTAAAAAAGGCGGAACAGGACCAGAAGAGTGAGATTTTGGACAACATCCAAGAAATATGGGAGCGGTTTAAGCGCGAGCTAGGCCGGAGTATGCACGCGAAAGTTTCCTCAATTAAAAACGATGGAAATAAAGGAAAGCCAACTAAATTTGTAATCTGAAGGTTAAACCTGCAGATTGTGAAATGAGGCTAATGTTTATAACCCAAGTTCAAAAATTAACTTCAGTAAGTGCAGTTTAGGCATATACATTACATCAAAACATAATTGACAACAAATTGGACATATTTTTATAGTCTCACATTTTTCAGGTTCAGAGCATACATTTTTATTTTTTATCTTTTCTCTTCTCTAATGTAAGTAACTGACGACAATAAATCATCTATAGCAATAGAAAAAACATATGAAGAAACACAATCAAAATAAGCAGAAATAGGCCATTAAGAGACAGAAAAAATCATGTAATATTCCGTCATGCAAAGCACAATTACTAAGGAAAATGGTTGAACTGTAAATTACAGCTTACAAAGTAAATCAAAAGCATCACAAATGGACACATTATGTCTTCACAGACCTTCACAATCAGTTCCTACCAAGTGGGAGTGACCTACAAGTAAAAGTCTCCTTAAAATCAGACTTTTTTGAAGAAGTAAATATTGATGCATAGACAGCTTTGTTCGCATTAGCTGGTGCCATATCTGCTGCCTTAAACCGCTTCGCTGCCGCACCATTACTTACTCCTTTCACATTCTCAAGCTTCCCATTTCCTTCCGCTCTACCAACAACCTTCTCTACATCCTTAGCATCAACGATCCCATGCTTTTTTCCACTTAATCTAGGCAAATCCAAACCCACATTCTCTTCTCCATTAACACCCAACACCTCTTCTCCATTCTTCACCTTCTTTGTCTTCTTATCCTTCACCTTTAATCTCCCCTCCTCCATTCTCTCCCTCAAAACCGCCACCTCCTCTTCATTCCCATTTATCACAATCTTATCAGATTCCTCATATTCCTTGTAACAGACCAGACAAGCTGATGACTTTACCTCTTTCAAAGCCTTAGCACTCAAAACATGGCCACAATTCTTCAAAGCAAAAAACCTGTATTTTCCATTAAACTCCAGCCCTGTTATGGGACAATGGAACCTAGCATCACTCAATTGCCCGCCAGGAATTGGTTCCAGCTTGATGTTTATCATATCCTTTAAACCCCTTATGTATCCAAACTCCTTAGGCAACTTTTTCCCTATCAAAGCCTCTACTAACGCTTCCTTGTTGAAAACATTACCCAGTTTATCAATAACGCAAGGCTGAGTCAACGGCTCATTCGAGAGAGCGCAATTGAGCCATTTAGATAGTCTCTGCTCATTCGGATCCACCTTATCAGGCTTTTTAACAGCGTACATGTTGAGATAGCAATCGCGGGACTCAGCACCCGTAGCGCCGCCATCACCACCACCTCCAGGGAGGCGGGACTGCAGGACGAGGGTAGAAAGAGAGGAAATTTGGGGATTTGGAATAGGAGAAGAGTCATGAAGGAGTTTTCCATTGAGAGTGAAATAGAAAGAGGACAGGTTTCGATTATTGGGAAAAAGAGAGAGCTTGAGGCTATGGAGGGTTGTGACTTGGGAATGATCTAGGGTTAGGGTTTGTACTTGAGAGTTTGGGAATTGAAGAAAGATTTGTTGTGGTTTTTGCTTCATTTTCGAAGACGTCTCCTCAGGGTTTGTCAGATTTAAAGCTTCGACAGGGAAAATTGCAGAATTTAGGACTTGCAGAGAGATTTGAATAGAATAGATTTTTAAGGTTTGAGATAGCTGGAGTCACCGACTTCGTTAACGAGAAACACAACCGGACAGGATACTGTCATTTTATGTTATTTAATTTATAATAAAATTAAAATTGATACTATTTATTTAAGCGGTGGATTATGGACCGTGGATTCGAGCTGGATATTGGGCTTTGAGGCCCAGAATATAGCCCAATCTCAACTACAATATAACTTTTTATTGTCAACTTGATGCTATATCGGCCTACTCGGCAAAAGCATAACTTACAACTACATAATAAATTAGATTGAGATTTAAATACGTCAAAGTTGGAGTCAAAAGTTAAAAATTGGGGCTCTTGATAAAAAAATAAATAAATATGGGAATATAAAATTGAAGTCAAGTCCTGATTCTAAGAATTGAATTCTAATCAATGAAGTGGAAAGTAAACTTTACAGTTTAATTAACGGTTGAATTTTAAACTTATAATTATTTAAAATTCAATATTAATATAGTTTTTTTTGTCATTTTCTTCTTTTATAAATTCTTTCATCAAACCAAATTAATATATATATATATATATACTAAATATTGTAAACTTACAGATTGAGTGGCAGACGATATCTTTACTTGAAAAGAACAAGCGCTCATCAGAACAATCAAATCAATTAAGTATTAAACTGTTGAGTTACAATTATTTAACCGAGAGAAGTGTTATCAAGTAGTAGGATACAAATAAGTGTATCATGCGTGATATATAAGCAAAAACGAATCACGTGAGTTTGTACTGATTCACTTTCGAGTTGTTGAGCGACGATTGCTTCGTCTATTAAAAAAAAGGATACATGGAGTTTGTCTTATTATAAAGGGAATACTCTCTTCTTTAATATGCACCGATATATTATTATCCTATTCCTAAAAAAGTGATCGGGATATATATATATATATATATATTTCAGATAAAAATATATATAATTAATGTTAAATTTGTAATATTGTCACCTAATTAATGTTATAAAGGAAAAAAAAAATTGTCTAAAGAGACAGAGTATAGGAAGGAGTATAGCAGTAATCAAAATCCATATTTACCATGCTATTTTTGACGAGACAAAAATAACTTGAAAGCGTAAGATTAGGCTGAAATGGAATATGCCAATCTCTCTCTTTCTGTATCTACCCATTCTTGTAGAAAGCTGGTGTGGTTATTATGGTTGAGGAGTGGACCATGAAATGAAAGCTATCTCTCAACTTTCTAACTTTGGTGGGGTATTGGATTTTATGAGGTGTCCTTAAATGCCACTAATCTTGTGGCTCATTCCCCCTAAATTGGAAAGATGCTGGATAGATAGATAGATACAAGAAACTGCTACCTCCATCTGCCTTTCTTTAACATAATTTTGTGGCTGTCCATCGTTCTTTCAACTCTTGCTTCAATTCAATCTTTACGGCTGACGGAGCTAAGAATTTTCAAGAGTTAAAGAGGGATGAAATGGAAAAAAAGTTACTATTTTGAAAGATAAAATAAAAAAATTCAAAATTTTATGTGATAATTCTTTAAAAAAAAAAAAAGTTAAGGAGAGTGGGGCCACCTCTAGCTCGGTCAGTAATTTTTACGCTCCGTTTGATATAAATGAATTAAAAATATAAAATTCATTTATAAATGAATTTTATATAAAAAAGTTTTAAGGAGAGAGGGCCACCTCTTAAGGCTCGCCGTTCAGTAATTTTTACGCTCCGTTTGATTATAAATGAATTTAGAAATATAAAATTCATTTATAAATGAATTTTATATATAATTATTTGTATAAAATTCATTTATAAATGAATTTTATATATAATTTATTTGTAAATTTAATTTTTAGTTATATACACATATTCATAAAATTGAGTTCATAAAATTAAATTATTTATTCTTTTCATATAAATACAAAAATTTATATTTATAAATCAGCAATTCATTTATTTCAAACATCAGGTTATGAAAAGAAAAAAGGTGTAAGCAATTCATCAACCACAATGCTATTATTGCTAGACTTCGTTTTCATGTTCGAACTTTCAACAAACCTCTATTTATGCTTCAGAATTTCAGCTACTACTCTTTCTACTCTCGTACGACAGATCATTTAATAAATTTTGTATTTATTGTTAATTTTCTATCATTTTTATATTGAACTTATTTAAACAATTATATAAATTGTAAATTAGAAATTGTGAAAAAAAAAATTTAATGATTTTGATGAACTAATTACTTCCTTAAACAAAATAAATATCTTTAAATATTAATTTTACTCGTCCAATGAAATAATAAAATCTACAATTAATAATCTACAATATATATATATATATATATATATACATGAGAAGCCCATAAAGAAAGGATGATCTGATATAAGCCAGGCAAGTGAATGGACATATCTACTGTTACTGGAAGTTCCAATACTTTATGAACATCAGTAAGGTGTGGGTTAGACGTGCATGGCAATGTTGTGGGGTCCCTCCGACATGTGGGACCTATACACATTTGAAAAGAAAAAAAATATATAAAACACGTTTTTTGTTTTGGTGGCAGTTAAAGAGAGACTGCAGAACAAATAAGAAAGAAAAAAAAAAGTACGTTCATTTTGTTATTCAAAGGACGGTGCCAAAGAAAGAAAGAAAAAAGAGGAAAAGTGGATGCGTGATTAACGCGTCCACTGCGTCCCCTTCTCCTATAAAAAGGAGAAGGTTTTCCTTCGTTAATGGGTACAAAAACAAAAGTATAGAAATACATAGAGTGTATAGAAAATTTTAGAAAAAGGTTCCTAAAATTGGGAAAGAGAGAAAATAGTGAGGATTGAAATTTTGGGGTGTTTTTTTTTGTTAAACACTTAGAGTACCACTATTTTTGTAATCTTTTTTGTACCTACTATTTTTAGTAGAAGAATTATTCGGAGTTTTTGGACAGTTACCACTATTTTTGTAATTCTTTTTTTGTACCTACAACAATTTATTTTTAGTAGAACGAGACATTAATTCGAGTTTTTGTCCCGTGAACCTTAGCCCATAAAACAGCTGAAAGGGTTGAACCACGTTAAATTCTCGGTGTTCTAATTTTTTCATTTCTTGGCATTTACCGGGTAATTCATTTAATTTTTACAGTGACTTATCTATCTTCTGGTGGATTCGATCGTCAATAACTCCAATACCACAAATTATTGGCAGGTCATATGTACAGGCCGCGGTAATAGTAATTTTTATTTAATTTTTGCCATCTCGCTATTTTTTCGGGACCCCACTCGGATCAGTATTAATCCTAAACAACTGGTATCGGGCAGCCTTGGCGCGTAAATTCTGTCAAAGTACTATTCACGTGAATAGTCTGAATTTCTGTGACATAGGAAATTTGTCAGATCATTCAGACATTCAGGCATGGCCTAACGACAGGGCCAATGATTCCAAATTCATGGGATTCGAAACTATTCAATGTGGAACATCCAGAATGGAGGACTACCTCAATTGCCAAAAATCTGTCATGATCCAATTTGACAGGTGACAGTGCCAAAGCCGGAAAGAAAGCGAAAAAATGAAAGAAAGGCAGTGCGGGCAGAAAGGAGGGGGGGAAAAAAAAAAAAAAATAATTAAAAAAAGCAGACAATTGGCGTACACATACCGCCAAATGGATAAGCTTCGCTAGCCTGTACAAACCATAGTACAGAAATGAAAAGGATCCCCAAGTTCTCGGAAGAAATCTACAGGAATACTTGTTACGGAGGCTACGATGCTCAAGGAAAAGTCTTCATTGATGCGTAAAGTCAGAACTTGAAGCTGTCAAGAGCGGACGATCAATCTACACAACCACCTGAACGATTTTGAAGGACTCATAACTGAGTTTAGCCATCGTTTAGCGGTGTATGTCCTTAGAAGAACCGAGATGCAAGCATGCCTACATGTGGGATCTCTACCGGATAGCTGGGATACTTTGTGGTATTCATTGCAGTAACTCAGCTCCAAAATGGTGTCGCGCTGACTACTGTCCGGGGTAACGATAATCTATGGTAAAGCAATAGGCACTACTTAATGGAAAGGAAACTACGAGAAGAGATGTTGCCCCCAGTACCAGTTCACAAGCCCTGTTTACCAGATAATCAGGGGCCAAGCAGCAAGGAGTTAGAGGTTCCAAGGCATGTAAAGCAGGGCGGGGGGCGGGGGGTGGTAAGAATCCAAGTCCAAGGAGACGATGAGAAAAAATGTTACCATTGCTAAGGAGGGTCATCCAAAAGGAAAATATGTCGTTTACTTAAACAGCGGATAATTGCCAGACCGAAAGACAGCGGAGAACGAGAAATAAACCATGAATTACATTTTGCTACAGTCTCAAGGCAGAAAGATGCCGTGCAGCGTGACTTTAGTCACTCCTCATGATGCCAGATGTTGCATGTCTGCGAGAGCCATGCAGATACCGCGATACCGAGTGGATAGTAGACTTCGGTGCTTCATATCACTGTGTTCTAAAAAGGGAATACTTTTCCACTTATAAAGCAGGAGACTTTGGCACCATTAAAATGAAATAATAGTGTCTCGCAAGTGGTGAAATCGATGATATATGCATAAAGACAAGTGTCGGGTGCACATTAACACTTAAAAATGTGAGACACATTCCCGATCTTCGGTTGAACCTGTTGTCTGTGAGTGTACTGGACAAGGAATGTTATCACCATCATACAGGTGGCGGTAATTGGAAACTCACCAAAGGGTCTTTGGTGATGGTGAGAGGAAAATTATGTTGCTCACTATATAAGACGCACGCAATAATATGTGCGGGTCAACTAAATACAGTTGCAGATGATGCTTCACCAAATTTGTGGCATAGGCGGCTGGCGCACGTTAGTCGGCAGACCCATACCCACCAGTCCTCCCGTCGCAGTCCCGTATACACAGTCACCGCTCGCGCCCCTCCATGCCGGGATGTCAACTAAAAAATACAGTTGCAGATGATGCTCTCACCAAATTTTGCTTGGCATAGCGGCTGGCGCACGTTTTAGTGGAGAAAGCGGTTTTGAACCATTGGGGTGGTTTTGGGGGGGTTGGGCCTAAACGAAGCCCCTCATAACCATTCAGCCAAGGTAAAACACTAAACCCTTTTGTGCATTATGCGTCTTCTATTTGGGAAGCAACATCTAGCCATTTTGAAAAGCTCTAGAAAGAGAGACAAACAAGTGGAAGTTGGTACCACTCTGACGTACTTTGAGTCCTATGGAAGTAGAATCACTTGGAGAAAGTAGATATTTTTCTTACCTTCATTTGATGATTTCTCGCCAAAAAACATGGATTTATTTGTGGGGATCCCTCCGACATGGGGACCCACCAACCACCATTTGAAAGAAAAAAACAAATATATAAAAACACGTTTTGTTTTCGGGTGGCCAGTCAAAGAGAGACTGCCGATCAAATAAGAAAGAAAGAAAAAAAAAAAGCCACGTTTCATTTTGTTATTCCAAAGGACTCGGTTGCCAAAGAAACGAAAGAAAAAAAAGAAAAAAGTGGCACGCTCGTGATAATGCCGCTCCACTTGCATTCCCTGTAAACAAACACCCTTCCCGGTCCACCCGTCAAACCCGACATGAACCGATCGAGGACTGTTACAAAAACTGCGTTGACTGTATGCGTCTGATATGCTGAACATACTTTGTATACTTGAATTATAATAACATGCTGGTACTGTTTCAAAAATAGATGTAATTTACAAAAACATCTTGATACAAGTTACAAAATGAAATGGCCCAACTGTGCCACCCGCTGTGCCCCGCTACATGCCATAAAAAGGAAAAACCAAAATGACGTTTCTACCCTGAAGACCGAGTCTTCTACAGATGAACTGCAAGGCCAGTTGCTTCACGCGGACTCTCATGACCAGTCTCAAAACCTGCGACGTTGAAACAAGCGCTAAACTCGCTGAGCCAAAATAATGCTCAGTGGATATCTCAACAAAAAAGAAACAATAACACACATACATATATTAGAAAAGAAACCATGGAAATTATATATGGCACATATAGGCTCACACATTATGATACTTCATGCATAATCTTGATTGTCTTGTACTGTTTATAATCCTGTTTATAATTCATGAAATGTTATTGTCAAGATATCGAAATGGGCCCTAATATAAAAAAAATAGAAGACACCGACCTAGCAGCTGATAAGATAAACTGTACTTGACAACTGGGTGAAACTGGTTTATTGCTAACTAGGCCCCGGGACCGGATTCGCCTATGCCAAATCATGTCCGTTTTCTTGGTTGCCCCCTAACCGGGATTCGCCACCGCACGGTTTAATTCATACTCCACTCAACGGCCTGTAAGCCGGAGTTCCAAAACTGTTATCTCTTGGGGCGGCAGATCTGCTATTCTAATCGTTCGCGAACATCAGCCTTTATCTACATGGTTTCTACCCAAACCTTTTCAATGGAGCTTCATAATATAGCATATTCAACAATGTAACACAATAGCACCATAAATGGTTTTGCAACCTTCATAGTTCATTCCTATGATTTGATTTTCCACACCATCTAAATGCTTACATTTGTTGTCTTGAATCCATGTTCTCTATAGTTGTATTTTTGTTGTTTAAAATGATTGGATGCCATGCATGTTGAGCAAAAAAGGAATGTAATTGTATAGAAAAAGCAAAGTCCAAAATGCATGAAAACACCAAGTCCGCGAGCGCCGCAGGGAAAAGTCGCGAGCGCGAGAAGATGCTCCAGGGCAGAAGTCGCGACCGCGTTCTTTCACAACCCCTCGCGGAGCGCGAGAAGCCTGCAATCGAGAGTCAGAGAGGTTTCTGGGCTCAAAAGTCCGCGGACCGCGCAGCACAAGCGCCGAAGCGCCGAAGAATGACAGTCGCGAGCGCGCTTGTGTGATTCGCGCCAGCGCGAGATGGCGCACAACTGAGAGTCAGAGAGCTTTCCTGGCCAAACTCCGCGGACCGCGCATCGCCTGTGATACCTCGCGAAGCGCGGAGTTGCTCAAATTGAGAGTAACAGGGAGAGCTACCTGCACTCAAGTCGCCTGACGCGCCACATAGGAATCGCGCAGGAGCGCGACTTGCTTTCCAGTCATGCGCGCAGCGCGCGAACGTGATTCTGTGCAGTCTGTACTTCTTTTGCCATAAACTCTCAATATACAACTTCAAATTGAATGATTCAAAAGCCCATGTAAAGCTAACACATAGAGAAACAAATAACTCTTCTATGACAATTCCTAATTCCATCATTTTCTGGGGTCAAAATCAAGATGAAGTTGCTGGTGAAATTTCCAGCAAAGCTCTGTTTCATAAAGTCATTCCATCCCCTGTTTTCACAACATATCCAATCTTCTCACTCAACAACAAGCACCATATCATCTCACTAGCAACACACCACACAATTTACATGCAAAGAATCTAGTAAACAACATGAGATATCAAACCTTGATGTCAAAAAGCTTGACCTCTGTTTTAGCTTCTCTTTTCTGCAGCTTTGGAACTTTCTTCTCCTATACACAAGAATTCTCATAACTCATCTCCAATAGAACTCAATTAAAGAGTGAATAACATATAACGTCAAGGAATTCTACTTACTTGGAGTGGACTTACTGCGTAACTTGCATGAAAAGTGCAAGGAAATGGAAGGGAAACGTAAGAAGAAAATGAAAAACAGGAAAATAGGAAAGTGAAAATGATAGGAACAGAATCGATTGAAAATCGGGAAAGTGAGCTGATTAAGAACGGGTAGTCTCTAAGAAGCAATTGAACTTGCTGTGTAAACCTCTCTAAATTGGCTACCTCAAGTGTACAAAGGCACAAACCAACTTACTACCCAAGCTATATGTTTGGAGGCAAACAAGTCCTAAAACTTTCCATGCAAATACAGTCCACTCCTAAACTTTCCATGCAAATAAGTCCACTTATCATCTCATGCTACCCGAACCGGGTTTGGTTCAACCCGACTCAACTCAAGAGGATGTTACAATCCCCTTCTCCTATAAAAAGGAGAAGGTTTTCCTTCATTAATGGGTACAAAAACAAAAGCATAGAAATACTTAGAGTGTATAGAAAATTTTAGAAAAGAGTTTCTAAAATTGAGAAAGAGAGAAAATAGTGAGGATTGAAATTTTGGGGTGTTCTTTTTGTTAAACACTTAGAGTACCACTATTTTTGTAATCTCTTTTGTACCTACTATTTTTAGTAGAAGAATTATTCGGAGTTTTTGTCCCGTGGACGTAAGCCCATAACAAGCTTTGAAGGGGCTGAACCACGTAAATCTCGTGTTCTTATTTCATCTTGGCCATTTACGGTAATTATCTTAAATTTTACCGTGATATTATTTCTGGCTGGCACTTCGATCGTTCAATAGATTCGATCGTCAATATCCAATACGAAATTATTGGAGGTATATGTGGTAATAGTAATTTTATTTTACTTTTACCACCGGTATTTTTTCGTGGGCCCCACTCGGGATCATTTATAATCCTATCGATCAAGTGGTTGATTGATTTTATAGTTGGAAATTTGTGTCAACCCTCCATGCCAATTGGAAAGCTGTGATACATAAATAACTTTATTTTATTATTTTCAATCTCCTTGAATTTTTATTGTCTCATTTTTTAATAAATAAATAAAAAACAATCAAACAAGGGTAGTTAGAGAGGTACCCACGTGTAACGAATAGGGAGAAAACGAGTCTAACGGACTCTATAATTTCCTAACCGTATACAGCATGGGCAACCAAGTAGATTCCAATGAAGATAAAAAAAAAAAAAAAAAAAAAATGAAGATAACAAAAAAAAAAAAAAAAAAAAAAAAAAAAAAAAAAGGAACATAACAGTATAAAACGACAACACAAGTGACGATTAAACGCAAAACTTGGCACGCTTTGAACCACCTAACCTACTAATTCTTTATTCTGAACCTCAAGTAGCTACCCCGGTCCCAAATCGTGGCTACTGGCTCACCTTCTCCTTATATATATGCACATTGCCAAACTCACACCACACACTTGCTCTTTGTTACTCTTGAATTCTTTACTGATTCTTGGCTCTCTTGAGGAGAGAAGAGGACTCCATTGTTACTGGAATTTGGATCAGTTTGATTTTTTTTGATAGTAAATGGCTGGAACTGGAGTTTTTGCAGAGATCTTGGATGGAGATAATGTGTACAAGTATTATGCTGATGGAGAATGGAAGAAATGTTCTTCTGGGAAGAGTGTTTCCATTGTTAATCCTACTACAAGAAAGACTCAGTATAAGGTTCAGGGTAAGTTTTATCTCTTGTTTAGTGCTTTTTTTTTTTGGATTAATGGAAGCATTTGATTGTGATTAGTTTGGGTTTAAGACTTTTGATTGTAAGATACTGTATGTTGTTTTAACTTGATTAACTATTTTGAAGCTTTTAATTTATGATTTGTGATCAATGTTTTCAACATACTAACAGCTTGCAGCCAAGAAGAGGTTAACAAGGTGATGGAATTAGCAAAAAGTGCACAAAAAGCATGGGCAAGAACTCCTCTTTGGAAAAGGGCAGAGCTACTTCACAAAGCAGCTGCTGTATTGAAAGAGCACAAGGCACCAATTGCTGAGTGCTTAGTTAAAGAAATTGCAAAACCAGCTAAAGATGCAGTCACTGAAGTATGTTCATATACATGTATACTTATTTTCTTTATTATTAGTAGCTGAATACTTGATTATGCATTAATAATGAAGAGAATTTTTTATTTTTTTGAATTTTATTTAAGGTTGTGAGATCTGGGGATCTTGTTTCCTACACTGCAGAAGAGGGGGTAAGGATTCTTGGAGAGGGGAAGTTTTTGGTCTCTGATAGTTTTCCTGGAAATGAGAGGACAAAGTACTGCCTTACTTCCAAGGTATAATTTACTTTTAATTTCTATTTTCTATTCACTATTATAAGCAACAACTTTAGTTTCTTTTTATTTTATCGTATAAATTTCTAGTTATGACTTATGAGGGTGACTTGGCATTTTCTATTGATGATGAAACTTTCTTTAACAGACAAGTGGCATTTAATAATATAAATAGTAGAATAAGATAAAAAATTCTGATGTTTGGTCAATATGCCAAATGACACTGTTTGTTTATGTATTGCTTATGTAGTTTTTATGTATTGCCATTGCATACAAAAATTGCAGATCCCACTTGGAGTAATTTTAGCTATTCCACCCTTTAACTATCCTGTCAATCTTGCTGTCTCAAAGATTGCTCCTGCATTAATTGCTGGAAACTCCCTTGTCCTTAAACCTCCAACTCAGGTATTTTATCAACCCCATAATTTATCTTATAAAGGGTCTTTTTTCCCCATAAATAGCATAACTAGCTACCTTGATTTTCAGGGTGCTGTCTCTTGCTTGCATATGGTACATTGCTTTCACTTGGCCGGTTTTCCTAAAGGCCTAATCAGTTGTGTAACTGGTAAAGGCTCTGAGATTGGTGATTTCCTTACTATGCATCCTGGAGTCAATTGTATAAGGTAAATAATTCTTCTTTAACCATATATAATACATCCATCCTTTATATAATTGGTAATTCCTAATAATTTCAACTCTTTGGTTGCCATGTCATCAGCTTTACCGGCGGAGACACTGGCATTGCTATTTCGAAAAAGGCAGGTATGATCCCTCTTCAAATGGAGTTGGGAGGAAAAGATGCCTGCATTGTGCTTGAGGATGCTGACCTTGATTTAGTAGCTGCAAATATTATTAAAGGAGGCTTTTCTTATAGGTGACTGCAAATTTTACTTTTGTTAAGATTGAACTTGATGCAGAAATTGTTACTGTTTTAGTGGAAGAAGTACAAATTAACAATTGTATGTTGTTTTACTTATAATCCTTACCTGGTAAAACTTTTACCAATAAAAGTTCTTGTTCTGAATCGAAACATTCCTTATTTTGTTGACTTGTAAAACAGTGGTCAAAGATGCACAGCAATTAAGGTTGTCTTGGTGATGGAATCTGTGGCTGATGCTTTGGTGGAGAAGGTGAAAGCCAGAGTTGCTAAATTACGAGTTGGGCCACCGGAGGATGATTGTGATATTACTCCAGTAGTTACAGAATCCTCTGCTAATTTCATTGAAGGACTAGTTTTGGATGCCAAAGAGAAAGGAGCAACATTTTGTCAAGAGTATAAGAGAGAGGGTAACCTCATTTGGCCTCTGTTGTTAGATAATGTAAGGCCTGATATGAGGATTGCATGGGAAGAGCCATTTGGACCAGTTTTGCCAGTTATAAGAATTAATTCTGTTGAAGAAGGAATTCACCATTGCAATGCTAGCAATTTTGGGCTTCAGGTATATAATCTGTCATCCTCCTTTGTTGGAATTGCTTTTTCATCATTAAGACATATCCCAATAGTAAAAACTTAAGATACCTGTCAATAGGTTTTAGGTTTAAACAAAAACTGTATTTTTGGTTACACCTAAAAGCATATTATATAATGCACTTAACATGTTTGGTGCTAATACTTGCTATTGAAAAACAGGGTTGTGTATTTACAAAAGACATCAACAAAGCTGTGCTAATTAGTGATGCAATGGAGACCGGCACAGTTCAAATCAACTCGGCACCAGCTCGCGGGCCTGATCATTTTCCTTTCCAGGTAAATTACCTGCACATTTCGTTTGGTTCACAGAATAACAAGGACTGAAATAATTTTTTAGAATGTTCGATAATTTTTCAAAAGAATCATTTCTTCAGTCTTAACATCCTGTTTCGCTTCAAATATACTGTTTCAAGAACTAATTTAACAAACAATTTTTTCGTTTATAGGGTTTGAAGGATAGTGGAATTGGATCACAAGGCATCACCAACAGCATTAACATGATGACCAAGGTCAAGACCACTGTTATCAACTTACCAACCCCTTCTTACACTATGGGTTAGTATCATCTATCAGACATAGAGAACCAATGATCACCACTATTTCAGTTGGGTATTAATTACTTAGTAAATTTGCAGACAATTTTGTGTTCGGACTTGTATTATGGAATATCTTCTTCATCAATCATTATTAAGAGTACATTTTCTAATTAAGTTCATAAAACTTACTCCTTAAATGTGTTGTATATATAAGTTGTATTATGACTAGTAGAACAATCTAAGTGTTGTAATTCAATATGAAGCATATTGTTATACAATATTCCCTTGGAAGCGATGATCTTTGTGCTCCCATTCAGAATTTTTCTGCATGCAAAGATAGAAAGGGAGATAAAATTATCAAATGAAGTCTGTTTGTTTGTTTGTTTGTTTGTTATGTGGTTTGGTTTTGGCAGCCCTGTAGACCCTTTTGTTTCTCATGCCTCTTCAGGATTCTCTTTTAAAAGTAAAATTTGAAGAGAAGCAAAAGGGCAACAAAAAGGGAGATAAGGTAAAAAGCACTTCTTTTCCTTGGCATTCTCTGAGGAAGTTCTACTTTCAGAATTTCTATTTATCTTTCCTACTTTATCATCTGTTTCTCTTTGGATCACTTAGAGCAGGATATTTTTTTTTTTTCTATTTTTCACTTTTTATTGATAAACTTTTGTCTTTCGGAAATTCAGTATATCAATCGAACACATTCGAGGCATACTTACCGAGTCTCTTTGAAGTTGCTATCCAGAAATTTTATTTTTTGGAATGTGAAGCTCCTAGAAAATAAGTCATCTTGAACGTAATAAGGCTATAATATCTTGAATGTATTTGTTATGATAATAAATTTAAAAACGACAATTATCTGACGCAAACTATACCTTAGTTAAATACAGAGGGTTTACCAACCCCCGGTTATCGAAGTAAATAATGAGATTTTAAATAAAGATTTAAAAATTTTAACTACCAAATAAGGTGCAATTCCGTCGTTAAAATACCCACCACAAGGTTAAAAGTGCAGCTCCGTTTGTAAATATGGCGTTTGCCGACCAATTTTCATAGTTAAATTTTTTTGGCAGAATATTGATTTTTTGACTGAGGTTATTGACGAAAAACTTAGGGATTTTAAATAGCACGCTCAAATGCAAAGAGATAAGACCCACGAAAAACTGGATTTCTATCTTCGTTCAAAAAATAAATTAAAGGAAAATATTTTCTGGTTAAAGAAAAATTTAATCCTTTTTAAGGAAAATAAATTTTCATTCTCAAGAGCGTGAAATATTTTCCGAATTTCGATAAATTTATTATAATCTTATAAATTTATTTTTTTTTTAATTTATTAATTATCGATAGTTATTACCACCACCAACAGACACCACTATTGGTAACCGGCGACTTTCATATTTTTTTTTCATTATTCTCATATTTAATAATAAAATTTTTTTAAAATATGAAATTTATATTATTTTTATTTTTATGGTCTTGTGATTTAAATATTTTAATACCTTTAACTAATTTTTAAAATTGTACTAAACAATAGAAAATAAATTATTTTTTAGAAACAAACGTAGCCTAAATCTTTAAGTTTTTCTTTGTTTTATAGTCGAGATTAAAGCTAAATAAGTATTTAAAAATATCTTTAATTTATTAATTAAAATATAATTATATTTAAAGTTTTAACAATTAGCACTTAAACCAATTAGTTAAAAATATTAAAATGTAGTAGCAGTAAAAGTTTTATATTTTTAATTTTTCCAATAGAATCAAGTATTTCTAGTTTTCCCACCAGTATTGTCTCGACTTTGCAAATTCAAATATATCTTATGCAGCATCAAAAAGAATAAATCAGAAAGGAAACTTTATGTATACCTTTTGGTTCTGCGTCTACTTGTACAATAGACATGGCAGAACCTATCTAACGTAAGCGGAAGGAAGGAAGGAAAGAACCAATTACACCACCGAAAACGACATGCGGTCTTGCTCCCATAGGTTAAAAACCCTTGCGGACTCCAAATTCACTTTTAACTGTAGTAAAATACACTAGCTGGGATCTGAATTTCGTCTTGCGGTCGCCGTCGTCTGCCGATTTATTCTCCTATTTTAAATCGCTTCATCATAAATGAAATCACCCTAACACTCTACATAGCTAACGCTACTCTCTTGGAGAACAAACTGGTATACTATATATATATATATATATATAATTTTGAATTTCCATTCTATGTTTCTATTTACTCATTTCTTTCTATATTTTTTTTTTATTTTTTAAATGTTTTTAAAAAATTTTATAAACATGCCTATTGTGATGTGTTTGGCTGCTTAGAAACTGTGCTTAACAGGAAGGGAAAAACGATTCTTAATTGTCAAAAATAATCAAGGATTTGAAATTTTTTTGATTACTTGAAGGACAAGAAAGAGTTTACTCTATTGACTTGTTTGGGGCAAATTTATTACCTAAAAACGCAGTCTGGTATTTGGCTTAAGTTTGCCTAAAAACATACTCTCAGCTTTGGCTTACTTCTATAGGCAACCAAACGGCCCTGTTACGGTTTTGGATTTTTTTTTTTTTTTCTATTAGTTTGTTGGAAGACATGGCAATGGCAATGGAGGTAAAGGAGCTGGAAAAGGAAGAGACAGAGAAAGAGGACAAAGAGCTAGCAGAGGATCTTTTGGCAACTGGAAATGCGCTTCTTTCACCTCCGTCCTCTGTTGAACAACTTTTTCCTCTGCTGGAAGTAAATTCCTTCTCTTTTAGTTCTATATATATATATATATATTCTATTTTTTGATTGCTAAATGCTAATTGAACAGTGTCAAAGTATCCTATGTTGTTATCCTTTTAGATGGTGTTGTGAATGCATTTTATTGTTTCATGCCCTTAACTTTCTGAGTTTCTTTTACCTTCCCTTTCATTTCTTAGAAACTTGAGAATCTTTTATTGGGATTGAAGCAATCGCCAGCCATCTCTTTGCAAATGGCATTGAACCCTGCAATGAAGGCATTGACAACTAAAGAGTTTTTGAATCATTTACATTTGGATGTGAAAGTTTGTGTTGCATCATGCATCAGTGAGATTCTGAGAATCACGGCACCAGATGCTCCTTACAGTGATGAACTTATGAAGGTATTCAAAGCAAAATAGCATATTGTGGCTCAGCTTTTTGAAAAACTTTGCTCACAGCAATTTTACTTGGCATAATCTTGCCACTATTATATAAGTGTTTGCTAAACCTTTTTTTTTTTTAATCATTTGATTGCTCAATAGGACGTATTTAAGCTGATTGTAGCAGCATTTGATAATATATGTGATATTTCAAGCCATTTGTACAAGAGAAGAGTTTCCATTCTCGAAACCTTCACAAAGGTCAGGTTGTGGGTTCTGATGCTGGATCTTGAATGCGATTTGTTGATTTTGGAGATGTTTGACAATTTTCTAAGAAACATAAGGTGAGATATTAAGGTTTTATTTATTTATTTTTCCCCTTTTGTTTGGTATAACATGAGCATTCGGATTTATGGTCGACATTTTAGGCTATAGATATGTTTTGGCTCATAAAAAAGTTTATTTATTTGATGATGCATTTTACTCCTTTTTGCAGCAAATGGCCTCTATGGTTTGCAATTTTTTTACTGATGGCTTAAGTTATGTGATTGAATTTATGGTCAATGCTTTTCTTTTGAAATAAGAGCATATTCTTAAATTTTTTTTCAATCAATTTTTTTTTCTTATACCACTATTTGTGAAACATGATGCTGTTTGAAACTCCTGAAATACATTTCTCCATTGCAAACTTTGTCTCCGCTTGAATTTACTCCTCGTGGATGATGTAAGATGGCGTATATGCAAGCTATTGGTTGCCAAAGAAATTTTGTTCACCTCACTAATAGATAAACTTAGTTAAATGATTAATTATGCGGTGTCTTGTTACTCACCATTTTAGAGAGAGAACGAATTGATGGTTCATAATATGTTTAATTCGATATGTCATTGGTTGAATTGAATGTGGAAAACTTTTAGGGAAAACCATCCTGATGTTGTCTTTATGTCTATGGGATTCATTATGATCATGGTCTTGGAGGATATTGAAGAGATACCATCAGAGCTTCTATCCTCCCTTTTGGGAAGTGCAAGGAAGGGAAACCAGGTGAAACTTGTTCACATAACCAGTCTTTTATTAATCATATATTGATTATGTTCTTAATTACTAGATAGAGTTTTGCTATAGTTTTTCTGCTCTCCAGAATGTTCTACCTATTGCACGGAAGTTAGCTGAGAGAGTAATTGAAAATTGCGCTTTGAAGCTTGCACCATACATGCATCAAGCAGTGCAATTTGCAGGCTTTCCTTTGGACAATTATGGTAAAATTGTTGCTTACATATGTGCACAAAAATCTGAGACTGTGGAGCTTCGAATTCTTGCTTCTCAAGATAACAGTACTAAGAAGCATCTGGTATGCATGTCGCTGTGGTTTGGTACATATTTTTTTTCATGGTTCATACTTGTGATTCATTTAGTAATTATTTTTTCAAATGATACTCTGCCATGGTTTTATGTCGAATTATTCATGACGTTTTAAACTCTATGCAATTTAACTTTCTAGCCTAAGAAAAAGAGAGGTAGTTCTTCTGTAGACCAATCTTCCAAGTTGGGACATATTGATTCTCAACATCATAAAAATATCATGGAAATTTCTAATCAAACAGTTCGGGAAAATGGGTACAAGTTATGTGCAATGAAGCAGACTGGTAAAATACTGCGAGGGAATGACAGAAGGAATTATAGAACAAATTTAATTAGACAGTTTTCCTCTAAGGTGCCACTTTATTTTAATGAGTGTTGTTTTGATGCTCTGATGATGGTATTTTGGATGATCACAATGAGCTTACTGCATGGTGAACTGTGCAGAAAATGTTTCAATCAGCTAAATGTAATACACAGTCAGTCAAGAAAAACAATGCCATGGTGAGAACTCCAATAAAGAAATCCATGATGAAGGATACTCCCAGGAAAAAAAGGGTAAAAATTCTTTGTAATATTCGTTGTATTCTTGTCTGGTAATATTTCACTATGGAAGTGAGTTAAGTTAATCAATATGACAGTAAACATGGATATTTTTTACCTGATATTCGTGAAAATACATGATTTTAATTATACTTGAGTGGACAAATCAAAATAGAAGAAATTATCGGATGATTTTATGTATTTTGGGGCAAATCAATATCTTTTTAAATTGTTCATTTCTGTTACATTTCAGATATGCGTAGCTCCAGATAACAATAAGAATTTTGGTGAAGATTTGTTCAGATCCAGGATCAGAGTCCCGTGTTCAAATGAGCAGATGTAAGTATGCTATATATATTTCTTCTGTCAATTACTATCGGCAAAGATTCAGTATTTGGTTTACATCACATTGCTTTTCGAGTGGTTTTCACCCTGGCTCTTCTTTTCTAGGCTTTAGTAGATGGTTAATACATCTGATTTTATGTGATGATCAAAACTGTTCCCTTTAAACTGGCTTTATAGTGGCAATCAGTATAGGATTATCATTTGCAATTTAATGTTTGGAAGTGTCTTGTTTGACTGTTTAGGGAGGGTTAACAAACCCATGTGTGTGGAAATTGGACAATTTTAAAATGGATATTCGGAAACTTTTATATGGAGTTACATTTATGTAGGTAGTGGAGGAGGTAATGCAAGACAGAGCTTCACCTCGAATTAAGATTTTGTAAGTAGCCAACAAGACTTTTGGTAAGAGGTATTGAGAGTTAGGATGGCAAATTATCATTTAGTCAATAATGCTGAAACAAAAATTTGTGCTCTTTTATCAACAGTATTCGCTGAAAAACTCTAACAGTGTCTTTGCTCATTACTTGAATTAATAAATTAAGCTCGAGAAAGGGGCATGTTTAGATTGATGAGAACTATTGTCAGAATTATTAGCTAACATCTCCTTTGAAACATCAGATGCCACAGCCTTACTTAATCTTTGTGTTTCTTCATTCTGTCGTTCTAGAATAGTCCGCTGTTAGTGGGCTGTGTGAACCATAACTAATATCTTGTTTTGTTGATTTTTTTTTTTAAGGCAAGAAAAGAAGAAACCAGAAATCAATCCTTGTTCCGTAGCTGGTAAAACAATGTAAGATTATGCCTCAAATCCATGAGCTGCTACTTATGTCTTATACTTTGGTGTTTTTGCTCGTATGGAGCCGTGAATGGCAACGTAACTTTATAGGAAAGAAGGTACTCCAATAAGGGAATTCGATGCCGAGGTTCCAGAATCTGGCATTGACAGCCCCAGAAGTGTTGAAAACGTATTTAAATCAGAAAATAAAACTCTAAAAGACATGGGAAACACAGAACAGAACAGTGCTGTTGAATCAAAGGATGGAAGTGACCGAAGTTGTAGTGAATCAAAAGAGTCCGCTGTCAAGGCTGCTATAAAGATGAAAGATGACTCACTTGAGCCTAGAACCACAGAAAACAAAGATCCACCCAAAATGGCTTTGGAAGAGGGTAAAAATGAAAATGGGGTAAAAAACAATGTGGCAACAAATCTAATGCTACTGAAAGATTTGGTTCCTCCAAAGTTGAAGAAACCAAGGACACCCAGAAGAGTAAAAGATCAACCAGATTATTCAGGGTCAAGATGACCTGGAACAAGAAGAGCAAAACAGCAGCAGAAAGGTCAGTGGCGAAGTAATTTAATCCTTAACATTTTGAAAATAATTTTGTCGAATCAGGTTTTGATGTTACACATCTTTCTGACTTAGTGCCCAAAGTAGTCGCTTTTAGATAGGCCAAAACATATCAAGCTTAGGCCTAGGTCTTATCAGGCCAAAACTTAGTGTTTTTAAAGATTGTCATTCTACAAATCTTTGGCCCATTGTTACTTATTTGGTGCATAACTTGAAATTCACTTGCTCATCTCTTAGCCCATTTCTATAGAACAAAACATATGCATTGACCGTACTGCACTTAACCGCATTATGATTGGCTAATTTAGTAAACTTAGAACCAAAACCAAAAACTACTACCTTTTTATTTCTTTTATCTTATTTGGGAAGATCTAGAAAGAAAATGTCGTTATAGAATCGATATATAGGTTTATATTATAAAATTCATACCTAATCCTTGTTATCAATCCGATGCTTTCTCTGATCCCAACTTGTTTTATTATATTATTATGTTATACTCCATTGTTTAACATCTCTAATGTAGGTTTAAACTTTAAGGCATAGTTTTGTAATCTTTAAAGTTGTACATATGCTTATAGTGTATATACATAGGAAGTCAATTTGTGGAACCCATTTAGGTGACCATGTCAAACTGGAACCCATGCGAGTTCTTTTGATTTTTATCTACCCAATTGCTCTGCAAACCCATCTTTCTTTCTGTGGGTTTCAAAAGGCTCTTTTAAAATTATAGGAATAATTTTTATGAGCTTTATAGTTTTAATTGTTTCTTAAATGAACTTCTCATCCTTCTTTTGTCTTCTTTTCCTTTCCACGTATTCTATTCTTTCTTTTAATACACACACACACACAAAGACATATAAATATTCATTAAGATTTTTTCTTTTGTGCATATGATAAAAAGATTGTGATAATCTTTAGCTTGATTACAATTATTAAGTGGGACTTCCAGGTTGTGTACTTTATGGAATTAGCTGCTCTGGTTTTAGCCCCACACCAAATTCTTCTCTCATCGTCTTTGTTTTTTTAATTGATACCCTTCTTAGAAGGATACAACCTAGAGTTGACTAAACTATTACTTATTTGATTTAATACTATCTAATAGGATGGGTAAGCATTTGGTGCTTTTCCTCTACCAAAGATCCACTTGTATTATTTTGAGTACTGATCAGGAGTTTCGAACTTGAATCTATTGACAGACCGTATATATAATTACTATTAGAATATGTGTTGGTATGCGATCACCCGTATTATTTTGGTGGCAATGGAAAATATTAGAAGATTTGTGAAAATTTTCTAATGTCGAATTTTTTTATCTATTTTTGATAAATTTTGATCGACAAGGAAAGCACACATAGTATGAGTGGCAATGTAAAATTATATTAGGGAAGTGTTTATAAAATGATTATTAAAATATGTGCTAACTTGTCATATTTATTGATATGATGTTAAAGTAATGGTAAAGTGTTGGGACATAGCGTTTCCCTATTGGAATTTCGCTTGTGAAGATATGAGAAGAAATAATAGCATTTTTATCAAAGGACAAATTGACAGTTATTAGAGAGAGACTTGATATGAAGGATTAATGTTTTCTATTTTTAAAATATAGGTTTCTCTTTACAAATACAGAAGGGTCTGATTCCTACTCATGACAAAGAAATGATATTTAGATGCCAATTCTGATTCCATCTCTGCCCTTATTTGGAGTTGGCATAGAATTGTCTTTGGGATGATTGATTGACTAAAATGGAATTAAATTTTAAGATCTAAGTCCTTTTTTTTTTTTTTTTTTTTTTTTATCTAAGTCCTTTTTTTTTTTTTTTTTTTTTGCTCTTTTTTCATTTTCCTTTTTTTTTTTTTTTTTTTTTTTGCTCTTTTTTCATTTTCCTCTTTTTAAGACTATTACCAATTCTTTGATAAAAATAAATGCATGAGGCAGAATTGATGCTAGTAGAAGAGAATTTCATTTTTTTTTTTTACATGATAATGATGGAGATATTATATGATAGATTAGCATTTATAATGTCAATTTCAAGCTTGAGATTATCTTCTAACAGTCTTGATAGATTAGCTATCCTTATAAAAGGACCCTTTGAAAGAAGATAATCATGTTTATGACTTTGTTAATGTATATATGTTGTTTATTGGGTGGATTGAGGTGTAAAGAGAGCCCTATCATTAGAAAAGTTAGAGTTGTGATAGGTACAAGATAAGGACTTATACCTACAAATACAATATTTACATAGAGCTATTTCTAATATGTCCATATCATGAAACAGTTCATATTACCTATTATTTTTTATGGAAAAATCTTTGGTTTTTGCAAAAGATTTCAAAAACTGAATATTTGGTTTTTGCAAATATAAAATAGAATGATTATTTGGGTATTAACCTATGGTGACAAGAATATCATATGTAAGCCATCTTGCTCACATTCCAAACATGTGGACTCTAATCATGTCTTAAATAAAATGTAAGTAGAGAACTTATGCTAATCCTATTTAACTACTTAATACTCTCTAGTATCTGCCTTTATTCCTATTTAGAATTCTTCATATAACTAATTGAATAAAGAAGGAAAAAGCATAAACTTTGAAGTACCATCAATCTTTAAGGGTCCAAAGGACATGTCAAAAATGATTTGCCTATCATCAATTTCATCTCTTTATGATTATTTTTTTCTATATATCTAGATATTTTCTCACCATTTTGTACCATTGAGCACTACTCTCAAAACACTTTCTTTACAATATTGCATTCACTTCCTTTTTATATAAAGGGTGTTACATTCTAAATTCATCTTAATGCAAATTTGTTTAGAAAAACAACTTTAAACAAATAAAATCATCCTTATATATATTATAGCTATTATGAAATGTGTATATATGTGCATATAATTTTACTAAATAGATCACTGGGAAGAATTCTCAATTGAATAATTTTTTACTTTGCTATATATATGTATAAGGTACACTTTAATTCTTAAATGGCATACATTAATTTATTTGGAGTAATGGTTATTAATGACCATGATTATAACAAGTCTTGTTTTCATGTTCCTATGAGTATGCAAAACCAAGAATATCCCCATGTCTTCATCCTTGTCTGAACAAGCTTTACCATTCAAGATTTTATATATATATATATATACATATATATAAAAAAGGAAATTAGTTGCATACATGAATAGTTATCTTAGGATCTGCTCGGCAACCACGCTTACATTGTTCAATAACGGAGTATATAAAATAACTTTTAATGAATAAGATAGCGTTTATTAAAACGTCATCACACTTAACGTTTGGCGTTTTACATTTTTTTACAGTCCTGTCCTTATTTTAAAACATTTTTATTATGTCAATTGCCTTTTTTTTTTTTTTTTTTTTTCATTTTTATTATGTCCAATTGCCTTTTTTTTTTTTTTTTTTAATTTTTTTTTTTTTTTTTTTTTTTTTAATTCAACAATGAATCAATTTGCTTTAAATCGGTGTATAAATAGCTAACAACTCTAATATTAAATAATTATCGGTTGCTAAAATATGTAATAGTGCCGAAAAGACTCTTAGACACTATAACAACATGTTTTTCTACTACATGTAAATTAGATGCAATTTTAAAATCTAATGATTAATAAGCTCATTCTTATATAAAATTGATTGAGCTTATGATAATTAAAACTTCTTTATTGTTTTCTAGATACAAAATTTCTCAAATTTATTAAACCAACTTTAAAGATTCTATACTACATTAACTTAAAGATATGATACAATGAATATGGTTTTGAACAACTAAGATAACATCCAATCTAAACATATTTGTACTAATGCTAGTCTTGGTCGTAGTTTCAGCAAACAAATACCAAACACAAATATGAAAAACAATTTGCAAAAACATATATTTATAATTATTGTGGACCAATCTTGCATTTAAGAATTAGATATTCAGTAGAATTATGATCCATGCTTAGGTATTATTGTTATGTTAAACGCATTTTATTTTTTTAAAATATATATATTTTCCTTCGGATGGAGATGTCTTAGCTATATAATAATATTCTCACTTTGTTTTTATTTTTTATTTTATTAAAAAAGATGTGTTGGAACTTAAAAAACAATGTATATATATTAATTATTATCTTATATTTTCATTAATTCTAGTACCATTTGTTCCGATCATCAAGAGATAATTTTTCATCGGTAAGTCTATGCAGGTTTATTTTATATTTTCATCAATTCTAATACCATTTGTTCCAATCATCAACAGAGAATTTTCATCGATAATAATTTAAATGCAAATAAAATAATTTAAATGCAAATAATATTATATATATTATATATATATATATATATATATATTATATATATTATAATATAAATTTTAAAACAATATAAATTATGCATGCACTAAGTAAAGGAATTCAAGTTGGACTAAATTAAAAAACAATTATTTGACTAATTAAGATAATTTATAACTCTCTTGTTTGGTAAAAAACAGATAAACTTAAATGTCTAAATATTTATAAAATATTATATCATATTAAATAAAATGAGAATATTATAACGATAATAGCCACATCAGAAATATTAAAAAAAAAAAAAAAATAAAAAAAAAAAAAAAAAAAAAAAAAAAAAAACAAAACGTTAGAGGCAGCATGAAAAGGAAAATAAAAAATATTTTTGGCAAGTGTCGGCTAAAAAAAAAAAAAAAAAAAAAACAAACGTAGAGCAGCATGAAAAGAAATAAAAATATTTTGGCAAGTGGCGGCTAAATAAGAGTGGTGAGCAAAATCCTATTTGCAGAGGTAGGGTAAGGATCTAACTCGCCTTTTCGGACGGACACGTAATGAGTATAGGTTTATTTTTTGAATGATTAGGTAAGAGGAGATTTGTGATTATGATTTGTTTAGTTGTGATTATGGTGTTAATTGCAATATTTTAGATTTTACGGTCTGTTCGTAGGGTAATTTTGGCAATTTGTATAATGGGGCTTGTCAATCCCGCGACACCTGTAGCAATTTATATCGGGCGTCAAAGAGTCGTCTCTTATATAGATTTTATAATATTATATAATCAGACAAATAGACTTTCGGATATCAACATTTATAGTCTTATAAATCAAAAAAATTTATATTTCAAAAAAAGCTCAAATAAGTAAAAAATAGTTAGTTAAATAGTTAGTTACGAAATAATCAATTATAAGAGGTTCGATTGGTTTTTCTAGTGTCATATGAAATCGTATTGTGTAGTTCCCAATTGGATCTCTAAGAATAAAAAAATAATTTATAATTATCATCATAAAAATAAAAGTTTTAAGAGTTTATTTTATAGTTAGGTTTCCTTTTCTTTGGAATTATGTAAATAAATATATAATTCATTATTCTTACACCATTTAGCTCACTTTCTAAATAAAAAGTAGAATAAAAATGGTGGCATTTTAAAATATTTAAGATTTAATAGAAAAGTATAAAGATGTATAATATAGCAAATCTTATATATTTAATTAATAATTAGGTATGATAATTGCGGAGATAAGTAGCATGCTTACTTCAAAGTAAAATTTCATTTTCAAAAAAATTTAAAAAAAGGAAAGGATAAATTTTTTAAAATTTAATTATTTTCTATCTTTTGATAACATTGCTTTGACACTTAAATAAAAAACGCGACATGCTGAGGTAGAAAATTTCAGTTTTATTCTTTGGTGTTGAGTCTCGAGTGTTTACTTGAGATATAATGAAAGTGGAGGAGACACGCCAGCAATGACTTGGACAGAAGAATGGGCATTCTAGACAAGACAGCTTTGCTACTACAAATATTTATATTTATTTTTAAGGTAAGTTTAAAATGAAAAATTATTATTGTTGTTTTAATTTTAGTTTTATTTTCAAAAAGATATAATACTTCTTCTAATTTATTAAAAGAATACTCAATTAATTATGATAATAAATTATATATCTAATCTAACTGTTTGTTTGTCTGTAAACTTAATAATAATATTACATTATTTAATATTTCTTAAAAAAATTATTTTTTTATATTTGAAAAGTCCAATTGGCCGAATAACATTATGAGTTATACATTAAGATAACTCTCATTTTTTATTAACATTCAACAAATTAGTATTAACTTTATGGAATTTGAATCTTCTCATTTTCCTACATTTTTGACAAGACGTGAGACGAGACCACGCGTGATCGATAAAAAACAAATTATTAAAATCAGACATAACAATTTAATTAGTATAATGATTAAACGTGTTAAATTTTGATTTAAAAAATAATCGTTCCGATTTAAATGAAATTAATATCACATCTCATTGTTAGACAGGTGTGGTTGAATATCTCGGCATTATTAAAAAATTATTAGTAGTATCATAATTATTTTTTTATTTTATTAGTAGTAATTAGTATTTTTATTATTATAACACCTACCCTAAACGGCTAAACCTAAAGAAACAACTTCCACTTTTGCTATTTAACAATCCCAAAACCCAAAGACACACATAATATTAACAATACCTATCCATATCCTTCTCCTTCTCCTTCTTCTTCTGCAACTAATAAGCAAGCATTTCAAAACCTGCAAAAGTCCCAAATGCCTTTACTTCTCTTACCTCCATAGATAAAGCTCTCAAGCCTCAAAACCAAAACCCACGAGGATCAAACTTTTCTCTAATTTCAAGCCAAGAAGGGATATGCAGCCTTGTAGCAGAGAAATGCAAGGAATAAACTCATTATTAAACTCATCTTCTCCAATCCCTCTTCAAGACCGAATAAACTCATTATTAAACTCATCTTCTCCAATCCCTCTTCAAGACCTTCAAAATCAGCAGATCCAAAACCCCCATTTCGATCCTTCTTCTGCTTCTAATGATGATTTTCTTGAACAAATGCTTTCTACTATCCCTTCTTGTTCTTGGGCTGACCTCAAGTCCCCTTGGGACCTTAACCCTGCAACTAACCTCATGCCTATTACTAACTCAACCACTGCCGCTGTAAAACCTAGAGACTTATCTGACGAAACACCGCCGTCTATACCGGAAAATGTTGGCTTCCATAACAACTTTGATGAGTCTGCGCTTTTGGCTTCTAAGCTTAGACAACACCAGATCAGCGGCGGTGAAGGAGGAGAACCTTTGTCTGCGGCAGCGGCTGCTGCTGCTAAGTTGATGTTACAACAGCAATTATTGATGGCGGCTAGAGGAGGAGCAGGTTTGTCACAAAACGACATCATTGATGGCTCATCCTTCAAGTCTCCTACACAGGTAAGTTTCAAGTTTCTCTCTTCATTTTCTTCACGTCGCAAAGACGACGTCGTTGTTCCCTTCATTTCTTGTTCTTATTTGCTAGGGAGGAGATGGGTCAGCGCAAGCACTGTACAATGGATTTGGTAGCGGATCTATGCATGGATCGGGTCAACAACGAAACCAGTCTCAACAACAATTCCATCACGCTCCGATGCAGCCACAGAACTTTAGTACGCCGGCGGTGAACCAATCTCAGGCGAGTGGGTCGACCGGCGGTGCACAGGCGCAGCCAAGACAAAGAGTTAGGGCAAGAAGAGGTCAAGCCACTGACCCACACAGCATAGCTGAAAGAGTACGCTTCTTATTAATTATCATAATTTTTTTTTTTGGCCGTTTGTCAATTTATTATTTGTTTGTTCGTTTTCCCGCTTGTCCGTTTTATTTTCTCTTACGTTTTCTAGGCAAACAAACAGAACTTTTCAGTGGGTTCCATACTGATTCCTTACATCATTGTAATCATTATTATTTTCTGATGGACAGTTACGAAGGGAGAGAATTGCAGAGAGAATGAAAGCTCTGCAAGAACTGGTTCCTAATGCCAACAAGGTAATTTTTTGGCCGTTTGTCAATTTATTATTTGTTTGTTCGTTTTCCCGCTTGTCCGTTTTATTTTCTCTTACGTTTTCTAGGCAAACAAACAGAACTTTTCAGTGGGTTCCATACTGATTCCTTACATCATTGTAATCATTATTATTTTCTGATGGACAGTTACGAAGGGAGAGAATTGCAGAGAGAATGAAAGCTCTGCAAGAACTGGTTCCTAATGCCAACAAGGTAATATTAATTTCTGTTTTTTTATTAAAAATTTGCACTTCTCCGTCGCCATCTCCGATTGAGGAAAATCGGAATATTGGGTGACTGCTGGTCCGAGTCGGAGTCCATCAGTTAGCATTCAATTGCAAGTGCAATTTTGTAAATTTTTTAAGAAGCTTATTTTCGGATATAATTGGAAGCGTGTACACGTGTCGACAGGGGAATGGTAGTGTAGGTGGGTAGATGAATGTTGAGTAAGGTTAGCATTTCCACTGCTTGGTTAGCATATCGAATGTATATTTTCCGTGCGTACTAGCAAAAAAAAAAAAATGCTGTAAAAGCTAATAAGTTAGTAGAGAACCGTACTCCTATAAGCTCCGCAATCCTTGCCGGATATATCGGAATATTTAAGTAATTTTTATAAAAATACTAATTAGTTTTAATTAGTCAAGTAATCTACTTAAATAATTAATACTAATAGTGAATAATTAAGAAATTTGATTGTGGAATGACAGACAGACAAGGCTTCAATGCTAGATGAGATCATCGACTATGTCAAATTCCTCCAGCTTCAAGTCAAGGTATTTTTCTTTTTTCTTTTTTTTTTTTTTTCCAACCCTTTCTTTTTCTTTTTATTATCTTGAATCTAAATAACAAGAAAAATAATTTTAAAATGTCGTTTGGTTGACATTGTTTGTTTAATTAAAGAGATGCCTTTGTTTTTTTTTTTTAAATGGTTCTGCATGGCCTTATTGTTACTTTAATTAATTATGAAATTAATATAATAATTAAGAACAAACGATAAACAGGTTCTGAGCATGAGCAGATTGGGCGGTGCAGCTGCTGTTGCTCCTCTTGTTGCTGATATCTCCTCTGAGGTGATCTTTTCTTTTATTTTCTTTTTTCTAAACCATTTTCAGCTTTAACCATTAAAATTGATTTAAGAGGATTTATTATTTGCATATTTTATTTATTGTGTTTGAATATTAATTATTTAGGATTTATGATATTATTAGCATTAAATGAAATATCTGGTTGAAGGAAAATAAATTAGAAAAGACATGTGAGACATTCCATAAGAAAAAAAAAACAGAGAAGGAAAGGGCATACATGTGAATAACGTAAGCAGAAAACCAAAAGACCAAAACCTTGTCTTCGTGTTTGTGAAAACGACACCTATCCACTCTCTCTCTCTCTCTCTCCCTCAAAGTCTAAATCGTACTCCCTAAAAATCCCCTCTCTAATCACCATAAAACGACAAGCCTAAAGCAGCACGCGTGCCCACTTTTCCAGATTCCTCTTTCATTTACAATCATGTTATTTATTTATTTATTTATTTTAATTCTTATTTTATAGGGAGGTGGCGACTGTATTCAAGCCACCGCTAATGGTGGGTCCCTTCCTCGCTCCTCTAACGCCGGTAGCCAAACGCCTAACGACAGTTTAACCGGCGCCGAACATCAAGTCGCCAAACTCATGGAAGAAGACATGGGTTCCGCTATGCAATATTTACAAGGCAAAGGTCTCTGTCTTATGCCTATATCTCTCGCCACAGCCATTTCCACTGCCACTTGCCACAACCGTAGCAACAACTCCATCATCAACACCGCTAATAACAACAGCGCTAATAATCTTAACACCAACAATCGCCACCACCATCATTTACTGCATTCCAACGGCGATGGTCCTTCCTCTCCTAGTATGTCTGTGTTGACTGTCCAGTCAGCTACCATGGGAAATGCAGGTGGTGACGGTTCTGTTAAAGATGCTGCCTCCGTTTCGAAGCCGTGATAACGCTGTTAATGTTAAAGTTAACGGACTTGTCTCTTTTGGGTTTTTTTTAGTAAAGGAAAATAAGAAAAAGAGGGAAAGCGTGACGTGTAGGATTCAACGGCCGTTTCAAAGTCTACAAAAATGAGGAGTCCCAGTTAGTGTTTCACACGACGCCGTATTTCTGTAGACTTGGGTTAAGGCTAAGCTAACAACTTCGAACCACACCACCAAAAAGCAACAACAAGAAGAGAACAAACAAGATCGACCAAATCCCAAGGACAATAACTTTCGTTTTCTTCTGTTTTTCCTAATTTTATTATAATAATTATTTTTTTATGGTTTAGGTCATGTTATAATTATTTATTTATCTTTTAATTATTTTAAAATTTCAACTTGGGTCAGTTTATGATTTTAATTAGTATTAAAGTATTATTAGAATCTTATTAACTTTAATAATTACGAAATTATTATGGTCTGAAAAGGAGTGGCAGCTTTAAATTTATATTTTTTTTAGTACTTTGTTTTATTGGGTTTTGTTTTTCTTGTCTGAAGTTTATTGCTTAGACTTTGGGTTATAAAATTACAAAATTATAATTAAAAATAATAATCAGACATGTGAATTAGATTTCAAGTCAACGGCTTATCTCTTTTTTTATTTATTATTTTTTTATCTTTTGATTAAAATAATGGGTGGAAACTTACCGTATTTTCTTTTCAATTATCCATTTTAACTATTATTTATTCACCATAGTGATTTAGGAAAAAAGGATTTCAAAGGGTTCAATCAATACCATGCAAATCATATTTAAAGAAATTATTGGTTTGATCCAGAAAGGTGAACACGTTCTATTTAGTAATTAGAATCACTCTAGTTTGAGGATTTTATTTGAATATTATTTATATTTTGAGCATAACGAGATGTAAATATAAAAAATCGAGATGTCAATATAAAAAATGAGTAATTCGATGGAATTAAGAACGCATATGAATTTTTTATCAATGAAAATTACAAAGTTTATAATAACGACCGACCTTTTTATGGTATTTTTATAAATCCCAACCAATGTCATAAAAATGATAGAAGAATAGGTAATGGAAGTTGTTTTTGTTTTTGTCAAAACAAATAAAAATGCAAAAATAATTGAAAAGGAGTCTTTCACTAAAGCAAGTGGGGATTGACTAAAGACCAATTCAAGTAGCCAAGTGGTTTGTTATGAGAGTGTGAGTCATTCTAATCCTCTCCACCTGAAACACTACTTTGACTAATTACATTTCAATCAAACACTCCATTCCATCACTCGCTAATTAAAATCACAGTAGTACTAATTACATTTTTTACTCTAGTAAAATAATTTAATATTTTTTTTTTAAAAAATTCACAATTATTATCTATTAGTATTATTATAAAATTGAAGTTGCGTTTTGTGAGAGTATGTATAGTTACGCTTTCTCTTGTCGGACGCAAAAGAGGAATGCATTTTCCTCCTTTTGTTTTAATTAATTTAATTGGTTTAATAATAAAAAGAAATGTTTAAATTTATTTAGATAAACAAAATTTAATGTTATGTAAAGAAACATCAATTTTTTTAATATATTATGTAAATTCCACATTCGAACAAAAGACTAATGAAGGAGTGGGCAGCGACTAAGGGACCAATTGACATGCTTACGTCACCCTTCGTCTTTTCTGCGTGTGAAATGAAGTATGTGATGCGGGAATTTTTGAATTTAGGTGTGGGTAATTCAGTTTTGCCCGTCAAACAAGTTGATCTTTATAAAGTTAATTAGAACCGTAATTAACCATTTAATCTTCAATTTTTGTATCAAAATTATTACCGCATCAATACTATTTGATAAAATTACTTATTTAATGGCGAAAATAATAAATTTTGAACAGAAAACTGAATAATAATAGAATTAAAACCTTAATGACAACTCATTTTCTTCGCCAAATAGCAAATATATCATAGTAATTTTAATTAAAACTCGGGAATTTATTATTAATTATCTTAATAATAATCTCCTTTTTTGATTCACCGCGAGATTCAACAGACTGAAGTAATACTGGATTACACAACAGATATCTCGAGGATTCGAATTTGAGATCTTACACTTCTCATATAAATGAGAAAATCACTCACACTCAGACCACACCTGATTAGCTTGATAATAATTTCCTTAACGAAGAAAAACTGCAAGTAAATTATAACCATCAATTTTCTTGGTCTTTTTTTAAAATAATGTCAGAGTATGCAGAGACTGATAGAGATCCAAGCCTAAGCCTGAAACAATGAATTGGAACCGAAAATGAAGTGATTATGAAATGATAGTCTCAGCCAGCAGAACTCACAGTTAACAAATATAATCACTAGGCATTGACATACACAGGCACATGGGAATATCAAGATACCTGTAACCCACTACTTATTGTCAAATGCAACTCTCACCCTCATATTATTATATTCTTACAGGAATGTTAAACAATAGTTTCCCCCATACAAATAGGAGCAGTCAAAGCTATTGTTCTGTAACGAATTAAACAAACTGTTAGTTTAGTTCAGACTACAGAGACAGTTTGCAGACACTTAAACTACATTATCACTGCTAAAAAATAACAATTTTTAATGTATTCTTTCATTCTGCGCTCCTTTTTTTATCATGTATTATTATGAAAAGTGCAACTTCCTTGCGTATTTTTTTTTATAAAGAGGAGGTTTTCAGGACTCTGAACCTGTAATCTTCAAGTCACAAAGGAGCGATGTTGGCTCGCCCTTCCTCGTCATGAATTTCATAACTGCTTCAGCTTCAATGAAGCGATATGCAATTTTGCATATGGCTTAGCAACGTGTGCAATCACTATGCGTTATGCACAACAGATCCTAATCACAGATAACTGAACAAAGTTAAAATAGCATCATCCACGTACTTGCAAGAATTAACAAAGAGCGTGTCTCGTCTGCATATCATTTATAACCATTCAATGAAAAATATTCACTCCTATCAGTAATCCCAACTTTGTTAACCAACATCAAGGTTCAAACTCACTGAAATTGCCAGGAACTAAGATAACCTTTATTTGTGCAGGTGTATGTTTTAAACAAGCATGTTGCAAACTTAAAATAGAGATTATATGAACATTAATCATCTGAGTTAGCAGAAAAAGATAAGAGTGAAAGCCAAAACTTCTATAATTTAAACTTTAAAGACAACTAGGGATAGCAATTTGCCGGCATTGTGATCATCTAATTCCTAATGAGATACGAATGCAGCCATTGTGATCATCTAATTCCTAATGAGATACGAATGCAGCCACCGCTAAAATTGGGCTCCGCTATTAGCCATAGGAACCCTGTTACCCATGAACAGTACATTAGCTAGAGGCTTTATGTACTACAAACTGGAAGAGCAAAACCCTCAACCCTATCACACAACATAAACATATTTCACGCTGTTGTTACCCCAGGCATCAGCAGCAGCAGCAGTTTCTCAACGCCATCTGAAACCTGCAGCTCCTTGTCATAACCCAGGCATCGCTCATATGGTATGGAAGCATCATTACAAACAAGTGCATGTGATCTTAGCAACATCCAATAATAAGCAATTTCCTCAAAAAAAGAAAAGATCCAACAAGTAAACTTCTTGTCTAACCGTAAAACAAAAGTTCTCTCCCCATGACATGCAGCAAGCAATAGAGTTAAAGCCTGCAACTTTCATTTTGTTAAATTCATTAACATAAAACATTTCATTAACTTTTAAATGCTCTGAATTTGGTAGTAGTAGTACACACAACGGATTTTAATAGCCTCCCATTACAGTTCATTGCGATTAATCACTGGCTTCCAACAAAGCAGAGATACAAACTTCAAATCATTATTGTAACAACATCCATCTCACTGTCTATCTATTTCAGCACATCAGTTAAATTTGCCAGGGTAAGCTTTAAAAATAACTTCATCTAGAGACATGAATTTTCTACAAGCAAAAACACTAATTCATACAACAGTATGCAACATTTCATCTCTTTGCAACTAATTTTATGAGTTCTTGATTTGTTTTCTAGTGCATCTTCGTCTGTTAAAATGTAGAACACTTGAAAACAGAACATGACAGACGATTGAACAAGCCAATAATTAGAGCGATCGGCAATTTGATCAAATCTAAAACCAGATTAATTCAACATCATCACTTTATGTCAAACATAGTCGCACTTATTCACTATCATACCCTGTTCCCTTTAGTGGCATCTATTTGAGCAATTTTATAAATAGTCTTCAATAGTATCCATTTAAAAAAAAAAAAAAAAAGGAAGATTGGAATCCAAATACATCTGACAGAACTGTACAACAATAACCAAGGAAAAGAAGCCAGTTCTTACAAATTTCTCACAGTCGTATGTTTCGTTTAGAAACAAAATGGTATGGATACCTTAATCACTACTAGGAAGATAAATTATGGCAGATTATTTGATACAAAGTCAATATAGAACCCAGAGAAAAAAAAAAAAAAAAAAAAGCAAAGAAAAGAAGCCAGTCTGACCAATTTCTCACAGTCGTATGTTTCGTTTAGAAACCACAAATGGTTATGGAATACCTTAATCACTACTAGGAAGATAAATTATGGCAGATTTATTTGGATACAAAGTCAATTATAGAACCCAGAGAAAAAAAAAAAAAAAGGAAAGCAAACAAGCAAAAAAAAAAAAAAAAAAGAAAGCAAACAAGCATTTCCAAAACAATAATGTCTGGCTAATACTTTCTTAACCTTCAGAACACAATCCCATTAACAAATATAAAAAAGCAGACTAATATTTCTAATCCTTTAGTTCCAAATTTCCTGCCAATAAGCATCTAAAAAATTATTTGAAAAACCCCGATCATAAACTATCACCTCAATTAATCTGAAAAACAAGAAGAATCATCTCATGACAAAAGGCTAACAATCAAGTATCATAAAGAAAATATGTTATCCTCGATAAAACAATATTTACACAAGATGCAACAATCCATATCAATTAAACAAGTTTGAATTCAGAAGGAGAATGAAGTATTTTAACAAAGAACAAGCGCACAACTTAGATTTCCCAACCTCTCCATCCTTGAACTAGTTATTCCTTCATTTTATTTTAGTGGTGGTAATAATATATGCTTCTTCACTTAAAATGTTACCACTGATATCAGCTGAACAAATAGTCTTAACAATGTTTAAATCCAATAATAAATAAATAAATAAAAGAAAACCATATGAAATCATAAAAGCATCAAATATATTAAGTAAATTAATTTCAAATGTGCATGAACATAAGGAAGAGGGACAAGATCAACATAGCATTTGTGTGCTCACATGAGTTAAATTATAGCCAAATAAAGATTAATGGTAACAACACAAAAACTGGAATAGATATAAAATGCTACTTATTTCTTTCCATTACCACTATGTATAACAATAGACATTCTAACACCACATAAAAATGAAAAAGTATGGAAAGCGTATGCACTTAAGCATCCTTAAGTGCAACTACATAACAAAAAAAAAAAAAAAAAAAAAAGAAAAAAAAAAAAAAAAAAAAAAAAAAAAAAAAGGAAAAAAACAAAAAGAAAGAAAAACAGGAACAGAAAGGTTAAATATTAGCTGGAGGTGGGTTTGAATGTGTAAGACTGTGGAAGAGACAATGGACCTCTTCTTGCATCTTTATCATCCAATAGCCTCTGCGTCCTTTTATTCTTACAATACTGCCTATCGAAATGCTTCACCTGTAATTCAAAATTTAATATTTCAAAAAATAAAAAACCAGTAAAAATGAAAATGGGAAAGCATAGTCTTGTTAATTTACCCAAGAAGCGCGACAATTCTTCTCAAATTCTTTCCTAGAGCTTTTACATTCAATTGGGTAGAGAAGTCCAACAGAACCTATCTCAGAAGGTTTCTTGCCCGATTCCTTCTCCAAGCAAGCGTAGAAAGCATCACGAGCCTGATTCAAACACACAAAATTTTTCAAGATTTGATCTTTATCGAAAACCCTCCTTGAAAAAATGAAACCGAGGAAGAAAACTAAAAGAATAGAGAGAGTACTTTGTAGCAAGCAAGTCTGGAATTATAGAGTACATCGGTGTGGATTTGATCAGAGTTTCTTGGCGCATAGGCTTCCACCGCCATGGCTTTCGAGTTCTCGCAATCCTGTACGCAGTAATCAAATAGGTATGGCCTTGATTTGATTTCTTCTTTGCTCAGTTCGCTTCTGGAATAACATGCATATGGGCTAGGGCCCGTTCTTGGGCCCAAAATAATAGTAAATGTATCCTTTAAAAAAAAATATATATATATATATATACATTATTTTTCAAAAATACTTTTCCTCTCAATTTTGACAAATTTCTCTCGTATTTATAATCCATAATTATAAATTTTATGTAATAGAAAGGTACAATTAATTCCATGAACCATATACATATGAACCTTTCTTTTAAGTGAGGTTAATTATATTTATACTGCTTTTGAGCAATATTATATATGTTCTAATAACTGTTATAATTGATTAATTGTTTTTATAGTAGTTTAAAAAAATATAAATTTTCAATGAAAATGGTTATTTAATTACTTATTAAGGTTAGTATTTAGTGAGATTTTAGTATCTGTTGTTAAAGTTTAAAATGATCATTAAATGTATAATTATTTTTTACTTTTTATATATTACGTTAAAATTAGATAATTTTTAATTTTTAAAGATGAATATATTATCTTTATTATTATATTATATATAAATAAGAAATATTGATTAAAATTTAAATAGTTATAAATAAAATGATAAAGAATATTAATAAGCGAAGCACGCAATGTACAAAACATGAAAAAGGTGTCTATAACTTTCCCGGTAAAACCTACCCCCAATCTATAGTAGCTAGACGTGGAAGTAAAATTAGTCATTGTCCATTCATTGATTTTTCCGTTACAAAATGAGCCACTTCAAATAGGTTCATTATTTCGATCTAGAATATAATTAATCCAACACAACGAACATGAGAACTTAGTAGTTTATCGGGTAAATTGATAAGTTGGGCGTTCTCGGCCCACCAAGCAATATTAGTAATTTCTTGGTCAAATGATTAATTAGCTATAATTTTCTCTTACAATAGAATTTAAAGATTTTTAATCCTTCCAATAGTATCATGTATTTTTTTATGCTTAAATGAGAATATTCAGATGATCTCAAATTTTCAACTTATAAAAATATCAGTTCACTCTCGTTAATCTAATCTCCTATTGATTTCTTAAAGTATTTTTAATGATAAATAAAAAGAGTATGGTAAATAATTAAAATATTAAGATAGTGGATGGAGCATGTTGAGGTGGGGCAGTGGCAGTAACAGTTTCATTGAATTAGACAAGGAAAGGGAGGCCTAAGGAGGTTGGTTGTTTTGGCATCATTTATGGCAATGTCAGTAGAATTACAGAAAGGACGTAATTGTACAAAGGACCCATCGGGCCCAATCTAATAATGGCTGGGCATCCTCTGCCCAACTTGTCTCCTAGCATAACGGAAGTCACAACTTGGCCCATTTTTAAAATCATATAAGGGAAAAATATAAAATAAGATCTTGAATTATATTTAAATTAATATATGAAATTTTTTATTTTAAAAAATTAATTATAAGTTACTTAAATTATAATGCTAGTAACATTTTAATTTTTCTGTCTAAAACAGCTCCACGAGCCAAATTAACACTTGTACGCTTTATAAGCGATGTCCAAAAAAATAGATGTACGCACCATAACACTTGAAGAACCACACCACAAATATAAAAGTCAATGGGGGATAATCTTATTATAATTTCTATAAACACATTTATTTTAATTCATTGATCACTGTAGTGTAATTTTCAATTATCGATAATTATAATTGGTCGTTTACAATCAAGCATCTACCGTTGCTCGTCATTAGTACTAGTAACCGACAATTATCACAATTTATTATTTTTATGTGGTTTTTCTTATATTTAATTATAAATTTTTAAATTACTAGAATAAATTAAATCATAATTTTTAATATTTTTTAACTAATTTTTAATATTATAATTAAAAAATTGAAAATAAAATCATTTAAAAGTACAAATATTCAAAACATAAATTATTTTTTAAAGATAAACGGACCCTAAATTGAACAAAGGCAGTGCAATGAGCTTTGGGAAGAAGATGCTTTAAAAAATTAATTTTCTTTCTTGATAATGCTAAGTCATGTTTCATGCACATCAAGTCATAGTCAACTGCAACTTAACAACATGTTTAGGTTTGAAAAAGAATATTATTAGGACTGAAAAAGAATATTATTAGTTGTTTTTTGAATGTTGAAAATTGAAGATTTGAACATTGGCAAGTGATATATTCACCGTGACATGTCCTGATTGATTGAAGTTGTACACTGAAAATCAGAAGATGCAAAGCAGAACTCATTTTTAAGCCCCTGAAATTATTGAATTTTATGTGTTAAACGTTTTAATTTTTTATTATATCGACATTGAACCCTCTTAACTTCTATTTTTATTAAAATGAAACCTTAATTTGACTGGTGTCGTGAAATGTGCAGCTATTACTTATTGAAATTGAATTTTCTTTAATTGGAAAAAGAAAGATAATAGTAAGAGAAATGTTAGTTTTTTTTTTCTTATTTTTGAATATTTATTTTTTAAACCTTAATTTTTGTTTACCTTTATTTTAATTTTCATATGGGAATTGAGATTTTCTCGTATTGTTAAATCTATCACTACAAGAAAATTAGTATTTGTCAATAAATAGTTTTTGTATTTAGTCAAATAAAGGTTAAATTTTTAACAAAAATAAAAATTGAAGTGTTTAAGGTCAATAAACAAAACTTTAGAAATTTAATGACACAACTCAATAAGATCGAGACTTAAAATATATATTTTACCAAAAAACAAAAAGGAAGATTTTCAATTTGAACATTTAAAGGCTCGTTTGGAAAAAAAATTACACCAAATTTTGTGAAATTCATTTGGAAACTCAACATTTTGTATTTAGAATAAAAAAATAAAAATACAAATTTGAATTATGAATTGAATTTCATAGAACTGGGTATGCTAATTCAAATTCTACCAAAATTTATAGAATTTATAAATAAATTTAATAAAATTGAACCATTAAAATATTTATTGATAAAATTACCTTCCACTGTAAACTCAACTATTTTTATATTTTTTCTCCTTTTTATTCTTTTTTTTTCAGAAAATTTCAAACTATTAATAATGTTAGTTTTCTTTGTCTAGTAACAACTAAGTTTATATTGTTATTTTTTTTTTCTCCTTTTTATTTATTTTTTTTCTTGAAAAATTCCAAACTAGTAATAATGGTATTTTTTGTTTAACTCTAGTAATAACATTATTACTATGAAACCATAAAATTAAGTATACACAATTGTTTTCAAATGCAATTAAAAACAGTAATAACATTCTTAATATTTATTTAGTTTCCAAATTAATTACTTAAATCAATTAGACTTCTACGTCAATTGAAAATAATTATTATAATGAATGTTACTGTTTATATAATTAATTAATTACCCCTATCTTAGCATTTTTTGTTAGAAATGACAATGAGGTGGTTGTTTTCCTACGATTGAAGGCAAGGTTTCCAGGAATAGAAAAGGGCTTCGCCGCTGGTCCTTCTTTTGATTCTGGTAGGGAGGCTTGTAGGGTGAAATATTAATATATTTATTTATATGAAATATTTTAGGCAAATTATTCTATTTTATAGGATAAATATAAGTTCTAATGACTGAAAAAATCTGAACTTTAAATTTTTTAACGATTTTGGCCAATTCATTTAATTGTTACAATTGATACTGCGAAGTAATTTTTTCTTAACAATTGTAGCCTCTGTCCACCAACTATTACTACAATGCTGATGAATCCGTTAGTGTGACCCTCATAATAACATGTCACTTGCTGACTGTAAATTTGTAAGGTATAATTATTAGAAAAATTAGCCAAAATTGTTAAAAGACCAAAGTTCAGGGGTTTCTTTAGTCATTACGCCAAAGTTTGTTAGTTTACCAATTTTAGTTAAGATTCTTACATGCATACCACGACATAACCCAATGATAAGTGTATATATAATTTGGCAATAGATTCAGGTTTTTTTTATTAAAATTAACTTTTAATATGTATATAATTTTTTTATCAATAAATAATTTTATAACTTCTAATATTCAAATTTAATTTACTAAATATAGTTAAATATTTTTGATATATTATAATAATTAATGACAAACAATGAATATTATGCTTTAAAAAAGTTATTTCATTTTAATAAGAATTAATTCAAATAATAATTATATGACACAAAATAAAGGAAGAAAAAAAATTTTAAAAGGAGATATAATTTGAAAATTGAAAAGATGCTAAACTTTACACGTAAAATATAATAAATTTTACTAACGAACATCGATAAAAATTTACATTCATATATAAATTTCTCAAGAAAGATTAGTGTAAAGATATTTGATGTTATCATTCTAAAGAAAATGACGAGTTGAAGTAAAGCGATAGTGTTGTTGAAGATGTTTCTACAAATAATATTATCACTTTTAAATTAAAGCAGATTTATAATATTATCACTTTTAAATTAAAGCGGATTTATGATTGATTAATTATATAACATTTAGTTTTACTTCTCTTATTATGTTGATAATTTCACTAAATTCTTCTTTAATATTTAATCATTATAATATGAGTGTTGACAATTTCGAATGACTAAAAAAATTATCACTTTTATTTTTGAAATTAACTAAAAAACTTATGATTTTAGTCTTTTTAATAATTTTGACCAATTTTTTTAACAATTATACCTTGCAAATTTACAGTCAGTAAGTGACATGGCATGTCGAGGGTCTTACTAATGCCCACATCAACATAGTATTAACGATTAATGGATAGAGGCCACAATTATTAAGAAAAAATTATTTCACGGTATCAATTGTAGCAATTAAAAAAATTGGCCAAAATTATTAAAAAGGCAAAAGTTCATATTTTTTAGTCATTAGACATAATATAATTGGTGTTTGTTAATTATTTTTGTTAAATTATTATGTCAAGTATATTATAAGAAATAAAGATAAATGAATACAATTGGTAAATTATTTATTATCAAGTAAATTATGTAATTAATTAATTATTAATTATGTAATTAATTATAATAGATCACGAATTCATAGCATCAAATGAGTAGGAGTGAATTTTTCCTTTTTATTTTATGAAAATGAGACATAAATGAGACATATATATATATATATATCATTATATAGATATATATATAGATGGAAGTCTTCTGTCTCCCATATTTGGCGCAATCAGATTTCCCATCCAGTACCAATCCACAGAGCGACATATGACCCCACTCTCCATGATCACGAATTCGTCATCATCTACGGCTCTAAATCTCTTACAGCCGTAATTAAAATTTAATTACCAAACCCAAAAGTCAATCCCCTCCACAAGTACTTTCCAGGTGGCATCATCCTCTCCTCTTCTCTCCCACTGTGCTTTGTTTACTGTTCCTCTAGTGGACGGACTTATTCCAAGCTCAAGTCATTCCACTGAGTAAACAAAACCCACTTGCACCCAAAAGAAGGAAGGGTCCCAACGCTCCAATCTCTCTCCAATATATTTTTATATCTATCCCACACTTGTTGCAGAGAAAAACTCTCTCTTTCTTTGTTTGTTTTGGACAGAAAGCCAAGACAGGAAATGGGTTATTGTAGATTTATTTATTTATTTCTTGGTTTCTTGATTTCTTTCTGGTTGATTATTTATTGGGATGCAAAGCAAACCCTAGACATTGGGTATGAATATAATTTGCTTTTGTTGTTTCCCAAAATAGGTATTTGCGAAGTTTCAGATCTGATTCAATAACAAAAGAAAAGACCCAAGCTTGCTTCTTGTTATTAATGTCGAGCAAAAGCAAAAGAGAAACATTACTGAGAGAGACTGACAGAAGAGAGTGAGCACACGCAGGCAATTGTATGAGGCCATACCATTGTAGTGATGTGTGCTCACCTCTCTTCTGTCATCTTCCATTTTTTACTTGTGTTTCTCTTCTTCTTTTTCCCTTTTCTGTTGTATTCAATAAATCAGATATTTTCTTGATATATAATAAATAGATAAAAAGCCACTCTCTTTTTTTCCGCAATATTTATCTATATGAACAGTCATATCTTCCAGATGTCTGTTTTTCGGTCTTTTGAGCTTATCAAAGAGTTAAAGCTCATAAAGTTGCAGCCTTTTTGACACGCAAAGATATATCGTCCATATCCATATCCCCATCGCAAGGGTTCATGATCTCCTCATCCTCCATCTTTGTGACTCTTCTAATGGTGAAAATTAAAGGAATTTAAAAGTTTAACACAATAATATAATATTATATATGTATATGGATAGTGTTTCTGGTTGGCAATGACGAAGAATGTTAGCAAATTGATCACTCGGACAGGTGAGCTCTTTTCAGTCATTTCTTGATTTATTTTTATACTATTAAAAAGTAGATAGAAAAATTAACCCACTTGTCTGTTTAAGTTTAAGAAAAAAAAATATTTATATTTAAAAAACTTGTGAAGCTTGCAAGCGTGATTTTTCGTGGTCCTCTCTTTTCTTTGGTAGTAGCGGAACAAAGGACCATGTGTGTGTGTTCTTTGAAGAAGTACCGCCAGGTTACTGTTCAATTTTTAACGGAAAACGGTATTTTCGAATCTAAATATTATTTTAAACTTTGTTTTTTTTGTACCTTTTAGCTACTCTTCTTCTTCTTCTTCTTCTTCTTCTTCTTCATGTTCTTTGTTTTCGACAGCCATGGGCATGCAAGGTAAAGGGACTATTTTGGCTCGTGATTTGGGTCTCTTTGGGTCTAAACTCAAGTGGGTTTTCCATAATATAACTTGATTTTTCTATTTTTGCTGATTATTTTAGATATTATAACGATGTTTCCCTCAAGGAAAGTGCAGTAGCTTTCAGGTGTTCTAATGGACTCTACTTTCTAGAAGAAAAAAAAGGTCCAAAAATGGAAAGAATTTCTTGTTTCCTTTTCTGGGCAGTTATGCACTATTCTAAAGCTATGAGGGAAGTTTTTCTTGGTGGGAATTTAAATGCCATGTTCACAGGTTAGTAATTGATATTTTTTTTCAGCTAATTTTTCTCCTATTTTTATTTTGTTTCCTTTTGTGCAAGATCTTTCTCTTTGTCAAGCACCTTATGTTTCATTATTTAAAGCACTAAAACTTTCATCTTTCTTAATTTTGTTTTCTACAGCAGCACTTTTTGATTTGTTTTGTTTTTTGGGAGGCACGAAACTGCTTCTGCTCCTATTTTCTGCGTTTCAGGTAACAGGTTTCATTTTTTCAGTTTTTGTTTAATTACAAAATCTGAATTGCCTTCGATTTCTTCTTCTTATTTTATGTGTTCCCATTAATGGTTTTTGTGCTAGATTTAGAAAATTAGTACTTTGTTCTTATTTGCTTCTTTTTTATCAGATTTTGGGCCTATTTGATATTTTCCTATATCAGCTTCTTTAAAAGAAGATAACCCATTAAAAGAAAGGTTAGTAAGAAATTGGTTTAGCTTAACTAATAATTAAAATTGATGGGTTCATGTTTCTCTGTCCTAAACTTGATATCAGTTCTGGAAGAATTGCTTTCAGTAATATATAGACATTTCAGTTAATTTGCATGCAAAATAAGAGACATATAATTTATGTTATCTAAGGTTTTTAGTTTGAATGGATTAATAATTTTTGTTATGCTTTTTTGGGTTAAAAAATTGTCCTAATTGGTATTGAGATCTTTATTAGGTTGAATTATTTGGTACATCTTTTAGTCAATGAGTCACGTGAACAGTTTTATACCCATGTTGAAACTGTTGTAGTACTAGGCCTGTGGTAATAGTTATCCCAAAAGGTTCCTTTCCTCTATGGAATTAGGCCTATAAGTTGGTTTATTATAAATGACACTTCTAATTCAGGAACTTTTTCTTTTAGGAAAAAAAAAAAAAAAAGAAAGACAACATTCGTGTTTCTAAGTATGAGGCGAACTATAAAATGTCATAGTTGGAATTGAAATAAACATTTTATTGTTTCTTTTGTCATATTCCTTACTAGAAGGTCTTGTCTATCATAATACACTTCATTGATATTACTTAGTTATGATCACTAGATACCTCGTTATATATTCCTTAAAGTTCACAAATCCCTTGTTAAATTGAAATTTAGCTTTTATTCAGTTGTAACCATAACCTTAACTCCATTTTCTGACTTCTTTTACATTATCAAATTCTGATGTGGATTTTATACTTGCGTTGGAACTAAGGTAACCATATACCACATTAGTTCAGGTGCTAAGACAAGGGTCAAGCATTAAGACTTTCAGATGAAAATATAAATCTGCAGTTTTTGCATTTTAGATTGAATTATGTAATTAATCAGGTTCTTTCCTATTTAGTGACTGGAGATTCTGGAGAATTTGAAAGCTGATAACTGGTCAAATTGTTTTATGTGTAAGGTATAATTAACAGTGGACAGAGAGTTGACAAATTTGTAAAATTGAAAATTTGACAAAGGGTTTGGATTTGAAGAGCCACAAGATTAGGTTTGCCCTAATCTATAATTTTCTGGACGAAGCTCATCATTCCCAAAAGATCAGTTTCGACTTTTGAGCATTTATATAGTTCATATCATCTTACATCTTCTTTGCAATGATTTGTTGCTTGTCTCCATATTAGCTTTGGGAAGGATTCCATGAGGTACCAATATTTCTACTGTTCTGCAACATATAGATATACAAATTTCATTCCTACTTTCTAGAGAACTTGTTCATACAATCGGTCAGCATTAATTGATGGAGTTGTAGAGTTATAGAACGATATTTTTATATGCAAAAGCAAATAGAGATAGTCCCAATGGTCATCTGGTTCTTAGCGTGTGCAGTAAGTTTTAGATTAGTTGCTTGGATGTACGAAGTGTTTGTTTCAATGATCTAGCATGTCTAGAGCTTTTGCCATTAAGATCTTCTATTATTTCTTGATGAGTATTGAACCATATATATAAGAATGCAGCATTCTGCTTTTTAATGAGTTGAACAAGTTCAACTTTATGTAACATATATAGGAAAACTTTAATTGCATAATTCCCTTTAAGGCATGAAGTATAGGTGAATCTTTCAAAAAGATTGTGTAGACTACTAAGATTATCTTAGCCAATTTTCCCAATGGGTTAGGTTGCTCTTGAGAACGTTTTCTATGAAGTGTGTTTTGTCTCTTGACTATGAAGATGTTTTATGATATTTAAAGAAGTTTGCAATGCATGATTTCTGGGGGAAAATTGAGAGGAAAAATAGGCATTTGAAGTGCTTTTAATGATTAGTTATGATGAGAAGAAATTATGAGCCAAAAGGATCGCAAGGAGTCAATGAACTTCTACTTCTGCTGGAGTTTGCATGAATCTTGGTTAAGGCAATTCTTCAAATTTCCCGTTACTTTTCTGTCCATTTTTTTTTCTTAAACCCATAGACCTTTGCTCTTCTAATTTAGCTTCTCTAGAATGATTTTGCTTTACATATTCATTATTGCAGCTTATTTTTCATTCACTAACTTTGGTACAAGTTGTAGCCTATACTGAACAATAAGACCTATCTATGCAATATGCATCTGTTAGATGAGCAAAGTAAATTAAAGGCTAACGAAAAATGATGCGAATTGAAATGGTGAAAACATTAATGTTACTTCAGCTCACAGACTGGAGGAAAAGCATTCATTTAGCTGAATGTGATTTCAGCAAAGGAATTTCTATAAGTATTCTTTTTATTAATTTTTAAGGCTGAATACCGTTGCATTTCCAAATACTTTAGTGGAAATTAAATTGTTGGTGTGGAACAACAAGACATGTTTGAACAAATAATGTTTGATATGAAAAATAATCTCACTAACTTAATTATATTGGCATAGATAGGAGCTTTTGTCTGGTTAAACATTGAGGTGAAAGTGATCATGTTGCCAGATTGTTAACTACCACAACTTCACCAACATAATTTCACCAACTTTTTCTATAATTTCCAGTCTTTTTCAATTTGTCATGACTCATGATCTTAACTAACATCATGTGTGTATAATCACTAGTTGTCTTGCTGTAATTTTTGGATTTTAACATGCAACTAAACTTCTAAAATTCTTTTCGAGGAGTGTATGTATATTTCTAGGCATGTTATTCAAGATAGGAAGACACAAAAAAAAAAAAAAAAAAAAAAAAAAAAAAAAAAAAGAGACAAAAAACGAACAAAACTGCAATTTGAACCTGTTATGTCCATAACGGCAAGATCAACGAGTCCTAATCCTAGAAAAAAAAAAAAAAAAAAAAAAAAGAAAAAAAGAAAAAACTGCAATTTGAAGCCTGTATGTCCATGGTCAAGATCAACTGAGTCCTAATCCTAACCTGTGTCAGTCAACAACTTGACTTTAATTTGACTTATCTGCATTCACTTCACCTTTTGTCTTCCTTAATGCAAAGTCTGACCCTTTTTTTTTTTTTTTTAATTTCCACTGAAATAAAGCCATCCTTTCATATTGTTCAAGCCTTTGTATTAATAAAAGTATTGATTTTGAACACATGATGAAGATGTAGAACGGTAGAGCATGTATTTTTGCGTTGGCAATTGTAAGATTTAGTAGCAATACTAGTTTTACCTAATATTGATTTAAATAGGATTCATAAAACACGATCAAAAAAGAAAATTAGATTTAGATCAGGCATAGTTTTATAGCCTTGTGCGCTCAAATGCCTTAGTCAATGATGAACTTATGCAACATTGCAACTTTCATGAAGTCTTTTCGCACGGGATGCCCAGTTGCCCGCAGCCCCTCCTGGTTAAAAGACAGACTTAAAGCATGAGTACTACATGTGCAACACTTATAAACTAGATGACTTTTTTCTTCAACTCAATTTTGAATAGCAAATGAGGTGAAAAACGGAAAAAACAAATTAAAGGCAAAAAGAACCTCCATACAAGCTCTTCCATATAGCATTGAATTTTATTTTTCATTAGACTGAAAACTGTTTTCTCCTTTTCATGCATTGATTGATGTTGCGGTACATCTGTGCAAAGCCTGTGCTAAACTATTAAACTATGATTGTTTGCTTATCCTATTAACTCAGTTTACCAGTATAAGAGCTTCACTTTTATTGATACATTTTCATTCATATAGATAGATTTTCCACAATAGGATAACTGTAACCTTGTAAGCCAGCCACCTGAAAACTTAGGCGAGGTGGTTTAAGAGAAGTATGGAGTAAAAACTGCTTTGAAACTTCACACGTTAACAAAGAAGCTGAATAACTTTGGACAAAGTTTTTGGATTTAGGCAATTGTTAATTCATTCTGCATGCACTTGTCATCCAAGTTCAGTCAAGCCCTACTTACATAGGCAACCGGAGTGAGATACTGCTCATATCTTAGTTGAAGAAGTATTTGAAACTGCACTTCCATGTTCATGTCTAATGAGTGCTCTTTTGTGTTGTGCAAGACTTAGAAAGTGAAGCACAGACAGTAATTCTAGTGCTAGGCTTTAATATTGCTAGTGTACAATGGCTGTTCAAAAGTCATATTTGTTTTTCAAATATCTTGTTTTTTAAACCTCATAAAATTAAAATTTAACTTTTTGACGCTTTACTGCTAGATTTTGAAACATATAAGACTCTATCGTGGTTTTAATCAAGAAGTTGGGGGTTTTGATGTTGTACCCATGTTTACTTTCAATTCTTTCAGCCGGATCTTTTCTCTTAGGGAACCCTTTCTTAGAGACAGGATTACTGCATCAAGTCATTGAGCCAATCCAATCTGAATTATTTAGGTTAACGAATCAAATCTCACCGACTCAACAAAGTTGTTGAGTTTGTATGGCTGTATGTAATGCTATGAAGGGATTGTTTTCCAATGTTGAAATGTTTAAACAAATGTTACTTTTTTATTCCGAACCACATGAATCTTGAATTGTCTAGGTTTGTTTATATCAATTTTTTGCCTCAGAGGGGCATCATGGTACCAAAGGTAATAAGTAATAACTTTGAAACCTCCAATTTGTGGTCATAAAAAAAGTTAGACGCATTTATAAGTTGTCTATGTGATCATTTTATTAAGTAAATGGTTTTTGAAATATTGTTATTGTAAAACAAACCATGACATGTACCAGTTTTAGTTCTTGCATAAGTCGGAATATACACTACTCTTGATTGGTGTTCTTACCTTCATTGACTAGAAGTATCAATACATAATTCTTTTCTTGTTCCCTATGGGTTCAGTAACATATATCTAATTCTCTGTTGAGACCAGTCGACCACAATGTAGAGGCACTTCTATCCGCCGCCACAATATATAGTTCATGATGCCAACACAATCTCAAGACTTGAAGATTGGCTATGTATTAATTCCATTCTGTCTTCTTTTTCCTTTCTCTCTCTCAATCAAGTGTCATTATAAAACTACTATTTTGGTTATATTCGTGGTTGATCAGTGGTGGATGGAGAAGAGGGTTCTAGAAGAAGGATGCAGAGGCATGTGGTTTCCCTGGTGCCTTCCCATGCTAGCCTAAAATGATTTGGATGATATGTAGTAATTACTTCTCTTCTGTGCTTGCTTTCTTCCTGGCCATTCTTCTAATTAGGAGAGTAGCTGTAGTAATTTCTTCATCTAAAGTTTTAATTCCTATCATTCCTTTGATTCAATCACCCTTGACCCCGCAGGGCTTTTGTGCTGGCTAGACAAGTCAGATGCATATTACTTCCTTTTCATACTTATTTTCAAGATGAGCTTATTTATTCTAGAACATTAAGTATATTTTTATATTATTTGTTATACTAAATGACACTCAAACATTTTCTCAATTTCTCATTGATGTACATTACATCTTAGAATTATTAATATATTATAATAAAAATTTGAATGGTAAAGAACTGCTACAACATACAGCCTTCCCTCCCTTGGTAATGCTACTGTTTAAAGGAACAGTCATTACTTCCGAGTAGACTAAATATTTGATTCTCAGCATTTCTTTTACTTTAGCTGGTCCATGTTAGCTTGACTGTGATAGTTTACAAGTATAATGTGTATTTTTTTCTCTCTTGAATGCAGTGGAAAACACAGAAATGTGATTGGATGTTCTTGAAATTTTCTGTCCTTGTGAGATTTAAGGTGGATGAACTATAACCGTTTCTCTTATGCCTTAAGTGTATTTTGGCTGCAAGGAAGCTAACTTCTTAAGAATGGAGAGTGAGGAAGTTCGACATCTATTGTACTGCTCTTGATCACATTCATTCTATTAGCTTGCTAGCCCGCATCTTAAGGATGCAGGCACTACTGTCCTCTTTTTGGCACGCATTTGAATAAGCTCCTCAACATTAGTCATCATTTGACACTGATTTGAGGTGGCATCATTCTATAAACGAGCTTGTGCTAGAATGCAACTTTTTGTGGTTTTTATTTTCTCTCTTGCTAGTGGTGGATTATTACTATTATGGCCTTGCAGTATGATTTAGCATTAAACGTGGTGCAGCTGATGAGATTGATCCATATAGCCAATTCCAATTAGTATGAGATTAAGGCATAGTTGAGTTGAGCTATGTGCTCGAGCAGTAAGAACTTGGTAGTGCAGTTCTGCCTTTGTCTTTGTTTGAATGGTATCGAAAGTGTGCATTGCCATTCTCTCAGCTGAAGTATAAGTAACTGCCATAATTATATCATATCATCTTTTAGGGATACTTTCACCATGTTTTTGGGGATGTTGACCACTTTTTAGCTTTGATGTTGAACGAGTGTCATCATTGAGACCACAATCCAATTCTGTCAGGCATATATCTGCACTGAAATTGTAAATTCAGGAGCCTGAGGATTTCAGTTCTGTTGGATCTCATGCTTTATGCAGTTGGCACATAGCATATAATTTCAGGAATTTCATCATGTACATAAATAAGCATATATCTTTTACGCTAGATTTTTCATTGACGTATTGAAATATATACCATCTTTCATTCTACTTGGTTTTTTGAATTTTATGTCTCTTGACTTGTGTTTTAATTTAGAAATTTAGTTCTTCAATGTTTTTTAGATAATTCAAGTTCATACTACTCAAAATTCACAACGAGTGATTTTAATTAACATATGGCTATTCTGTAATCATATGCTGAAACATAACTCTTTTTTTTTTTTCTTTTCTTTTCTTTTTCTCATTTTTTTACTAGGTGTATCTATGGCAAATTGATGTCTCAAAATTCTTGTTCACTTACTCTCATTGATGTGAAAATTTTTCCATAGTCAGCTTATTAATTAGAAGGTGAAGTATGCTAGCTGAATCATGTTTCCTCTTTCCCCCATTCATTTAAAATCCTAACTTGATTCTGCTTGCATGCTCTTTACCAAAACTTCTCTCTCTCTCTCTCTCTCTCTCTCTCTCTCTCTCTGAAGCTCTTTATATTCAATTACCATCAAAATTATCAATTTATTTCTATATCTTGCATTTTCTTTATCCTGCTCTTGTTCTTTTACTAACCTTTTATCTATGACAAATTATCCTTAGGAACATGATTGGGAAGGAAACTATGAGCGTCATTTCAAGTGGTGAAACTTCTTTGACTGAAGAAGTTTCAGATTCAATCAGCAGCACGTACCCATTACAGGCAAGCAAACGTGCGAGGCATGGTGGCAATGTCTGCACTTCAAAATTCAGAGGTGTTGTACCACATCAAAATGGCAACTGGGGCTGCCAAATATATGCCAATCACCAACGTATTTGGCTCGGAACTTTCAAGTCTGAGAAGGATGCAGCGATGGCTTATGACAGTGCAGCAATAAAGCTTCGCAGTGGAGATTGTCGCAGAAATTTTCCAATGACCAACATCACCGTCCAAGAGCCGAACTTTCAAAGTAATTATAGTGCTGAAGCAGTTATCAACATGATTAAGGACGGTACTTACCAGTCAAAATTTGCTGATTTCATAAGGACTTGCTTGCAAAGTGTTGAAACTGAGCTTAAGCTTATGCCAGTTAAGACACAAAGCACTAGAAGGTTGACATGCAAACAACTTTTTCAGAAGGAGCTCACGCCAAGCGATGTTGGCAAGCTCAATAGACTTGTGATTCCAAAGAAATTCGCCATGAAGTTCTTTTCACGTATTTCAGAAAGCAGTGAAGGAAATGTTGTTGGTGCCAACAAACTGGACGATGGGCAGCTATCTTTTTATGACAAGAACATGAAGTTATGGAAGTTTCGGTACTGTTATTGGAGAAGTAGTCAAAGTTATGTCTTTACAAGGGGTTGGAATCGATTCGTAAAAGAAAAGCAGTTGAAGGCTAATGATACAATTGTTTTTTGCTTATGTGAGTGCTGGGAAAATTCGAGAGTCGGTCAAGGGTATTACATGATTGATGTAAACAATGTAGAAAGGAGCATTGGGTTGATGGAGTCTAGCAACCAAAATGATGCCATGGGAATGGAGTTGCAACTTCACCTGGGTCAAAGTGCTGTATGTGATTATGTCAGAGGGGAGAGATTGATGGAAGCCAAGCCAAGACATGATGATACAAATAGAAAGAGTTTTAGACTCTTTGGTACTCAGATCATCTGATTCTTATGTGTGTTCTGATTTGAGGTATAGAATTCAAGCTTTCTTAGAGTTTTTTGATACTTTATAATTGAAATTTTAAGTTTGACCAATATTTTAGTATGACCAAATTATGAAACTAACCATTTTCTTTCTGTGTTGGACTAATCTTCTGTCTTAAATTTTCTTTTCTTTTTTCTTATTTCTTGATTTGATTTGTCGCGAATTTCAATTTTTAAAGAAAGAAATTGTTGACTTAGTCACCTCTTATAGCGAGAAATTACCTATAATATTAGTGTTCTTAAACATTGATTCTGGATGATTCAATTCATGAAGAATAAAGTTTGCCTTCTAAGTGAAAGATAGTAGGATACGCCGGATATTAAATGATTAATACAGTGTTTGTAATAATAATAATAATGTTTACAGTTTTTTTAACTATCTAATAAGTATTTAATTACCTCAAATTGAAGTATTCGATAAAAAAAATTTATAAACAATATTTAACATATGTGATTTTATATCAAAACAAAAAATTGATGGTCACAAATTTTTTTACCACAATTATAAGGGTAAATTTACGTGTTTCGCTATTGTTTTAACAATCGAATGAGTTTCTTTTTTTATAACCTGCAATTTTAATCTTTTATAATTTAAATTTTTTTTTTTCAGGTCAGTCTCTTTGTTTCTGAGAATGCGCGAGAATTAGTGAAATTTATAAACCATTAATTTTAATATAAGCTGAATACCATGTGCAATTAAAAGAAAATTTTTTATAAAATGTAATTTCAACCAATTAATAATAATAATAATAATAATAATAATAATAATAATAATGACGACGACGATGATAATAATAATAATAATAAATTGTAAAATTGGACATCGATCGTAACTCATAAGTTCTTGTCGGTTAGTTTTGACCAATCAATCATTGTAGTCTTCTGAATTATTAGTGACAATTATTAGTGTATTTGGAAAATTTTGGATCGTCCATCTGGACACTTGAATGGCCCCACCAACATATTCTATGCATAAATTAAAATTAACAATAATGTAATTAAGGAATCAACAAGGTACTCAGCCCCCTGAATCTAAGAACCTTCCCCACTTGATGCAAAGGAATAAATGAAACCATGAACGTTGCATTGTCTAATGTGTATATTAGAAATTAATAATTTTTGTTTGTCTTTATTAATAAACTCAATAATTACTACTCTTTATTATGATTTAGTGTACAAAATTAAAAATTAAAATAATGTTACTCCTCTCTTTTTTTTTTTTTATAGAGAAATTTATTTGATTTGAAAATTTTAAAAAGAGTGCCAAAGAAAAAAAAGACTATAATACCCTCGATCTAGTTTAGTTATCTACATTAATATTTTTTTTTTTTTTTCATTTTTACGCGCTTATTTTCAGAACACACAACAATTAATGTCTAAGGTATAAGCTAAAAAATTTGAAATGGATTTCAATTTTAGAAAAATGCGTTAAATGTGAGTTTTGCATTTTTAGGCGCTTATTTCTCGAATCGCACCAACCTTTCATTATTGTTTTTTCTCTCCCCTTGTACGAGAAAGTTGCTCTTGGCAAACCGGAAAAGGCATGGAAAAGCTACAAAGTACACTAATAATTTTTGGTATATAAGAAAAGACCAGCTAAAGCAATCAAGCATTTTCATATCAAAATTTAATATTTTAATTCCAATGATGCCTTCTTTCTTTTGGCATTTTTGTAGTTATATATAAAGGTTGAAGATGATTTTCGAGTAAAATTCTTCTAACAGTAGGTATTCTAAAGTAGCATATATATTGTTTACATTGTATATGCACTTATTACTAAGTTATGCTTAGTGTATACTCATAACTTTATTTGGGGTCTGTTTAGTAAAATTTATTGTTTTTGTAATTATTAATTGTTTTAATAGCATTTAGATGTTAGCTGTTCTAGTATCTTTTTATGAATTCTTAAGAGCTAAACGTTACGTGAGTTAAGGTTGTGTTTGGCAACCACTTTTTAAGTAGATTTTAGTATTTTGACCGGCTAAACCGCTACACGTTACTTAAAGAACTGTTCAGTAACATAGCGTTTGAACTAGCTTTTAGAGATTAAGATAATATTTTGTAAAAAATTAACTCATGTAACGTTTAACTTTAAGCGTTTAATGAAAAACTACTAAAACAGTTAACAGCTAAATGCCACTAAAACGGCTAACAGTTATCAAAACAGTTAATTTTGCCGAAGAAAACTCTTTTTATAAAATGCTATCATAAACTCTAAAAGTTACTTCAAATGCTATGTTACCGAACATTATAAAAAATAACATTTAGCGTTTTAACCAGTCAAAATGCTAAAAGTTACTCAAAAAATCGTTGTATACCGTAGCTTTAAAAGAGTGAATACTAATTTTTTAAACATCGTAAAAGAACTAATAAAAGGAAAAAAAAAAAAAAAAAAGGAAAGCATTTAATCAATGAATCAAAATTTAATCATATAACATCAGCGCAGAGAATCCTTCTTTCTTTTTGACATTTGAAATTAGTTAAGAATATAAAGGTTGAAGAATGAGTTCGGAGAGTAAGAAATTCTTCTAAACATAGTAGGTATTACTAATAGTTAGCAAATATATATAGTTTAACATTGTATATCGCACTTATTACTAAGTTATGGCTTAGTGATAACATCATATACTATTATTGGGGTCTGTTTAAGATAAAATTTTATGGTGTTTAATGTAATTCGTATAGATGTTTTAATAGACATTTAGATGTTTAGACTGGCAAGATAATACTTAAGAGCTAAACGTTAACGTGAATTTGAAGGTAACGTGTTTGCAACCACTTTTAAAAGTAGAAATTAAAGTAGTTTTGGAGACCAGGCAAAACCGCTAAACCAACACGTTAACTAACATAATAAGAAACCTGTTCAGGAACATAAAGCTAACTACTTTTAGAGAAAATAATATGATAAAAAATTACTCAATGTAACGTACTTTAAGCTTTAAATGAAAAAACTGACTACCAAAGCAAGTTAACAGCTAAATGCCACACTACAAAAAGGCTGTAACAGTTATTCAAAAGCAGTTTTAATTTATGCCGAAAAAACTCTTTTGTATAAAACATGAACAAATCGATAATCTAAAAAAGTACTGTCAAAATGACTGGATGGATTTACGCTAAGAACATATAATAACAAATAACATTTAGCGATTGTATACCAGTCAAAATGGCTAAAGTTACAATAGAAATCGTTGTAATAAGACCGTAAGCTTAAAAAGAGTAGAATACTATGAAAATTTTAAAAACATCGTAAAGAATAATAAAAAGGAACAAAAAAAAAAAAAAGGAAGGAATAAAAAAAAAGAAAAAAGGGAATTTTTTTTTTTTTTTTTTTTTTGAAGACGAGGATGATGAATCGGAATCACCAAAAGCCTCAGTTCCATGAAAATTTTCTTCAATTCAATCAGACTATGTCCAGTAACTACTGTTTTCTCTCAATTCCGACTTTTTTTTTTTTTTTTTTTTTTTGGAAGCACTAACACAGACAGAGAGGCATGGGTGTGATGTCCTAATCAAAAGAGGATGATGAATCGGAATCACCATAGCCTCAGTTCCATGAAAATCAAACTAACTTTTCTTCAATTCAATCAGACTATTCCATTATCTACTGTTTTCTCTCATTCCGACATAAACCTTCTGAATTTTTTTTAATTAGAAATTATTTATTCAAAGTCAATGAATTTCATATAATTTTACTATAAATTAAATTTATTCTTTTTTAGGGAAAAAAAATTTGTTTCTAACTACTAAAATTAAAATTTTTGATATTTTCAAAAAGAAAATTAAATTTTGATAAAATTACTTTGTTGGGACTAAATGAATTTCACGAACTTTCTAAATTTAAATTTGTATTTGATATAAAAAATTTATTCTTTACTATAAGTAAACTCAACTGTACTATAAAACGTGAAATTTTCAAATAAATTTTACAAATTTAATGAATTTAAATTACAAAACTGTTGATCCTTCTAGCTTTTTAAAATTATTATTATGTCAAGAGTATTTTAGAAAATAAATAAATTTTAAATTTTGTTTATATTAAATGTATAGATGATTATATTTATGAATGAATGAAATGAAGTTAAAGGTTGTGTTCAGCTTTCTAAGTAGCTTTTAATTAAAATGTTAAATATTATTTTTTTTTTTACTGTGCAGTAATGTAGCGTTTAGCCCTTATTTAGATGGATGTAAAATAAAGAGTAAAAATTTATTTGAATTATTAAAATCTCTTGTTTGATTTGAGATAAAATGTTAAGGAGGGCGTAAAATAAATTTACGTTGCACTCATTTTCACTGCATTGGAGGAGCAATCACTCCATTTTGGGAGGAAAAAGAATAATAAAATTTTTCACCCCAGTTTTACTTCCACCCCTTATTTCACTTCCGTTCTTCGCAAACAAAGCATTAATAAACTAGCTTTTAAGGTGTAATATAGCTTTTTATAAAAAAAATTATATAATTATTAATTTTTAATATTTTATAAAAAAATATTAAAATAATTAATAATTAAATGCTGTTAAATCAGTCAGTAGCTACTGAAATAATTAATTTTTGAGGACGATCGAAAAGCATCCTTAGACAGACGGAGGAAAACGACTTGTGGGAACAAGTTGAGCTTTTTCTGACGGCTGTTTTACAATAGAGGAGAGGACAATAATTCGAAAAAATAAGTTCAGTTCAGTACTTGTCCAATCATATAATGCCACGCAATCCTTGCTAGCTAACATAATATCATGCCTAAGTTTGTCCGCTCTCTGCGTGTGCGTATACATGTGCATGCAGCTCCAATGTATAAACTAGCAACCATCCAAATCGATTTTGAACTTATTTGAAACCGTGATTTTAAAAATTACGTATTTGATTTGACTTTTAAAATTTAAAAATCAAGTTTTTAGTCGGGTTGGATATATATTTTAGAATCATAATCATCAAATGTAATTATATTTATATTTTAGTACATAATTGATTGGATCTATAATTATATTTATATGCACATTACTGATAATAGATTCAGTTGCGAATCCGCTCTCTCTCAATAATAAAAAAAAAAAATTTCAAACTAAATCAAACCACATTATATATTTTTTTTATATATAAACTTTTAAATGATAAAATTGAACGGAAATTTCATTTGCACTCACTAGTTTATATTGGATAGTAAATTATGAGATTAATTTATTTTGGATGGTAATTAAATCATAGTTTCATATTAATTATGTAAATTATATAATTATTTTATAGACAAATTATACATAACTATAGTTTTTTTTAATAGTTTTTAGTAATAATTATGGAAATAATTGAACGATTAAATTATGTGGGTATGTTAAGTATAAATCAAAGAATAGATAGAGAATGTAATCATGCATGAGAGAATTAAAAATGCATGAGATCCCAATTCCTTATTATTTTATTTCGTAATCCATTACTAATTCCATGTACTAAACATAGTATTGTTCATTTTCAAAAAAAGAAGAAATAACGTATTGTTCAGTTAAAAATTACAAGGACAAAAGAAATGAAATTCAAGCTATCACCAATAGCCAAAACTAGCTAAAGCTAAAAAGGTGATGTAAAAGAAACAAAGATTTAATAATGGATGGTGATCATGCTCTTTACTACTACGCAAACACCATATTAATATTATCACACAAACCAAACCAACTAAAAATTTAAAGACAACCAGATTGTCCATGTTCTAATTTCCATCTTAATGGCCCAAACAACAATCTCACAAACATTATCAACACCAACAATTAATAACAACTACTACAATTCAATAAGAAATCATTTTAATTAAGTTTACCCCACCACCTCCAAATCTCATAATCTCCCCGATTTCTTCTTCAAGCAACCGTAGGATTATCGGCGGGAGAGGTCCAAACTATATCCTTAAGCGCCGGTCTAAGCTCTTTACTGCAGAATTGGTTATACTCGAGAGTGTCACCATTATCCTTCTTCACCTCCACCACCAAAAACGACGGCGTAACAGCAAATATCTCAGCAGCAATCGCCAATTTCCCTTTCCTTCCACTTTCCTGACCCTGCATCCTCACTTTCGTTTCGCTTTTCTTCACGCTGAATTTCCCCGCCTTTGCCACCTCTTCTAATTTCGATATCACACTGCTTGCAGGCCTTGTCGTGGCAAATCTCAGCTCTTCCTTCTCTTCTCTCTTCTTCTCTTCAAACAAAGGTGACAAATCGAATCCTTCTGATAAAGATATTATATGAAAAGCATTTAGAGTCTCTGTCTGTTTCGATTTATCACCATTTTCCACATTAAATGCATCGAATTCCATCTCCTCTTTGGTTCTAACCTTTTTCGGCACGGATTTTTTAAACCAAGAGGAATCCATTATCTTGCTAATGGTTATTCGAGTGCTCGGATTTGGATCAAGAAGTTTCGTGATTAATCTCCGAGCTTCAGAGGAAAACCATGGAGGACATTTGAAGTCACCTCTATAGATCTTTCTATACATGGACACTATATTATCATCTTGAAATGGCAAGAATCCAGCAAGAAGTACATAAAGAATTACACCACAAGACCACAGATCTGCTTTAGCTCCATCATAACCTTTCTTACCAATCACCTCCGGTGCAACATACGCCGGCGTGCCACATGTAGTATGTAAGAGGCCATCTTGTTTCAAGTGCTCTGAAAAAGCACTGAGACCAAAATCAGTGACCTTCAAATTCCCATCTGCATCGAGAAGAAGATTTTCCGGTTTCAAATCACGGTGATAAACGCCGCGACTATGGCAAAAATCAATGGCGGAGATCAATTGTTGAAAATAAACTCTAGCGACGTCTTCTCTTAACCGACCTTTAGCAATTTTGGAAAACAACTCACCGCCTCGAACGAGTTCCATGGCGAAATAGATCTTAGATTTACTAGCCATGACTTCATGTAATTCGACGATGTTTGGATGTTTCACCATCTTCATAACTGCAATTTCTCTTTTAACTTGCTCCATCATTCCTACTTTTATCACCTTTTCTTTTCCAACAACTTTCATGGCCACGCTGTTCCCCGTCTGCAAATTCCGCGCGTGGTAGACTTTAGCGAATGTGCCATGGCCAAGCATCCGGCCGAGCTCGTACCGGCCGTGAAGTAAGGTCGAGTGACCGCCGTCCCTTGTTCTTTCTGTCATTCTTATATTCGATTCTCAACAGAATTTAAAAAGTATATACAAAGGAAAGAGAATTATGAGATTTGGAGGTGTGAGAAACGGAAACTATAAATCTAAGAAAAATTAAGCAGATAGAAGAGAATCTGTGTGGCTGGATTGGAAAAGGTTCACCCGTCCTCGACGTGTTTCCGGTGGCAATTTCTGCCGCCGATCCACCGCTTTGCACGGCCACACAGTTCACTCTTGGTTAGCAGAGAACCTATCATCTCTCTGCATTCCCCACACAAAGAAAAACAGAAAAATTAGGGTTTTTAATCAAAAAAAATTTTCCGCACCTAAAGGAATTGAGATTTTGGTTCTCTATTTCCTCTTGCCTAATCACATAGCTGGCGGTTATATAGCCAGTTTAGTGAATCTAATTACTATTCTGTCCCTAACATGACTTCCCCAGTCAAGAAACTGATCTAACGGTCATAAAACAAGGTACATGGTTGGACTTGGCATGATCCTGACCCGGTGCAGTTTGCTACGTCATCTATTTTGTATACGTGTGATATTTCTATTGGGTTTAAGTGGGTGCTGTTTCTTACCGCCTTGTCTTTGCATGTGACATTCCAATTCTATCCTTTTACGCTCTGTTTGGACGGGCGTATTATTTTAGATGAAATAAAATAACAAAAGAATTTTGGCTGCGTTCTTTTCCATATCTGTTTGGTTTGATTGTAAATAATTCTGCATGGGCCCTACAATGTTTGGATTGGACCTTTTTGACGGCGGTAGATTAAAAATCCAGGAGGGAATCTCCGAATCCGACGCGGTTTTGTTACTGTTACCGTATGCTAATAATGACAGTAATAACTAACAAGTTGAAAAGTAAAATAAAAAAAAAAGTGGAAGTGATTACATCATCATGTATAAAGTGGGCCCTACTGGTTGCCTATTTAAAGTGATAAGAAAGTGAAGCGGATGAAAGGTTGAAACTTGAGAAAGGGTTAATAAGTAAATTTATTTTACATTTAAATTATTTGTAAAAAAATTAATTACAGTTCTTTGTATCTTTGTAATGATATGTTTGAAAAAACTTGAAGTTATCTTAAAAGATAAAGTCTCACTTGAATTCGAGGCAAATGCTAGGGGAGGTGCTATTAGCACATGACAGTTAGTTTTATCAAAATTAGAAAAAAATATTAGGTAATATAATTTATATTTTACAGTAAATTTCCTAATTCAAAATTCTATATTAGGAAGTTAAATAAGTGTTCAAAGAATGAATTAGTAACTAATTATAAGCAAATTTATTTTCCAAGTAAAAAAAAAAAAAAGATGTGTTTAGAATATGGCCAGTAATTTGTAAAGCAACCTATTTCTCCTGTTAACAATATAAATGGAATTTTTTATTCAGAAAAATACAAATGAATTATTATTTTTAATAATATCGTGTATTTTTAGATATGATATTCTTAATATTCTTACTATTTAGATTTTTTTTTTAAATTTATCCCAAATCTAGAGAGTTCGGATATAGATATATCAGAGATATGAAATGTTGGGAGCGCTATATTATTAATTTTGTCATTTTTTTTTATTTTAACTTATTTATATCAATATCACTATTTATAAAAATAGTTCAAATAATTTGTAATATTATTTCTGCTAGTATATTTCTAATAAATTGGAAAAAATATCTATTATTCGTGTACTGTACGTGCTATCTGTGTCATGTGATGATTTACTCCACTAGCCTCTCTTTTTATAGGTTAAAATAATAATAATAATAATAATAATAATAATAATAAATCAATGAAAATAGAATTTCTCAATTTTTTAAAAAATAATGAACTTGTATTTAATTAATTCAAATATTAAACGCAAACTCGAATTTAACTTGCTTACAAAATTTATTATTCATTATACTAATAGTTATAATTATTCAATCTATTAACAACGTATAATAATTTTTTAGAACAATTACGTATAATGTTTTTGGAAGTAAAGATATTTAGAGTTTAATTAATAATTATTCAATCTTGAGTAATTACGGCAATTATTTTTGGAGTCCAATTAATAATTACTCAATCTCTACAGATCGCCTCTTTAATTACCTTTCAGGAAAAAAAAATAATTGAATTATTTGAATTAAATCGACGTGTATCTGAATATCGAGAGAACTCAAATTTGAAAATTTCAACTTCTCAAGTGATTAAGTAAAGAAGAAAAAGAATGAGAGGAGAGGAGAGTAGTCATAGCCGCAATTTGAAATTTGAAGTCCAAAACTTCACTACAGCCTCCAAAAATGGTTGGCTGATGTTTAGCAACATAGGAGCCATCTCAAATGGACTTCAACGCTTCCTCTTCCCAACTTGTGGAAAAAAAATACTCTTTAATGAGTCGGCACATTTTATAGTACTAGTATCATTTTCTTCTAAGTTTGTCGTTACAACGCTAATTTATATATTAAAAAATAAAATGATAAGTACTAAACTCTACACGTTTTCTCCTTTAATAAAGATTAAGATGTGGAAAAAAAAAAAAACGTACTATATAGTTGATTATAAACTCGTAATTTTTTAAAAGAATACTTCACATATATCTTACCTTAAAAAAATTATTTTATATAGAATCTTCAACAAATAACTTACCTTCAAAAATATATATATATATATATATATATTGATTTTTTAAATCAAGAGATGTAATATCTTAGACCGTCGAGTAAAAAGTTTATCTTTTAATTCTTTCAATAAGTGCATGTGGCACAGATTAAATTTTTATAAACATATTAATCAAATTAAACATTTGGTTTGTGGTTCAAACATTTCATGAATTTATCAAATTACTTTGCTTACTTGAGAAAAAATAAATTATCACATTTTTTTAATTTATTAAAGGTCAAATATCACTGTAGATAATATAATAAAGCAGATAATATAATAAAAAATAGTCCTGGCTCACCAAATTAATAATAAATATAATTTATTTTTTAATCTCGAAACTAATAATTTGAGATAAACGAAAAATAATTTACTTACGCGATGCCAAAAAGAAACTGCTTGGAACCTTGGAAATGGCAAAAAATGGAGGGCTGCATGTAGACTGTGTGCGGATGCAGAGTGACATCAGTCAACTCAAACAGAAGAGCAGCGTCCGCCCACCTCGTTTTCGGCTGCCACTACCAAACAAAAACCCACACCCTTAATTCTCAATTACTCCGCCACTAATCTTAATTAACATTAGGAACCAACCGCTAATGAATCATTATCATCGGAGAATTACTTCCACTTGAAGAAAAACAAGAAACTCTCGTAATTATTTTTTTAAAGTAATCAAATGTGTCTAGAGGTTATATTTTTATAATTATCTTTTAATTAAAAATTTTGAAAAATAAAAATAAATCTAAAAACCAAATAAATTATAACAAATTAATAATAATTATTATAATTAACAAAAAATGAAATTAATAAAAAAATTTAATAGTAATCATAATTAATAATAATGATAATATTATTAGTGAAAAATAATAATTGATTAGAAAATGAAACTAATAAAAGACAGAAAAAGAAACGTATGTGGACCGGTTGTTTCTGGTTCAGGTTGGGTTGGGGTTTGGTCCCACAACCCATTTGGAAATTATATGGTTCAACTTATATATTTCTGTCTTTTTGCTTTGTGGTTGGCCCCACACAAAGGGCTAAATTAGGAGAACAAAGGCAATAAAGATAGAAGGATCCATCGTTTGATTGGGTTTGGTACAAATGAAATTATTGATTAGATTTGCATAATTGTAATGATTCTATTTTTACATTTTTTTTTTAGTTCTAATTATTGCTCTTATGGTTTTTTTTTTTTCTATCAAAATAATTAATTTGTATTTACATATGCGTTGTTCATTTCTCCTATTCTTATGGGACTATTAATTTTCTTTAAAAAAATTATTGTTATGGTCAAATGATTATATAATTTATATATTATAACGTCATTTTTTAATATCTCTTATTCTCATTTTATACATTTAGAAATTTAATAAAAAGTTAGTTAAATGACTACTAGAAAATATTCGATATTCGATAGATGTTTAATGTGTTTGAATGATGAGAATAATCTATTTTTTTATTTCATTTGAAAAAATATCATTTCATTCCAATGCTTTTTAATTGAAAATTTTTATCTGTAATCCAATTTTTTTTTTTTTTTTTTTTTTAATTTTTAGTTTTTTTTTTTTTTGATATAATTTTTTTTTTTTTTTTTTTTGTAATTGAACTCGTTCCGTTGTATTAAAATTCAATTTGGAATTTTAGGATTCCAAAATTTAAAAGTTTATGACCTTTAAAAATTTTCAAAATCAATAATTTAATTACTTTATTTATTTAAATGAAGTATAAGTATTAAAATGACAATTTTATTATTGAAAAAAGAAAAAAAAATCTTAAATCGAAATGCACAAAAATAATTTAAATCACTGGTTTAATTAAAAAGTAATAAATTTTCAAGAGGAACATTCAAGTCAAGCCCAAAGCCAAGTCATACAAAAACATATTGGTCAATTTTTTTTACACAGTTTTTGAGTTGGTTTTGTCCTTCATACACTGAATTGAGCTTCACCCATTTTTCCAAATGTAAAAGTGCATGTGATTCTCATGTTCCAACTTCCATTTTAATTGGTATTAGGGTTAATTTATAGATAAGAATGACAATTTTACATCTTTAATTCGACCAAGTACACATTTACAAACTTTGACTTCAATTAAATTATAATAATATTGTTAGTTAGTATATTAATCTAATGATTAATATAAAGATTATGTCCTTATCGGCAGAGTCGGAGCTAGGACAATTATTTTGAGAGAGCCAAATAAATTTTTTTTTAACTTATAAGAAGACTAAATGTAATTTTTCTATATTTTGAAGAATTAAAACGTCATTTTTACAAAATAAAAAATTTGTTTAAAACATTTTTTTGAATGGCCACGGCCCTCTTAGGCCTCAAGGGAGCTCGCCCCTGTTGATTGGCGCGCGTGTATATATATATATATATATATTAAGGTGATTACATGAGAACATCATTATAAAACGAGACACTTAATGGTAAGTGCGTACACCACTTACGAATGGATAGATTTAAATATATTTTTTTAATATGTATATGAAAATATTTCCAAAAATGATTAAGTACAAATTTTTCTCTTTAGCACTCTTTACTAAAAAAGGAAAAAAAGTTGCACAAAATGGTTGATAGGAAGATAAGATTGATGGGCTTTTTTGTTTTCAATCTCATCTCTTTTGATTTGTTTATATTGTGATTTAGATTATCCATATCTAATTAGCAGTTACAATGAATTGATTATTTAATTTCTTTGCACTTAAATAAATTGTTTACTCAATAATATCCAAATTTATTACTAATTATATAATTAATTTGGATAAGTATTAAGTTACAAAATGTCATT